CAGCCTGGGAGATTGCAGGAAGCATGGCCAGGCAGAGGCTGCCACCTGCTGGACATACTGGGCACTGCATGCAGATGGTCTTGGGGCCTGGCACCGGGTTTCCTGGGGTCCTTTAAGGCCCCAGAAAAGCAGTGTCCGCTGAGTCCCCACTGCCTCTGTGGGCCTCTCTAGGGGACAGCTAGAGTTTAAGACCTTTAAGTGAAGTTGAGCCCTCTTCTAAGAATGTTTTCAAAAACATGATATAAAATAGAATTTCAAAGGAAACCAATTATATGGAAGGTCAGCCATCAAAATACTAATAGTAAAATACTTTTAATACTATTATATAATATAAATAGTATGTTGTTAATATAATAATAGAAATAATAATAATCCAGCAGAAGGTCTAATAATAACTGGTCATCTCAAGGCCATGATCAGCAAATAATATTTTGAGACACCCATAACAATTGGACTATATCATGGAAAATATTTCTGATTTCTGTTAATGGCAAAGTCACAGATACTGCTAATAGTACTGTCATTTTCTTTTTTTTTTTTTTTTTTTTGGTCTAAATTTGTGACAGAAGGAAATGCCATGATTCAATTAAACATTTGTAACAATAACGATGTAATTTCTCCCATCCAAGTTCATGAATCTTCTCCTGGGATCTGTTGGGGATTGGGGCAGCCCAGGTTAGAAGCCCCTGGCCCAGACCCTGCCTGGTGGCTCTGGCGCCTCCTCAGCCCCTCGGCCAGCAGGTCCCAGCCCACCTTGCTGCTTCAGCCCCGGCCATGCCATCCACAGCCCAGCCATGTCCCCACCCTCCCCCCTGTGACAAAACCAGCATTGCCCTCAGAGTCTGGCTGGCCCAGTCGCTTTCTGTTCTAATGATGGACAAGCATCAGAACTATTTCTGAGATGCTATCGTGCTGAAACGTGGCCTCCCCAGGTGGGGAGGGGCCCAGACCTCCATTCCTCTCTGCAAGATACAGGCAGGAAGGCCCCTGTGTCTGGACACCCAGACATCACAATATCTCCTTAACACAGCTTCCGGGCCATTAGTCCTGACCTACAGGGTCTGCGCAATGCAGGAAGGTATCTAGAATCTCCTCTTCCCTCTCCTAAATTCCAGGCATTGAGATGCTACACCATAAGATTGAAGAGGTATCTCTTCCTTCCTTCCTCACTCCCTCCCTCCTTCCTTTCAACCATATTTAATGAGCACCTACTAGGTGCTGGTGTTGGAAATAGAAACAGTGAACAAAACAGGCAAAGTCCCTTCCTTCTTAGAGTTTATATTGTATGGAAGGAGACGCATTAAATAAGTTAAACTAATAGTGTTTTAGAAGGTGATAAGCACCATGGCGGGGCAGGTGGGACAGGAGGTGGGCCGTGCTGGGGCGACCTCACAGGGAAGGTGATGTGTGAGCAGCAGTGCGGGAGCGGGGAGGGAGCCCCATGTGTGTCCAGGGAGAAGCGTCCCACCCAGCAGGGGGAACGGCTCGGGCAGGACGTGGACAAGCAGTGGGGGCTGAGGATGGCGAGGTCACAGGCCAGCTTGTGCAGTGTGTGGGTCCTTCGGCAGGACCTGGGCTGTCCTCTGAGATGAGCAAGAAGGACATGGTGCAGTTTCAAGGACAGACTCAGGCTGCCGTGCAGGGAGTGGAGGGGCAGGCGGGGTTGGCAGTGGAGGAGGAGGCAGGATTCTAGATTCCATTGAAGGCTTCCCTGTCAGATGGGTATGGAATGTGAGAGACAGAGCTGCCAACAGCGACACGGGGAAGTACGTTGGTTTCCTGGAGCCGCCGTAACAAAGTGTCACCGACTGGGTGGCTTAAAACAATAGAAACTTAGTCTTTCCCAGCTCAGGAGGCCAGAAATCTGAGAGGGATGGGTTGGCAGTGTTGGTTCTTTCTGGAGACTCTGCCCCAGGCCTCCCGCCCGGCTCCTGGTGGCGGCCACCAACCCTCGGCATCCCTTGGCTTGTAGACACACCACTCCCACCCCTGCCTGGTGCGTGGAGGTTTCTCCCCACACGCTGAGCAAGTGACCAGTTCTGCTGTGGACACCGGCTGGGTGTCCTCCAATTCGATTCCAGCACCGTCTACACGGTATCAGATCCCACAGGTTGGGGCTCAGTCCCCAAGGCGCCCTCAGGAACATCTGGCCATCCGGCTTCAAGCTGGGGTTCCCGCGACTCCCTCTTTGGATTTGACTGATTTTCTGGGGCAGCTCACAGAACTCAGGGAGACACGTTTCCCAGTTTGTCATAAAGGACGTCACAGAGGATCCAGACGGAGACGTGGATAAGGCGAGATACGGGGGAAGGGCGTGGAGCTTCCCTGCCCGCCCCTGGCCGGGCACTTCCACGCGTTCGGCTCTCCAAACCCTGTCACCCTTTTATGGTGACTGCACGGGATGGGCATGACCGACAACCACGTGGAAATGTGATTGGACAAAAAAGGTGCAGCCTCACACCGACAGACTGGCTGAGGAAAGCCGGCAAGGCCTGTCTGTGCAGCATTCCTCCCCCCGGGCGGTGCGGGGCAGGCCGCCTCCTGAAATGGGGGTTGTAGGACCTGAAATCAGACAAGGAACATGGGAGAATTTCTTTATGGCTGGCTCCAAGCCAGAAGGGTCAGGAAGGTTCCTGCCTTGGGGAGAACAGGGAGCAGGTGGCAGGAGGGCAGGAGAAGGTCAGAGGGAGATTGTTTTCTGAGGCTGCTTCTGAGGCTCGAAGCACCCCAACATTATAAGCAGGGCTAAGGGAGTTCTACATTTCATAATGTCACCCTGCATAAGGCTCCATTCTCAGGTTCCAGGTGGACACAAATTTGGGGAGTCACTATTCAACCCAGTTTGGTCCGTATTTCCTTGGAAATCCACCTTAATAGTTTCAGGTTTAAAACCTCAGAACCGTCCCAAGATACCCCAACCACTCCAGGGTGGGGGCCCCCACCCAGCCCTTGCCAGGTTTCCTAAAGGAAAACATGCGCCTCTTATCAGACATGTGCAGAAATCTGTCGGGTTTGCTCCTGACTCCGCTGTGGTCATGTGACTCGGCAGCCTCTCATCAGTGACAGATCAGGTCCCTCCTGGAACCGCAGGGTGGCGGGAACAGGCGCCCAGCCCCTCCTGCCACCTGGGGCTAGGGCGCCTCTGTGGGGAGGGCTGACCCAGGACCTCAGCACTGCTGGTAAGAGACGCGAGTGGGACGCAGCCGTGCGGGACAGGGCTGGACACCGCTACAGCCCTGCAACAGGCCTGTGACAGGCCTGCGACTGGGGACTGGTGCGCCAAGACCCCATCAGCTCCCCACAAGGCCCCCACTTATGCAGCAGCTCCCCAAAGGGTCACTCACAGGCAGCATAACAAACCAGGGAGCGTTTTGGAAGGCCCGCCTTGCTCAGGGCGAGGAGGCAGCCCACGATGTCCCACGCAGCCTGTGTGGCCCTGTTACCTGCACAGCCCCCACTTTTGCAAGTCAAAAACATTCCTACTGAGTGGTGTCGCAGCTGTGTGCGTCTCTGGATGGCCAGCTGACCCTTCCTTCTATAGCTCTGGGTTTTTTCTGCATTTTACTCCAGGGGTTCTCTGTGCCTAACCTTTTAAGTGGTTGACGACTTATTTAAAAAAAAAAGAAAAACCTTCTGCACGATAAGCACGGGGTGACCCCACGTTTTGCAGAGATGTCATGCCATTCATCATTCAACCACCTCTAAATTCCTCTGGGCGGACTTTAGATTTTCTTAAACTGGGTTCTCTTGAAGGCACATGCAGGGGCATAGAGAAACCGCATATTCTAGCAGGGAGTGATTCTGAAATGACAGCTGGGCTGGGCACGGTGGCTCATGCCTGTAATCCTAGCACTCTGGGAGGTGAGGCCAGAAGATCACTTGAGGTCTGGAGTGTGAGACCAGCCTGAGCAAGAGTGAGACCCCCATCTCTACTAAAAATAGAAAAAATTATCTGGGCATGGTGGCACATTCCTGTTGTCCCAGCTACTTGAGAGGCTGAGGCAGGAGGATCGCTTGAGCCCAGGAGTTTGAGGCTGCAGTGAGCTAAGATGAGACCATGGCACTCTAGCCGGGGTAACAGAGCGAGACTGTCTCAAAAAAAAAAAAAAAAAGATTCAGAACCCCCCCCCATTTCTCCAAGCTTTCATTTGATCTCCTATCTGGTTACCCAAGGCACAGGGGTCCCCTGTGACACCCAGGTTCCTTCCTGTCCTAACACAGTGGACCCCTGCATGGGGGGCAGAGGAAGTGTGGTGTGGCTACCTCTGCCCCACGTGCCAATGATGCTGAAGTCAGGAACGTTCCCTAAGCGACTTTGCTCATTAGAAGTGGTACAGGTGGGGCGAAGGGCGGCCACCGTGTGCAGGGCCCACGCCCATCCTATCAAGCTCTTTGGAGCTCAGGGCACACGCTGGATGGGGGGTGGGCTGGAGGCAGAACAGAGGCAACTGAGAGAAAGTCCCAAACCCCCTACAGAAGGGAAAACACTTAGGAAGGTCTAGACTCAGATCTTCGCCACTCGAAGCATGCTCCCTGGAAACGTGTTAGGAATGCAGGATCCCAGGCCCCACTTCAGACTTCCCACCTGAAAACGCTGTTTAGCAAGATCGCCAGCAATTCTCCTGCACATCAAAACTCGAGCAGCCCTGCTAGAAACCAGAGGACCACGCACCAGAAGCCTAGAGGGCTTGTGGAATCAGGTGGCTGTCCTCCTCCCCAGGTGCCGATTCAGGTGCGGCAGGTGGGGGCGCAATGGGTCTGCATTTCCAGCAGGCTCCCCAGGGGGCCCGTATTCCCCCTCTGACTCCGGAGTCTGCCAGGTGCTTGTCTGAGTCACTTGGGGCTGCCGGACCCACCTCCAGGGACCCTGAGCAGTTCTCTCACCCCATTCAGTTCTCTCCACCACAAAACACAAAGGGGGTGCCCGCCACACCCAAGAGCTGCTCCTGCTGCTTGCAAGACACAAACATCCACATGCAAAAGAAGAGACTCTGGCCACATTGGTGTCTATGCTTGGCTATATTCAGAGCACACAAGCTTTATTCAGCGACAATGGCAGTATTTCATGAGAATGAGCCGCACGACAGTGTGAATGCTGTTTTCAGCACAAAGTCTGGAAGCGAACGGTTACAGCGACAGAGCCCTGACCCCACGGTCCTGTCCTTCCCTGGCTGGGCAGGCTCAGGCTGCTCCTGGCACACCTGGGCCTCAGCCCTGGCCCCATCGGTGTCGTCACTTGCCCTCTCCACGGCCTCTGCCTCTCCCAGGCCACTGGGCCAGAGGGGAGGGTGTGGGCTGGGTCCCCTGCTCAGCACTGCCAGCCCACTTCTTCCTTCTCAAGGCCACCTGGGAAGCAGCTGGGCGGCAAGAACGCCCCCCTCCACCGACAGGGGCCCAAGTCTCCACTGGATCCTGACTCCACCCTTCTTTTCCTCAGTGAGCGTTTAACATAAGGGTTTCTGCACTCACAAAGCGCTGGTCCTGCCCCCATCTGGCCCCCAGCAAGCAGGCAGGGAACAGGGTGGCCCTACAATGGGTGAGGGAGCTGCAGAAAAAAATGCACAAAGAGTGGGGCTGCGCCCAGGACCTGTCAGGGCCAAGTGGAGAAAATCCAATTTGATTTTCGTCCTGAATGGGTGCAGCCCAGCAACTGACTTAACAGATACAGAGCAAATCGTCTGAAATGCCCATGTGACATGTGTGTGTGTGCGCGCGCACATGCATGCTCATCTGTGAGCATGCCCATCTGTGTGTGCGCACATGCATGCTCATCTGTGAGCATGCCCATCTGTGTGTGCGCACATGCATGCTCATCTGTGAGCATGCCCATCTGTGTGTGTGCACATGCATGCTCATCTGTGAGCATGCCCATCTGTGTGTGTGCACATGCATGCTCATCTGTGAGCATGCCCATCTGTGTGTGTCCCTCTGTTATGGATCCTTAACCCTATGTGGGCTTCTGAGCTCTCTGGCTTAGGTAGGGCTGCCTGAGGGAGGGAAACATGAACCCCCCCACATATGGCAGATGTGCCCATAGGAAAAGAAAGGGCAAGGGGCAGCCATGCCCACCTGGGAGAGAACGGGGAACACACCCAGTGTCAGAGTCCTCCCCAGAGCCTCTTTAAGGACAGGGTGGGATGAGGGTAACTGAGAAGGACTTACTTCAGTGGCTGGACTGTATAGATGGGCAAATGGCTAGGGGTGTGACATAGAGGGGCTTGTGGCAGTGGCTAGACTGTACAGATGGCTGGCTGGCCAGGGCCAACAGCTCCTTGCACGTGAACCCCTCCTGGTCAGAGGTGCACACCACCCTGCCCGAAGCTCCAAGTAGGCAATCACTTAACACTGAGATGGGGGTGGGGTTCTCACACAGTGTAAGTTTTGACAGATTTGTAGAGGGGCGGGAGCAGCCCGTGGTTCTCGCGGACAATTTCCAGGTACTCAGATGGAGTCTCCAGCAAGAATGGCCCACAGCACATCTGGCAGCAGCACCTGACCCCAGAGGGCGGCTCCGGGTTCTTGTCAGACATGGGGGAAAAGTCAAAATCAGCCACCTATGGTGAACAAAACCCCACGGGTCAATTACCCGCCCACTGGGAACCCCATCGGGTGGCCTTATGAGCTCAGCTGCCTAGCAGCAGAGTGCATAGAAACACGCTTTTGGTGCCACACTTACGCAAGGGACAAGCAAAGAAGGAGATAAGTCAGATGGGATATCAACTTAATTTTTCCCAGTCTATGGATGGGCACTTCACGCCAAGCCCCAGGGCCTTGCTCTAATATCAAGATCCCCTCCAGGCATTCTGGCCTGTTCCCCAAACCCTCTCCAAAGACCCTCCCTAGGCAGGGCCCAGTGGCCCAGCTCCCACTCTTCCAAGCACCCACCTCCACCATGTCCTTTTGCTGAGTTGCATTCCGCAGGGTCATGTACATGATGCAGGCCAGCATCACAGTGATAAGTGTGGCACATGGAAAAGCAAAGACAGCCGGCTGGATGCCTGGGAATGAGAGAGGTGAAGTCACGGGACTGGGTAACTAGTGCAGAAATGTTGGTTCTCAGTAGTTGAGCACAATGGGGAAGAGAATAGTCAATCCCCATCAGTGATTTCTTTCTCTTATGTACATGCATCCCAACCAGGCACATCTAGGACTTCAAAAAATATATAATAAATTTGGGTGTGGGTATTTTTTAAATACATCCACAAGTTACTTAATAGTAACTTCCAAGAGGGGCAGCTAAATCCCCTACCCCTTGAGTGTGGCTGGACTCAGTGACCAGCTCCTAGGGTGCAGCAGATGACAGGAGAGATGATGCATGACTCCCAAGTCTAAGCCATAAAAGACATCACAGCTTCCTCCTCGATCTCTTGAGTAATGTGTTTTGGGGAAGGAAAGGCATGTTGTGAGGACATTCAAGTAGCATTGTGACATCTACTGCAGATTCCTGCCCTCTGGCAACTCCAGGCTCACCCACTGAGCCTGTTGCTAGGAAATGGCGTGGTAGAGTAGAAAGAGCCCGGTGTCTGTAGCTGGGCAATCCTGGGTTCAAATCCTGGCTGTGACCAGACTACCTGGTGCTAATGCTGACCTTCAAGCCTGCCATGAAGATACAATGAGGAGGGGATATGGATGTGCCTGGCATGTGGCAGGTGATCAGGAAGTGTGGGTTTCCTCTCACTCTTCCCTCACCCTCTGCTATGAGGATCTGTTTCCTAAGAAAAGGCCATGCCGATGACCTGTACTGCTGTCCTCTCTGCAGTATTCAGAGGGCTCCAGGCACTTGGTGTCCAGCGGGTGTTGAGAGCCCAAGGCCCCCATCCAGGGCCCAGAGTGGAGCATAGTGTCTGCTCAGGGGCTCAGAGAGGTACTGGGGAGACTGGAGGGGACAGTGACAGCATCAGGTGTACCTACAGGGCTATCTTGAGGACAGGTGCAACGGGCAGGGTTTGGCGTGAGCTCAGGGGCACAAGGAACTCCTACCCCAGGAACCAGCACTGGACCAGGACCCAGAAAGCCTGAGTTTGGCTTGTTGCCTCCCTTTGCCTTAGTTTCCCCTTTTGTAGCGTGAAAGGTGGGACCAAGTTAGGCATCTGAAAGACCACACTGCTGCTAGGATCCTTTCTCCTCTATGTAAGGAAGCATTTTTCTGGGGTCCCAGAGTCCCTCAAGGAAATGTAGTGTAGAACCCAATGCTGCCGTCGGCTAATCCTGTGCCCGTAAGCCAGCGGCCAGTCTGCTGACGACGGTTTGGGGAAGGACACTCCAAGGGGAGATGGCTGGGTGTCCTTATTAACGACATGGTGTGTGCTTCAGACTTTCTGAGCATCTCCTTCTCCCTGGACCACTCACCGCAGCCCTGTGAGTTGGGGGTGCTGTTAGGGGTGCTGGTTTTCGAGGTGGCAACCGCTGCAACAGAGGTGAAGAAGGCAAAGTTGGGGGGTGGGGGGGCTCATTTGGCGTGGGAGTGTTCATGCTGGGGACACGTGTGGTCTCAGGAATACATGGGAGGCAACATTAATAGCGATGGTGTTGGTCCACAGGGCGGGCGCTGGTTTGGGCTTATAGGGGTGGGGGGGGCAGGGCTCACAGAGGGGATTGCGGGTGAATGCTGGTTGAGTCGCCAGTAGTGATGGTGCTGGGAGTTATTATCAACAGCAGAGTGCACGGTGACGGCGGTAGCCGAGTTGGTGGTTGGTGGTGGTGCTGGTGGTGGTGGTGGCGGCGGAAGTGATGGGTGCTGGTGTTGGGGTGGCAGAGCTGGCTGGGGGTGCTGGCAGTGGGCCAGCAGTGGTGTTGGCGGCTGCTGGAGTGGGCAGGTTACTGATGGTGCTGCTGCTGGTGGGCTTGGGTGCTGAGGGCCTCGGTAGGGCTGGCTGGTAGGAGCTGCTGGTGGCAGTGACAGGGTGGACAGGCCTGTGCTGCCCGTGTGGCACTGGAGCAGAAGGCGAGGGGCCACTTACTGGAGGGCCACACCTGGACCCTGTGGTACTGGTGCGTCTTGCTGATGGCGTTCTCCGCCCGGATGCTGAAGCAGTAGTCCCCGGGGTCCCTGAAGATGTGGGTCAGGTTGTACTCCGTGCTGTCCACGGTGACGGGGTGGCATTCCCCCTCCTCCAGCGGGAGGCACTCGGGCTTGAGACGCCAGCACACGGTCAGCGGGGGGCTGCAGGGAAATGGGGACAGTTTTCCAGAAATGGCTCGACAAAGAGCATGAGCACAGACCAAGGCCAAGAAAGGCCCGCGGGCATGAGCATCAGTGTCCTTTCTACGACAGGACACCCAGCTGTCCGGGCCTCAGTGTCACACATTCCAGACCAGGGAACACAATGGTGCAGAAGGGATGGCCCCAGACCCCCTTGGGATCTCAGGCTAGTGAGGCAAACAGAGGCACACAGACTGCTGACTAGGGGCAGAAGGAGTGCTCCAGTGGCACACTCTGTGTGCTTTAGAAGCACAGGGGAATAATGAGCACATCCTTAGAGGAAATCTGGGAAGGCTTCCTGGAAGAGGTGGCATTTGAGCAGGGTCTGAAAGGATAACTAGGCCTTTAACAGGTGAGAAAGGGTGAGGGTGTTCCAGGCTATCTGCAGGCCACAGGCTCAGAAGCCAGAAAACACAGGTCCTTCCTAAACCCAGGTTCCGAGTAAAAGCTACACACTTGAGCCACCTGATGGATAATGTCTGCCAAACTCAATGCCTTCCCATCCTCCACATGCTAAGCTCCTGCCTCCAAAGCCCCCGAACGTTTTAGAAACCCCTGCAATCCCTAAGTTAGCTCGTCATCCTCTTTCCTGGGCCTCCCTTGCCCACCCTCCACCTGGCCTGCATCCGTCCAACATGTCCCTGCGTGGGGACAAGAGTCCTTCGAGGGCTGGGCCCTGACCACTGACCTCTGCAGCTTTATCCATCCCAGTGGCCCCAGGGGGGTAAGAGATGCCCGTGTGGGGAGGACACACCCAGCACCTCTAGCGTCCTCGCTCATGACGCTGTACTTGCCAAGAGGCTGCACCAGGCCCCCAGCGGGCAAGCTCCTTAGAATCCCCTGGGACACCTGCTTCTGCCTTGTGGTGTCCCCCATACACACAGAGCCCTTAGAAGCAGTGGCTCTGTCTGTCCACACGTGTCCCTCCAGGTTCTAGAACAGTTCCTGGTCCAAAGCAGACACTCAGCCAACTGGTGCCAGCTCCCCTGTGCTGGCAGGAGGGCAGGACAGGCTCTCGGGAGGCTTTGGAGGACGGGAGTGTGAGCATGTGAGAGGAGGGGGAGGGGGCTCTGGGGCAAGGAACCGCGTAGGCAAAGGCCAGGGGGCTGGAAACAGGCCCACATGGCCCATGGGGGCTCGTTACAGGAGAGGAGCCTCCCCTGCCTTTGCCTCCGTACCCCGGCTCCAGACACCCCACAAGGCCTGTCCTCTCTCCCTGGCACGTTGAGAATGGAGCTGTGCCCACAGTCTCCCCATGCACAGACTCAGGGCGGAGTGGCCCCCCTTGCTTGGGGACTGTGAGGAGATGCAGCAGGTTGAGGAGCACTGTCAGAGCATGTAGGCAGAGCCCTCTGGGGTCCACTCACCTCCCCAAGAAGTTCAAGGTCACCGTCAGCTTTTGGAAGGTCTGAATTAGAGTGGGCCCCAAGACCTGGATGCCTCGAAGGGTTTCTGTAAGGCAGAAAGAGCCCCTTTAGACCTGGTGGCTGAGGACTGCTGTCATAGGCTCCCAGGACCCAGTGCTGTGTGACCTCCACCCTGTCCTCTCCTCTGTTCCTCTCCCAAGGGAGGGTTGCAGGTCTGTCCAGGGCACCGTGGCGTCTTGCCCTCCCCTGTTCAGCAGCAGGTGGTGGAGCCAGCTTAGAGGGAGGAAGTTGGAGAAGGTAGGCAAAGGGCGACTGTCCTATCCACTGCCACCAAGCCATCATCTGTGCCCCTCGGGAAAGCACCACCCCATTAGCAAGAACCAAGAAATCTTCCGAATCTGCCCAGGTCTCCCTCTCGCCAAAGCTAGACACAGGTTTGGAGATGCCCTCCCTGTGCAGTGGACGGACGCCGTCCACCCCGATGGGGTGAGCTTGAAGGAAGGCGGTGTCTCCTTGGGGGAACGAGACCAGCAGGACGGGCCAGCTCCCGGCAGACAGCTGGTCACAGGCTCTGGCTCTGGGAGCAGGCAGCCCTGGGCTCAAATGGCACTCGGCCACTGTGGCCTTTGGTGTCATCTTTAAAGCAAGGTTAATGACAAACGCTGCTCAGAGGACAGCAGGGCACGAGAAGACAGGGTGTGCCTCTCGCCTGAGCCACTCTAATCTGTGCGGGCAGTGCCCGCCCCCCCCCCAGGAAGGAGCCGTGTTGGGGATCCCCATGGGGCAGGACACTCAGGCTTTGTCAGCCCAGCCAGAGACCCACCCTGCAGCCTCAGCGAGGCGGAGAAGTCACCGGTCTTCTGCATAACGCCCTTCACAGCATCCGGCTCTGCCTGCTCCCACTCTGCCACCACTTTGAGCTTCACGGTGAAGGTTCCAATGATGGAATAGTTGTAGTAAACCACAGAGTCTTCCGTCACCATCTGGGTCCTGTAAGGGGACAAGGAGGAGAAATGGGGACCGTGTCAGAAGCTTGTTTCCCCTTCTTGTAGCTCAGAAATGATTTGTGTGACTTGTTAGAGTCAGGGTGGCTGTACGGTGACGTTCCTGGCTACCAATGAGCACACCTGTCATTGAAGCAGAGCCTCTATTGCTGACTCAAGGTCAGCTGGCCCATTTCCCAGATGAGGAAACTGAGGCCAGAGAGGGCAGGAAGGGACCCACATCCCTCCCTCTCCATGTGGATGAAAGGTTCTGTGTCCTCCAGGAGGCAGCTATGACAGCCCATCAGTCTCAAGTTGCACAAAGGCGGCTGGCAGGGTTCTCAGCTCTGCAGACTGTCAGAATCACCCCTGGCTTTGATACACCAACCATCAGATGCCTTCACCAGTGCCAGCACCTTCGAAGTCTGGGTCCCACTGGCCTCCTGGTCACCCCTGGAGAACTTGCCAGAAGCCTACACTGTGCTTACATAAAGTGGCTGCTCATTGTCTTTTTGCTACTAGGTTACAGCTGGGAGAACTCCTGGCCATGGGCTCTCTCTGTCACCCCACCTCCCAGCCAGGAATCTGGGAGAGACCTCATGTTAGAGACAAGGACACAATGGGTAGGAGAGAAGTGTGAACTTTGGAGTTAAGACAACACCTGGCTTTGAATCTCTGCTCCAGACTTTCTATTTAACTCTAAGCCTTACCTTTCTCATCCATAAAGCAGGGAGAATCATACCTCCATCATATAATATATAAGGTATATGACATCATGCTTTTTTCCTTCAACTACCCGAACCACTTCATAAGGAAGTCTAATAACAAGAACATCTTTGTGTTGCTTGGTCAATGCTCTTTACATATGAAGTTTATTAAAACTCATATATATCTTCTAAATATTTTCTCCCAGTTTACCCTTTATCTTTTAATTTGATTTCCTTCTTTTACATTCAAATTTTATATTTGGTAATGCTGGTCTAGCAAGTTTTTTCAAGTTTCTGTCTTTGTTTTATTCTTAGAAATGCTTTCTTCAGGCCAGGCATGGTGGCTCATGCCTGTAATCCTAGCACTGTGGGAGGCTGAGGCAGAAGGATTGCTCAAGGTCAGTAGTTCGAAACCAGCCCAAGCAAGAGCGAGATCCTATCTCTACTAAAAATATAAATAAATTAATTGGGCAACTAAAAATATATAGAAAAAATTAGCTAGGCATGGCGGCACATGCCTGTAGTCCCAACTACTCGGGAGGCTGAGGCAGGAGGATTGCTTGAGCCCAGGAGTTTGAGGTTGCTGTGAGCTAGACTGACACCATGGCACTCTAGCCTGGGCAACAGAGTGAGAGAGAGAAAGAAAGAGAGAGAGAGAGAGGGAGGGAGGGAGGGAGGAAGGGAGGGAGGGAGGGAGGAAGGAAGAAAGAGAGAAAGAAATGCTTTCCCCATTGTCAAATTATCCAGTTGCAGGTGATCATCTACATTTTGATCTAGTGCTGGTTCCTTGTGTTTGATTTCTTAATCCATCTGAAGTTGCTTTTCTTATGAGTCAGGTTGTTTCTCTCCCAAATACTTAAATAACTGCTCCAGTGCCATTTCTTAAATAATCCATCTTTACTTACTGGCTGGAAATATCACTGTTATCATATTTTGAATGTATATAAACTTAGGTTAGTTTCTGTATTTTCTATTCTATTCCATTGAGCTGCCTGTTGTTGCTACAAAAATGTTTATAGCTTTTCAAATACATGTATGAATGCATTTTCAGTTCCTTTCCCCATCCCTGTTCAACATAATTTTGCTTTTCTGGTCATTTTTCTTCCTCTCACAATATTTAGAAATTCTATCTTCATTTTTTAAGTCTTCTTAAGATTCTCAGTATAGTTTGTGGTTTTATTCACATAGGTCCTACGATTTTAGGTTAAGTTTATTATTGTTTTTTATATGTTTTATATCTATTATAAAAGATCTTTTTTACCATTATATGGAAAAGCTATGACTGTTTCATCACATATTACTAAAACCTCTTTTTAGTTCTAAGACTTTGCAGTTGAGTCTCTTGTAGTGTCCTTGTAAACAGTGTTGTCATCTGTATATAATGATTTTGTCTCCTCCTTTATAATATTTATGTTTCTTTTCCTTATTTCATTGGCTAGTCAAGAAAAATGTTCAGTTACAATAGAAATGGTGAATAAAGTCCTTGATTTGAAAGGAAATGCCCCTAATAAATATGGAGATGGTCCACTGGTTTGAGACAGATGATCCAGATGTTCTTTTATGATAAAAATCATATATATGTATGTATATATATAACCTAATTGGATAAACTTTAGAATCTTTATCACATTCCAAAAATTATTCACTTATTCCTATTGAAATTTTTCTTGGATTTTCACTAAACTTACAGAATAACTAGGGTTGGGGAGGGCTGGACATCTTACAATATTAAGATTCACCAAGCAGGACGTGGTGTACATACCCATTGCCTAAATCTTTGATACCTCTCAGTAGCTCTGTAGTTTTCTTCACGCAGGATCTTGGCCATTTCCAGGTTAAGCATGTTCCTATATTTATTTTACAAACTAGTTTTGATATTATTAATAGGACTCTCCTCTTTACCTTCTAACTTCTTATTACTGGTGTATAAGAAAGCTATTGATACCTTCCATTGGTTTCCTACCTAAATTCTTATCATTTCCTCCCCCCCACTGCTTCTCTGGACCTACACTCTCTAATATATAGCTACCAGACACATGTGGCTGCTGAATTTTAAATTAAATAAAATTTGAAATTCTATTTCTCAGTCATATTAGCCAAGATGCAAAGGCTCAACAGCCACACATGGTAGAGAGAGAATCACTGAGTTTCCAATAGACACACAGAGCTGTTTCTTCAAGTAAATAACACAAGTTTCTGCAAGTCGATGATGTTTTCTGCAAATTGCTTTGTGATATTTATCCCTCGTTTATCTTCTTGACTTTATGAATGAGTTAGAACTTCCATGATGACCTTGAAAGATACGAATAAAGAGCATCCTTGTCTTACTCCTCCATCTAGGGACAGTGCCCCCACCAGGATTTTGATGGAATAATTCACCTGAAGTGTTGGACCGCAGGTCCCGATTCTCACCTAGGGCGAGGGAATCCACACTCTACAGTTTCACCACTCCGTATAATCTTAATTGTTGGTTCCAGCAACTCCTCTTTCTACTTTACTGAGATTTCATTGCACATCCATGTCTGCCTATTCTAACACTTTTTTGGCATCTAAAGAGATGATCTTAGGATCTTTCTCCTTTAACTTATTAAAATGATGAACCCAAATAATGATATTCCTAACAGTGAATTGCTTTTAGTATTCTAAGATACTCCTGACTTCCATGCATCTTAAATTAGGTTATGCAAAGGCTGTGGGCAAACCTAGTGCGTCTTCCAGACGTATCGCCATTATTTTTAGATCAAAAGGAACATAGATACATTATGGAGTAGAGAACAAAATGTGCATCTGTTTTCGATATGAAATATACCGCTTAGAAAGACAGGTTGCTCTTGGGCTAGACCCTTTCGTGAGCCTGGAAACTGCTCTTCTGAAGATAAAGGGATTTTAGTGACAATTTTAGACATGGTATATTATTATTTTAATGAAGTGCTATGTTAAATTCGCTGTTATTCCAGATAAAAATCATTGCATTTGAGGTTATAATTTAAATGGCATATTGTCTTCTTTTTTGAGCTATGTTAATTTTGTAGAATGAATTGAGAAGCTTTCTATCTTGGTCTATACCCTGTAGGACTTTATATCACAACAGAATTACTGTATCTTTGAAAGCATAAAATAACTTGCCAGTAAAACCATCTGGTTCAGACCCCTTTCTTAGAGATAATTCATTTGCAACATTTTCTACTTTCAAGTCAATTCTAGACATTTACATTTTCCTAGAAAATCATTCAATTCATTGACATTTTTAAATACATCAGCATGGAGTTTTGAATTGTACAAAGTACCCTATTTTACAATTTTTAAAAAAATCTTATCACTTTACCTGTAGTGATTGCTCCTTTCTCATCCTTGATAAGATTTTTAATGTATGTGTATAGAAGTACAATTTCTTTTAAGAAAATTAAGAACTAAATTTTAACTTAAGAAATTAATACTGGCTTGAAGTTTTGTACTTTATTTCCCCTGTCCCTCCTCAAAAAACAAAAACAAAAAACAACTTTGAGTGTATCAATTCTGTTTTTCTATGTTCTAATTCATATTTTTGTATTTATTACTTCCTTCATCCTTGTTCTGATATGTGGAGTTTTTCTTCTTTGTGAGTGAGTGCTTTATTTTAATTCCTATTTAATAATTAAAACACTTAAAACTATTTGACTCTAATTACAGCTTTGGAACTATTCTCTAAATTTGTATGTATTAATACCCTTCATAGTTATTTTCTAAATGTTATGTCATCACAGTTAAAAGTTACTTGTGACCCCAAATCATTTATGAATCATGTTTTAAAATGTTGAATTGGTGGGGTGTCTGTTTGCCTTGGGTTGCACTGGATAGTCGAACAATATGATTGAGAGTAGCGGCTTTGGGTCATGGTGTCACTTGACCTGGACCCTGAAATGGACCATGTGGGCAGTCAGTCATGCCTAGACAATGGGCCCCTGTTATATACTGAACTGTGGCCCCCAAAATTCATGTGCTGAAGCCTTACCCCCCACCCCCTGTGACTACATCTAGAGACAGGGCCTCTAAAGAGGCAATTAAGGTTAGATGAAGTCCTAAGAGTGGGACCTTAATCCAAGAGGACTGTTGTCCTTATAAGAAGACGAGGAGATGCCAGATCTCTCTCTCTCTCTCTCTGCCCCCCTCCCTCTCCTTCTCCCTCTCCCTCTCCTTCTCCCTCCCTTCCTCTGCCCTGGCAGAGGAAAGGCCCTGTGAGGACACAGTGACAAAGTGGCTGTCTACAAGTCAGGAAGACAGCCCAGAAACCAATCCTGGTGGCACCCTGATCTTAGATTTCCAGCCTCCAGAATTGTGAGAAAATAAATGTTCTTAGTGTAAGCCACCCAGTGTGTAGCATTTTGTTACAGCAGCTGAGCAGACTAATACAAGCCCCAATAAAACCCCGAACACACATGCAGCTGAGTTTCCCTGGGTGGCAATGCTCTGTGCATATTGTCACACAGTGATGCTGGGAATGTGGCATGTCCTGACTCCACAGAAGCTCTGCATTTGGTAATTCCCTGGGCTGATTTTAATCTGTATCCTTTACTGAGAAAATGAAGCTCCTACATTCTCTGTTAAGGGATTTTTTGACATTTTAAGCTATAGAATGTGATTTTTAAAAATTTTTATAAATACCTCATGGAATATTTTGTTTTTAGGCTTAAGGTTCTACATACATATATATTTACTCAGTCAAACTAATTATGTTATGAAAATCCTCTGTTGTTACCTTAGTCCTCCTTACAATATCAAAGTCTGAGTGTGGAACATTAAAATCTATGGCAAATGTTTTTGTTTTTGTTTTCTTTTTTTCAATCTTTCTGGGTAACTTCCCCAACGGGACCTTTTTTATATATTGTGATGCTCTAATATTCCAAAAGCTCAGGTCTGTAATATCGTCCCTGTAAATTTACCTTTTACATCCAAAGGAATCCTTTTTGTTCTTTTTAATACTTTTCATCCCAAATTCTATTTTTCGTATGTGAATATTGCTAGCATTGCTTTATTTTTGCTTTATATGTTACATTTCTAAGCAAATATATGTATTTATTCATATTTGCTCTCCCTTCCACAAATGTTTTTAAAGCAAGACAAAGCTCTAAGTCTAGGGCAGCCAGTGGTGGCTTTCATCTCATGTCTAGGCTCAGAAAGCCTACTATGCATAATAAAATAAAAAAGTTAAGAAACATGCCTGCTTTTCCCCCATTCTGTATAAAGAAGAAAATCCAACACAAAAGAGTAGCCCAGGAGAAAAATAGTAAAATCTATTTTTTTCAATTCACATTGCACAGAAAATATGCCCATTATTAAAGTAAGGGGTTAAGCTATTGAGGTATTTAAATAAGGGACAAAAGGAATAGATTTACATCTATAACAGAGGATGCCCTGCTTAACAATATGGAAGAGTGTGCTGCCCACCATGGTGTTAAGAGAAGAGTCAGCAAACTACCACCCATGGGCTAGATCTGGCCCACCACTTGTTTTTGTAAATAAAGTTTTATTGGAACGCAGCCACGCTTGTTTCTTTACATATTGTTTATGGCTGCTTTCACACTCCAATGGCAGAGTTGAGTAGTTGTGATGGAGACCATATGTCTTCTCAAGCCTAAAATACTGACCATGTGGGCCTTTAAAGAAACATTTACAGACCCCTGGGCTATAACACCGGAACAGGACACCAAGGGACTTCCTGGTATCCTCTGTGGAGGGGCATAGGGTATGGTGGTTGGAGCGAGGACTTTCCAGCTGGCAGCCCTATTTCTGAAAGTGTGAGTTAGATATTATTATTCTCATTTTTTCAGAAGAGGACGATGATACCTGAGGGCTCACCTGGTCTGTACCTCCATTTCCTTACCTGTGAGTTGGATGTAACAGTAACTACCTCTCAGGGTGACTGTGAAGATTACATGAGATCATGCGTGTGAAACCCATGTAGAAGAAGTATAGGGTGGGAGTAGGGAGGGGGATTTCTGAAAAGAAGAGAGACAGCAACTCTCCTTAAAGCAAGGTTGGGGGTGCTGGCCCAATAGGCCTCTCCCAATTCTTTCCCACTCCATTCCATATTTTTCTGCCTTCAAAATTTTGGCCTTTCTTAGCCCTGCAGAGAGCACAGCGGATCCCTGGAGCCCAAAGATGGGTTCCCAAGTTCATCTCGGGCTCTGTGTCTTTACATGCGCCCCTCCCTCACTCCCTGCAGGGACCTGGGGAGACCCGAGAAGACTGGGGGGTCTGCACTGAGCTGCACTGCGGACAGCAGCATCCTCTTATGAGCTTGGGTGTCTGTCCAAGGGCTGCCCAGGCTCCGTCCCCAATCCCCTCTTCCCAAGCCGCCTCCTCCAGACTGGCTTGTTTAGAAAGAGGAGCCTTGGGTTCTGCCCCGCATCTGCCATCCCTGGCTGGGTGCCCTTTAAAGTCAAATGGGGAAAAATCCTACCTACCTTGACCTTCCTTAAAGGGCTGATTTGGGCACTGATGGCCTCCTCTGCTAGGCTGCGACACTCAAAGGCAGAGCCAGCCACTGATTCACCACTGGTCCCCAGGGCCGCGAGGCCTGGCAAGCAGCAGGTGCTCGAGGAACGTTTGGAGGGAAAGTGAGGGGGGAAGGGCGGGGAGGTGCAAAGCACTCTGCACCATACATGGGATGACAGGGCCCTGGCCACGGCTTTGGGGAGTGAAGGGGGGTCAGGACATACCCGTCTCCGAAGTCCCAGCTGTAGAGAAACGAGGCAGTCTTGAAGAAGTTGCTTGGGTCGTGGAGGAGGAAAGAGACTTTGAGGATGGTCTTGGTGAGGTAGGAGCTGGGCCAGGGCAGGGAGGTGTTCTGGGTGACCACGAGGTTTCCCACCAGGAACTCTGGGAAGACACAGGGAGGGCGGAGCCTGGGAGTGACCTCACCGGCAGCTGGCAAAGCCGCTACTCCCCCACCCAGACCTCTGGCTGTCAGAGCTGGGTGGGGTGAGGGGACCCTGAAGAGCCCCCAACACAGAGGCAACCAGGTTGGCCCCCCTGTGCGTGGACACCACTGAGGACTCGCAATGTGTGACATGTGCACAGTTTTCACTCCTGCCCCTCTTCCAGGGACCCCAAAACTTCTGCCACAAAAGATGCCCAGGACCAGAAGGAAATACACAGGCTTCCCAACCAAAAGTACCAAAGGGAACTTTTGGTAAATATTTTAAAATGTTAGATGAACCTAGAAAAAGGAGCAGTGCTACTGATTGCATCTCCATACCCAGTGTGGTAGGCTGGGTCAGGCCACTGTCCTGTTTCCTTCTCTAAAAAGAAAAAAAAAATAAAATAAATGATTTTTTTTTTCATCAGGAAAGCAGAAGGTAACACAGACATGTTCAGTAGAGCTCATTTGGAAAATGCTCAAAAGTAGAATGAAAGAAGCTACCTAGCATTCAAACACTAGCACTGTGCACATTTTGAAGTGCTGCAAAGTATTTGTGTGTGTGTTTAACATATACACATATTAAACACAGTTCGTCTGGGTTAGACAATTCTGTACTTTGCTTTTTTTATATGTAATTCTACAAGTATGAATCAATACCCGTGACATTACAAAGTCATTGTAAGGGTCACTGTTAATAGTTGATTCAATTATTTCATTATATTTAACCAGTCCCCTAGTGGCTGCACACTTAGCTTGTTTATATTTTCTTTTGCTATTATAAAGACCAGTGCAATGAACATCTTAGTGCATAAAGCATTATCCAAATTGAGGTTTACTTCCTGAAGATAAATTCTTTATTAGACTGGAAGCTCCAAAAGGATAAGAGGGCAGGAAACTCTTGGAAGAGAGAGAGAGAAGAGAGAGAGAGAGAGAGAGAGAGAGAGAGAGAGAGAGAGAGAGAGAACGCAGAGAGGGAGAGAGAACCAGTAAGTGAATGATTGGGTCAAAGACTAAAACAACCTGTAACCATCAATACATACTGGCCCACTGCTCTCCAAAGGATTGTATTAGTTTATACACCGCAGCAGCAATATGTGCTTTAAGTGTCCATTTTAACACAATTCCTGCCAGAGTAGGGATTATTAATATCATTTTCTGACTCCTTTTAACTTGCCTGACAAGAGAGAATGAGCCCAGGAATCTAAGTTGCATTGATGTGCGGATGCTTTTTCTCTGCACCAAGGGTTTGAAGGTAAATTGGGAAGCTCCTCACCTGTGACGGGGAGGACCACAAAGCCCCTGGCCACAGGCTGGCACATCCAGCAGTCAGCGGCAGTGACCCAGACGGACACCGGGAACTCCCCAGGCGCACTGTTGACCAAGCGGATGGTGGAGCTGAGATCCTCCTCTGTCTTGCCAATGAGCGTCAGCGGGGTGTGGATCCAGTGGAAGCGGTAGGGGTGGGCTTTGGCAGGCAGGGCCAAGCTGCTGTTGTCCCTGGTCAGCAGGCTGGCCGAGATGGTCGCCTCTGCTCCCGTGGTGCTGGGGCCATCAGTGGTGAGACTGAGTTCAAACAGGCCTAGGAGCCCAGAAACAAAGGCCACACTTCAGGAGGGGGTGTGGCAAGGAGCCCCACTGCCACCTCTGTGCTGGCGTCAGTTATTCTATTTTATGGGTGGAGAAACTGGGGCTCAGGCATCAAGTGATTTGCCCAAGGGTCACTCAGCTAATCCATTGTCAAACTGGGATTCGAACCCAGGCCCAACTGACTCCAAATCTCAGACTCTTTACAGCGTCCCCAAATTAATATATATTTTTTTCATTCCAGCCAAGCAATGCCTTACAGAGCCTGTGGATGGCTGGGGCCTGCCTGGACTTAGACCTTAGCTCAATCTATACAGCGAGAGGTTCCAGATCCGCACCACTCAATATGGTAGCCACTGACCACATGTGGCAATTTAAGTTTCCATAAAAATGAAGCAAATTGAAAACCCAGTTTCTAAGTCACGCCAGCTGCATTTTAAGTACTCAACAGCCCTATGTGGCCAATGGCCACCACACTGGACAGCAGAAAGCCCTACCAGACAGGGCTGTGCTAGGGAAGCTCCAGAGTTCCTGGCAGGGCGACGTTGGACCTCTGTGATTCCAGCCAGGGTGAGCCCTTGGGGAGTTTGACCTGCACTGCCTTGGATGCAGCTCTTGCAGGGAGCCTGGGGCGCATCCTTGCAGGTCACTAGCAGAAGATAGGGCCTTGAGCATAAAAGCAATGGAGGCCAGGGAATGGGGCTTTTAAAATAACACCCCCCCCCACCCACCATATTGAGGGTAAGACTAACTGGAAAATTCTGAAAACAAAGAAAAGTGAAAAATAAAAATTTAAATATCTTATTAATTGTTAAAATAATCAATAACAACCATTGCTACCAGATTTGGACATGTCTTACTGTATTTTTTAATTATATTTTTAATCTGAGATTATTTATCACTTTTTTTTTGCACTTATGTATCCTGGGGATTTCCTCCTCTCTCCCTCCCCTCCCTCCCCTCCCTCCCTCCCTCCCTCCCCTCCCTCCTCCTCTCTTCTTCTTTCTTTCTTTCTTTCTTTCTTTCTTTCTTTCTTTCTTTCTTCTTTCTTTTCTTTCTTTCTTTCTTTTTTCTCTCTTTTCTCTCTCTCTCTCTCTCTCTCTCTCTCTCTCTCTCTTTCTCTCTTTCTTTCTTTGTTGGGAGACAGAATCTTGCTCTGTCAGCCAGGCCAGAGTGCAGTGGCAAGATCATAGCTCACTGCAGCCTCAAACTCCTGGGTTCAAGTGATCCTCTCGCCTTAGCCTCTCAAGTAGCTGGGACTGCAGGAGTGCACCACCATGCCCAGCTAATTTATTTTTATTTTTTTGTAGAGATGGGGTCTTGCTACATTGCCCAGGCTAGTCTCAAACTTCTGTCCTCAAGTCATCCTCCCCCCTCTACATCCCCTCCCAAAGTACTGGGATTATAGGTATACAGTCACCATGTCTACCCTTGGGCATTTTCCTGAGTCATTACTCTTTACTTTAGATAGCTGCATAATGTTATCATGTAACATTTAATCTTACAAAGGTAAGATTTTAAAAATAAGGTTTGTTTCCATTATAAAAGTAATACACATGCATAAAGAATATTAACTATCTTATGACCCTCTCTCCTGAAGATAACAACTGTTACCAGACTGCTGTCCTCCTGTCTCTTTTCCATGCATAGACATTTTTTTAAGTAGTTATAATCACTCTCTACACACAATTTTGAATTATTTTATTTGCACATGACAATATAGAAATAGTCAAAGCAGGTCTGTGGTCTCACTAATATCAAGTTCAACATGTGCACGATAATCCCTCAAGCAGGTATATCTGAATCCACACAACCCTTCATTCGAATTTTCAACAGTGCTCCTGCATATTCAACAGTATTCCTGCATGGAACTCTTTTCCTGCAATTTGGTTCTTTCTTCAGGGGAGATTTCCACAGGGCTCCATGTCAGAGAGCAGCTGGGACAAGGGGAGGAGAGCCCTGCAGGCTGCAGCGTGCACCTGGGCAGAGGAGGTGATACAGAAGGAAGGGGTGAAGGGGCTTCAAGCCCCTCTGCTCCCTTCACTCAAACCCACCTTCCCAACCAAGCTCAGCCCTCCCATGGCTTCAAGTATCCTCTCGATGCCCATAGAGCTCCATAGAGCCCAGTGACATAGACCTACTCCCTGAGCTCTAGGCCCTGCACTGAGCAATACGGTAGTTACTAACCACAATTTAAATTAATATTTTTTCATTTTTGAGACAGAGTCTCACTCTGTTGCCCCGGCTAGGGTGCCGCAGCATCAGCCTAGCTCACAGCAACCTCAAACTCCTGGGCTCAAGCGATCCTCCTGCCTCAGCCTCCCGAGTAGCTGGGACTACAGGCATGCGCCACCATGCCCGGCTAGTTTTTTCTATTTCTTTTAGTAGAGAAAGTGTCTCGCTCTTGCTCAGGCTGGCGTCGAACTCCTGAGGTCAAACGATGCACCCACCTCAGCCTCCCAGAGTGCTAGGATTAGAGGCATGAGCCACCTTGCCTGGCCTAAATTAATCTAATTGCTTCAATGTAATTGAAACTAAAAATTCAGTGTCTCAATCGCCCTTCCCTGCCTCAGAGCCTCTGCACGTGCTGTCCTTACTGCGAGCATGCCCTCTGCACCTATCTGTCCGTGGATATACCCTCTTCCAGGAAGCCTTTGCTGTACCCCTTGCCCTCTCGGTGCTCTCCAACAGCCTGAGCCCACTGCTGTCACCACTTTATGTTGGAATGAAGGTTTCTTCATCTCCCGCACTGCACCTGGAACTCCTTGAGGGCGGAAGTCACCTCCATCTCCCCTTGCCCAGCACAGTGCTTAGCACATAGTAGGTGTCTGGTACTGTCACTGCCAAGTCACAACTAGAGAACAGGGTGTGGCAGGGGGACCCAGGTGGTACTGGGTGTCCCATGTGCACTGTATTCGAAGGTGCTGGGGGACCCAGAAATATAGGACTTGCTCTTGCCCTGAAGGACTTCATGGGCAACCTGTTGGACTCTCAGCCTCTCAGTGAAACTGGGAGGTGAGTTTGTCCTCAGGTTCATCCTATTCACCTGGAACCAACATTGCCTGCCTGCACTGGGGATTCCAGCTCCAGCTTTTCCTCTGGCTCTTTCTTCCAGGGCCCTTTCTTAGTTATAAAGCCATTTGAGTCAAAATGCCAAGGGCTGGAGATTTCCAAGGAAATGCTGGCATTGAAATAGAGACCGGCAGTGTCTTAATCCCAAAGAGAGAATTCCAGGCACTGTGGTAGAAGCTTCTCCAAGCAAATGCAGTGTGCATATTACACTGAGGGACCTGGGGCCACACGGGCCACTGCTGCTGCTGCCTGGGCCCACCCAGTAGGTCTGTGCCACCCTGACTGAGCTCTGTTCTCCCTCCCTTGGGCTAGGAGGCAGCCCTTCGCCAGGCTGCTCAGAGAGAAGTACTTGGATGAGAGGCAACCTCCTCCCTTCTCCCTCTTGCTCCCGGAACCCCCCTCCCCTCCTGCTCCCCACCCCCCTTGAAAGCGTGGGCCAGAGTGAGGCTGGCAGGTGGCAGGGACATTCAGCTGCATGCTAATGGCCAAGCAGCATCTGCAGTGAGATGGGCGCATGTCAGCACGAGGCAGATCCGCAGATCCGCAGATCCGTTGCCAGGGGAATGGAATCAGGAGGGCAGCGGCTAGGCTGGGAGAAGGGAGGGGTGTGGAGGGGAGGGGTGGGTCCGCTGCAGACACTGCGGCAGACACTGGCCCAGCTCTCTGGGGCACCCCACCTGCCCAGCTGCAAGGAGGCTCCAAGGGCACTTTTTCTCAGATGGATTTTTTTTAAATCGGGTGTTCTACAGCCCCTGGTGACACCATCCCTCTCCCTCAAGGCTCTCGGAGGTGTCCAGGGCATGCAGGACTGAAATGGACCACAAAGCCTTTGCCAAGGGTGGCTGAAGAAACCAAGCCCAGGGCCTGCTGCTCTACGCATCGCATTGTCTTTCCAGGTTTGGGAGTGCAGGTGACTTGCCCTTGGAGTATAGAGCAGCCAAGGCAGGGACTTAGGGGACTCCACTGGTGCTCCAAGTGACCCGGAAGGGGCCAAAGCAAAAAAGAGAAGGGAAAACTGTCCTAAAGCTTGGCCCATGGAAGAAATACCTGCCTACCAGGCCCCCAGGGCTTCCACTTGGAGCTGGCACATTTTCAACAACACAGCATGTGGGGCCCTGAACATTCTAGAAAATGACTACACTAGCCCTTTCACACAACCCATGCACACTGCCCAAAACACTTCCCAAGGGTACCTCTTAAGTCTGGATAACACAACCTGGAATTCATTCATGGTCCAGTAATGGACTTCTGACTTCTAAATCCCTGGTGTACAAACCTTCCACGAAGGCAGACTTAGACACAGGAAGGGTTGGAAAAGGCTTTGAAGCCTCTATTTTTCCCCCATAGATAAGAGAGAAGGTATGTTCCCAACCCCACTCGTAGCCACTGTGATTCTGACCATATCAAGGGTTCAATCAGCCAGCCTGGGAACCACACGAATTCCAAAAAATTCATTCACTTTTTTTTTTTGCAATTTATAATTGCATCGATAATTTCTGGACACAAATAAACCTAATAGGCAAGAGACCCCTTTTTAAAGGAAAGTCAGTGAACTTGACTAAGCACAATTCCCACAAAATTCTTCCAATGCATCCATGAGCTTCTGCAGGTTTTTATTTTACCTTGTGGCTTTTCTTTCATTAGATCTCTTTCTTTACATTAGATCTCTTCCTCTCTTTACCACTCTTTTAGGGGCGGGGCGGGGAGGGGGAAAATGAAAAATGTTGGATAATGTTTAACCCTCTTAGCTGCCCACGTCCCACCTGTCCCTCGACAAGGCTCCCATCTGGGTCCTTTTGGTTCCCCAAACGTGGCAGAAAGGTTGGTGCCGGCCTTCCGACGGTGGGCTGTGGGGTTGCCCACGACCGGGTGGGCGCTGAGTGGGCCCCCGAGGAAGCTGTCAGCTCGGGGTCCATTTTGGAAATCACTTCCAGAGAGGAAATGGCAGACTGGCCTCCTGGGTTCTAAGATCGCATCTCCCCAAAGCCAACACACACTGCGTGGAAAACCTCTCCAGATAAGGTGACATTCTAAGGCAAAAACGTTGCTCCGCGGGCCACCCTTCCGTGCACCCTGGGGGGCTGTGGCGAGACGACCTGGGCACATTCCGGCCTCCGCATCCTCCTCCCCTCCCCCAGCGGGTGCCCAGTGCCCAAGCATCCCGACGCAGCTTCGGCCCCCCGCGCGGTTTCCAGCGCAGAGCCCACCCGGGGTTAGAAGCAGCAACCGAGGGGGGCAGGAGCCCCCTCAAGTGCTGGGCCGACTTCTGGGGAGAGGGGAGAAGGGAGAAGGGGGAGAACCGAGGGCTCCACCGTGGCCTCCCAGGACGAGCGCGGTGCGCGCAGGGCGCACGGCGCCACCTCGCAGCCTAACCTGGGGCCGGCCCGCCAGCCGGAGACTGTGCCCGGCCGCGGGCGGGCTGCGGCTGCGGGGAGGCCAGGCGGCCCGGCGCCTTACCTGCGGCCACCCTAGCCGGGGCTAAGGGCAGGAGGCAGGCGAGCCAGAGGATGCGGCCGAGGCGCGACCACACTGCCAGGGCCATGGCGGCGCCGGGAGCCGGAGCAGCGCCAACAGGACGCGGAGGGAGCGCGGCTCGAGCTCGGCGGCGGCTGCGGCCGCTCCTCCCGACGCGCGGCGCGGGCTGTGCGGGGAGGTGCGGGCTCCGCGCTCGCTCGTCCTCGTCTCGGGACGTTGTGTCGCTGCGCGCCACCGCCGCCGCCCACGGCCCGCCGCGCGACCCCGGCCCGCGTCAGCCGCGCCGCGCCCCGTCCCCTCCCTGCGTCCCTCCCCGCATTCGTCCCCACAGAGGCGCCCTCTCCCCGCGTCCCTCCCCACGGCTGCGCCCCCTCCCATCCCCGCGTCCTCATCCCTCCCTGCGCCCCTCCTCTCCCAGGGTCCCCTCCCGCGGGCTCTGACTCAGCGTCCCCAGAGGTGCGCGCTGCGCTGCCAGCCGTCTGCAGGCCCTTTGCGGTTCTCCAGGTGCCTTCGCTCTGCGCGCTTGCAGCTTGGAGATGCTGCTCTTTTTTCAAGAAATGTTGAGCGCCTACAATGTGCCAGGAGCTGGGCAAAGGGGAGCTGGAAATGCCCCCTGTCCCTTCTGCGAAAGCGGCCTCAGTGCTGGGTCCCTGCGCTGGGTTGGATGTCATTCCTCAGTTTACCTTCCCGGAGCCTGCTCTAAAATGGGGCCCGGGACCAGAGCGGTGGCTAATGCCTGTAATCCTAGCGCTCTCGGAGTCCGAGGTGGGAGTATAGCTCGAGGTCAGGAGTTCAAAACCAGGCTGAGCAAGAGTGAGACCCGTCTCTACTATAAATAGAAAGAAATTAATTGGGCAACTAATATATAATATATATAGAAAAAATGAGCTGGGCTTGGTGGCACATGCCTGTAGTCCCAGCTACTCGGGAGGCTGAGGCAGCAGGATTGCTTGAGCCCAGGATTTTGAGGTTGCTGTGAGCTAGGCTGATGCCATGGCACTCACTCTAGCCTGGGCAACAAAGTGAGACTCTGTCTCAAAAGAAATAAATAAATAAAAATAAAAATAAAATAAAATGGGGCTTGGGCTCATATTGGGGCCTGTGGCCACTGAGAGCCTTGTGACAGTCAGACAATCGCGATGAGGGGTGACCAGCCTAAGCAGAGTCTTGCTTCTGCCCTTCAGAGCAGAGCTCTTCTCTCCCAGAAGCTGGCCAGGCCTGGCAGGGCCTGGGGAGCCTGGGGCCTGGGGCCTGGCTCCACGTGGCCTCTGCTTTGCTCCATACCTGGGCAAGGGATCCTCTCACACAGTGAGAGGGTTGGATGGCCTTTCTGGTCCGGCAGGCACAGATATGTAATAATTACATGATCTGCTGCACTGGCATCGAGCACCTACGTGGCATGGCCTTGGTTCCCCCACAGCAGTGGGCTCCCCTGAGGATGGTAACCACCAGCACTGCCATCTCCTGGGAAGGGAGGGGGAACACATTCGAGTGAGCCTTGTGTGAAAAGTTAAAAGTGCTGGACAGGTGTCACTTCCTGGTAGCATCAACCATCACGCTGGTGTAAATACCAACCCTAGGAACCAGGAGACTTTGGGTCCTTCCTGAGCATTATATGACCCTGGAAAATCACTTTCCTCTCTATGCCTGAGTTCCCTTTTTCTTTAAACGGGCGGTAATAGTTCCAACCCCATGAGACTGCCCTAGGAAAAATCGGATCGGAAGTGTCCAGTCAGTGTTGGCTGTCACCAGTAGAATTGCCTGAGGACTTGGGCTGATTTGCTTGTTCATCAGGAATTTGAAGTGCTTGAGAAGAAAATAGTCTGTTAAGGTTAAGAGTTTCAAACATTTAAGATAAGACTGTTTAACATTATTCAAAGATCTGGTTGTTAGTGGTGTTTACAGTGCACTAAAGAGAATAAAATGTATTGTTTTTTAAATGTGTAACTTTATTGCATTGAATAATAATTTTACAGTAGCCTCTGTCTATGTCACAGTAGCCAACTTTGAGGCCAACCTGAGGCTGATGTTGATTTGACCCTTTTGCTAATTCCTGTCTATCAGCCGGGATTTTACATAAGCATCATTCCCCTGCCACCACCTTCCCTCTTTAGGACTCTCACAGCACCCGTCCCTGTTCCATCTCATAACAGGCCCAGAAGCCCCTTTATTCCAGAGTCCTGCAGGGAATGTCTGATGGCAGAGGGGCAGGAAATCCTTTCAGAAAGCCAGCTTTTCTAAATTAATGTTGTTGACTAGAAATATAATTTGAGCCATGTATGTCATTTTAAATTTTCTAGTAGCCACATTTTAAAAAGGAAAAAGAAACAGGTGAAATTAATTTTAATGCTGTATTTTACTCAATATATTCAAAATATCATTTCCATGTATAATCAGTATTAAAATTATCAATGAGATATTTTACCTCATTTTCTTCATCCTAAGTCTTCACCACCTGGTGTGCCATTTATATTTGGAAAACGTCTCCATTCAGACGTGTGGCTGGTCTACTGAAGTGGAAAGCACAGTTTTAAACTGAGTATAAATGCATCTTGCCATCCCAAGGGTCATTTTTTCACAAATTCTCACAGTCTAGCCTACACAGACCACATGTACCTCTTACTGCAGTGACTCTGACTCTACTCCCAGCATCCTGGCCTGGTGTACCTGCCTGCCTTCAACTTAGTATATGGTTTGGTGCAAAGTATTTGCTTGTTAAATGGCTGAAGGAAAAGGATGAACGGTTCTTTTGGAAATTCCCCCAAGCCCTGGAACATGAATCAGTGAAAGTTCATGTGGACAACCATTTGTTAGTGCCTCTTCCTCCATGCTGGCCCCTTGGGCTGCTTTCATGGACATTATCTCATGGGATCCCTGCAATGGCACACAGAGGAGACATCCTCTCCTCTGGTGAGGTGAACATTGGCCACAACACACACAGAGGGCAGCCATAATGGGGGGTTGCCTGGGGCCATACAGCCAGAACAGCAGCCACAGGCAACCTCTGGAACCCAGAGATAGATAAGAAGTTGTGGACAGTAAAACCTCATTCACTGGCTCTGAGGTGTGTGGCCTGCTTTGGTTAATTACATTTTTCTGCGCAATGGAAAGTTCCCACTTCGTCAATTCCTGCCAATGAAAATCTTTCTAAAGCTTGTTGGTTGATCTGTTGGCTCTAGCAAGGTGGTATAACTGAAGCTCCTTTGGTAATGGAAGGGCGGCAGCCCCATGGTCCATATTCCTACCACATGTCCTCATTGTCCTGCACAGGGCATGCAACTGTGGGAGGTGGGGGCCCTGGCCAGATAACAATGACTCCAAGAGCACCTTGCTTTTAGGGCTAAATCCTGGGATAGTTTGGGAGGCGGAAGAGGTTTGTGAAATGGAGTTCCCTTTGTTGAATTCAGGGCCTCAGCTCTGTCAGAGTACTGGATTTGTCAGACCTTAGGACACCCAGTTGCCCTGTTGAAACCCATAATCAATCCGGGGAGGATAAGGTGCCGGGTGATCACAGGAAAGGTTCTTTGCAGGGGTGGAACCCACAGGGCCAGGCTCTGGGGAGCCCAAGGTGCAAGGCAAAGGCAAGCAGAGACTCCAGCATGTAGTGGAGGAGGGAGAGCCTCTTGGTGGCTCTCAAAGGGTCGTGCTGAGACTTTGTGCCCTGACTCACTCTGTGATGGAGACCACCTGTGCAGATTGTTCATGCCCACCACAGTGGATATTTTGGAACTCCCTGCACTCTCCTTTCTAATGTTCCAGTGGACTCCTACCTTAGGGAGGGCATTATTCCAGGCAGGGTACCCATTTGTTCATTTGCTTAATAAACATCTGTTATGGGCTGAATGGTTGTTGCTCTCAAAATTCCTACATTAAAGCCCTAACCCTAAAGTGACTATATTTGGGACAGGGCCCTTAAAGAGGTAATTTAGGCTAAATCAGGTCATAAGGGTGAGGCCCTTATAAGAAGAGGAATAAGGCAGGGTGCAGTGGCTCACACCCGTAATCCCAATACTCTGGAAGGCCCAGGTGGGATCACATGAGCTCAGGTGTTCGAGACCAGCCTGAGCAAGGGTGAGACCCCCATCTCTACTAAAATAGAAAAATTAGCAGGCATCTTGGGGCATGCCAGTAGTCCCAGCTACTCAGAAGGCTGAGGCAGAAGGATCACTTAAGCCCAGGAGTTTGAGGTTGCTGTGAGCTATGATGACGTCACTGCACACTACCCAATGACAGAGCGAGACTCTGTCTCAAAAAAAAAAAAAAGAAAAGAAAAATAGCCAGGAGAGGTGGCACATGCCTATAGTCCCTGCTCCTTAGGTGGTTGAGGCAGGAGGATGGCTTGAGCCCAAGAGTTCGAGGCTGTCATGGGCTATGATTGTGACTGTGAACAGTCTGGGCCACATGGCAACACTCCATCTCTGAAATAAAGAAAAAAAGAGGAAAACCCACCAGACCTCTTTCTTTTTCTTTCTCTTTCTCTTTTTCCCAACGTGCCCACAATGAAGAGGTCATGTGAGCATGCAGTGAGATGGTGGCTGCCTACAAGCCCAGAGAAGAGGCCTCAGAGTGAAACCTACCTTGCTGATAATTGATCTGGGCCAGCCTCTGGAACTGTTGCTAAGCCACCCAGTCTGTAGTGTTATGTTATGGCAGCCCTAGCAGATCAAGACAATACCCAATGGGCAATGGGAATACCTTGGTGAACAAAGACAGAAAAGGAGGGGAAACAGATGATAAATGAGTAAATAAATAATTTCAGATTGTGAGGTTATGGGGGAAACAATATCATGAGAGACAGGATGTGGGAGAAGTTTTCTCCCATATTTGCTCTTACGGAAGGGCTCTTTGAGGTGACATTTGATCTGAGCAAGGATGACAAGGAGCCAGCTCTGTGACTCTGAGAGAACATTGCAGATGGGAGAACTGGCTGCAAAGGTCCTAAGCCAGGAACAATGTGGGTAGGTATGAGGCACTGAAAGGCCACTGTGGCAGGAACGTGATGAATGAGGGATGAGCTCAGAGGTGAGCAGACCCAGGTGATGAGGGTGTGTTGGGAAGTCTTCACAGGGTTTTAAGCAGAGGATGGAACATGATCTCATTTACCCAATAGGGATGAAGTTGACTGTCCCTAACCTCTAATTTAGGAGACAGACAAGAAAAAAGGCAAAAAATCATGACAGTGTGCTGGGTATTTTGATAGAAGCTCAGGACACAGGGAAGTGCAGCAATTTTGTCAATGGTTATGGCTGGACCCAACTATAGATCTTAATAGTATGTGGTTAAGATGAAACTTATAAAAAAAATTGTCTACTACTTTTTCTCTCTGCCTGTCTCCCACCCCCAAACAATATTAAACAACCCTGAGCAACTGATTTCAGCCCCAGATTTTTCACTTTTCCTCAACTTTGGATCTCCTACATTTTGGGTTGGTGGCAGTGGGAGCACAGAGGATTTTGCTTGCAAACAGGCAACCTCCACAAGGTGTTCTGACTCATTTTATTTCTCCTGGGGCAGAAATAATTGAAGCTAAAAACAACCACTCACAATCGCAACATTTCAGCTGTGGTTTGTTCTTAAGTGGCAACATTAAAACAAGCAAGGAGCATGTATCAGAATGGGCTCCTTTCCTCCAGGGTATTTGTGGGCTTGCAAGCTCTGTTTATTGCACGGGTGTGAAATGTATCTATCTGGGAAGGTAACACAACTATTTTGGTGGGTTAGCGATGATGGGGTGGGGGTGGGGGGTAGGTACAGGAAGGTCAGGAGGTGAAGCTAGAGCCTGGAGGTGCTGGAGTTCAGGTCATATTGTCATGCTCTGTCCATCTAACGTGGTAATCATGGGTTGGGTTGACAGAAACACCTCGCTAGTCAACTGCTCTCATGGATGGTGTGTGTAGGTGAGACCTGACAGTACTTTTCCCTTTTGAGGAGCCTTTTGGTGTGGCCCATGCCTCCTCAGCTGGGTATCAGGGCGTTCTGCCCCACTCCCCACGCGGTCTATTCATTGCTCTGGCCTGGTCCTAGGCTGCTGTCCACCTAGTTTTGCCCCAGTTAGATCCAGCCTCTGGCAGATGCAGCTGCAAAACAAATTGGTCTTTCTGCAGCCACCTCCGGGGCGGAACACCTGGGCTTTATTTTGCTATTTTGTTTCTTCGCCTTTCCAAAATCCCTCCTTGCCTCCTCCTCTATCTGCGGGCTAAGAAGAGCTCCAGGAAGGTAGTGGGGCAGAAAACCCCGGCCTGCCTGCCACCAGCCGTGGCCTCTACCGGGGCCGACAGCCGCCAACTCGGGAAGCTGCCCGGGTGCCCACCGCCCCACAGCAGCCCCTGCGCCTTTCCCACAGCCTGGCGCCTGCGAGGAGTTTAGGAACAGGAGGAGCCCAAAGCAGTTCGGGACCTTGCACGCCCGGCACCTCGGCGGCGGCCCAGTCCAAGGCGCGGGTTTAAAGGACCGACGGGCCACCCGGACCGCGGACGCCCCTCCCCGCTCCCGCCGCCCGCCCAGGCCGCACCCACTTGGGGGCGGCGCGCCGGGCCTAGTTCTCGGTCGGCGGGCGCGGCCGCTTTAAGCGGGGGTGGGACTGCGCGCGGCGGAGCAGCGGCGGCGGCGAGGGCTTCGCCGGAGGTGGCGCGCCGGGGCTGCAGGAGGCCGGCCGCCGAGGCCGGGGTAAGCGCGGGCGGCCGAACGGCCCTGGGAGGCGCGCGCGTCCCCCGGGCATGGGGAGGCCTCTGCGGCGCGGCGGCTCCGCGGAGGGATGGAGCGGGGGTTCGAGCGTCCCGGGCTCTCGTAAGGCCTCCGCTGGAGCCCGCGCCGGGCGCCGGGGCCGTAGGCGGTCCTCAGACCTGCGCGGTTCCTGGCGGAGCCGGGAGGAAGCGATGGGAGGCGCAGGGCTAGCGGGCGCGAGGATTGGCCCTCGGCGCTCGCCGTAGCACGGCCTGGGAGGCAGTCGCGGAGTGCCTGGGACCGTGACAAAAGGAGGGAACCGGAGGGCCGTTTGCGATCGGAGGGGTCGGGCGAGGGGTTGGGGTCCCGTCCCACAAAAGGTGCTCTGGGGCCAGCCTGGCACCTCCCGGCCTCCACGCAGACACCTGGCTCGCCAGGCCCGACGCGGACAGCGAAGGTAGCGGCGACGACAGCGCCCCCTCTGGCTCGGCGGCGCCGCCTCAGGCTGGGCTCGGCGGGTCTCTGCGCGGCGGGGCGGGGCCGGCGGGGCCGTTTGCCCGGAGTGTCGGCGCAGGGCCGCCAGGGCCTTCCCACCTCGGCCTGGGCGCCGGGGGCTCGCTGGCAGCCAGGCCTGGGCCCTCGGCCTCCGGCGTCTTCGAGCCGCTTTCCAACAGACAAGCGGAACGGGACGTTTCCCTCGTCAGGGGCCCCAGGCCCTGCGGGAGGCAGAGCCTGGCTTCTCGGGGCCCCGAGAAATGGCAGAGTTGACGACCGTGAAAATAGGGGTCTGAGCCTGTAAAAAGTTTGGGCAGTACTAGGGGGTTCTTAGGCAGGGAGAGGCCGTGACCCTGAATCTTGGGTCCCCTGGGATGGGGAACAGGGTGTGGGGCCTCCTGTTCTTGCAGGAGGGAGTATGACCTGAAAGAGGCCAAGTCACCCTCGCCTTGGTTTCCTTAGTGACTTCTGTCCTGAACCAGAGGATTGGGGCTTCTGGTGGGCTGATCGACCGCAGCTGTGGGCATCCTCGCTGCATGGAATACGTGTTTTTCATGTGTCAGAGTGTCTGGAAGGAGCTCTCTGGTGTCAGGGTGGCCCAATCGCCCGTGTCATCTGCAAGGGAGTGTATCCGGCAGGGCAGGGCCTTTTGGAAGGTCTGCAGAGGAGTTATTGGTGTGTCTGTTGAAGAAAGAACACTAAACCTTGAAACCCCCTCTTAATGCAGAGTGAAATTATGCAAGGAGGATGGGTAAAAGCAATTTACCCAGTTCTCTGGACACTGTGACAGCTCTTAAAATAGAAACCAAGTCTCCATCTACATGTCAGCTCAAGCAGCAGTTCTCAAAATATGGTCATCAGCCTGTTCCTGACTCACTGAAGTGCTTTTTGAAGCATTTATTCATTCAAGGAACATTTTTTGAGTGCCTGTGTGCCAGCTGCAAACAATCACCTAGGGCAGCGCTTGCTGAACCACAGTTGGCAGGCCAAATCAGCCTGCTCCCTGTTTTTATACAGCCCGTGAACTTAGAATGGTTTTTATGTTTTTAAATGGCTGGGGGGAGAAAAGGAAGAATAATATTTCAAGATGAATGAGAATTATGTGAAATTCAAATTTCAGCATCCATAAATAAAGTTTTATTGGAAGACAGCCTCACTTGTTCATTTACATGTTGTCTGTGACTGCTTTCTGGCTAAAACAGAGCTGAGTAGTTGTGACAGAGACTTTATGCCCACAAAGACTAAAATATTTACTATCTGGTTCTTTACAGAAAATGTTTGCCAACCCCTGACTTAGGGAAAGAGGGAAATACCATAGGAAAGAAAAGCTTCTGTGTATAAAAATTATGTTTTGTAATTAATAGACAAAATGGATTTGGATACATTTTACATTCAAAAAAGCAGAAGGAATAGTGTTATATTGTGGATTAATGCAGAAGTACTTAGATGAATATAGGCATTTAGGTAAGATTTTCATAGAGATTGTGAGCCCATGCTGTTTATAAGTTAGCTAACCATATGCTTCTTTTCCTAGGCTGAGTGAACTCATGGACCTGATACTTTTCTCTTGAGAAACAAACTAGCTCAAAAGAAAAAATGGCATTTGTTGCAACACAAGGGGCCACTGTGGTTGACCAAACCACTCTGATGAAAAAGTACCTTCAGTTTGTGGCAGCTCTCACAGATGTAAATACACGTGAGTTGGTCATTTTTGTCATTAAGAAATGCGTTGATAATGACTCGTTCATATCAGTTCAAATGATGTGCACTTTGACATAAATAGTAACATTAACTTTTATTCTTGTTTTCCCCTGCCCTACCTTATAGAGAAGCAAAGTGATGAGCAATACTGGCTGGAGCCCCAAAGAGGCACGTGTGTGTCTGTGTGTATCTGTATCTTTGTCTGTGCATGCACATGTATGTCTGATAGTATGAATGTGTGTGACTGGGTGTAGGGAACTAGCTATGTGCCTTCCATTGGGCCATGACAGTCAAACTGATAAGATCTGATTGCTTCTCTGAAATTATTAAATCTAGTAATTTTAGGAAGGACCTTAACATAATTTCAATAATCTGATGGGGATTTTTTGCCATTTACAGCTGATGAAACAAAGTTAAAAATGATGCAAGAAGTTAGTGAAAATTTTGAGGTATGAACTTTATATTTTATCTTTTGCGTTTTGAGGTAAACATTCTTGTGCACTTTCCTGTTGCTGTTCTGTTAGTCTTCTTACTAGTAACTAAAAAGTCATTGTCTTAATTTAATTTATTTCAAAACTGAAAAGTTGTACAGTGTTGTCTACCTTCACACTAGTCATGGTGAACTATGTTGAGGAATATTGGGTTTAGCTTTAACATTTTTTCATTTTTAAATATGGTAGCTTTTCAAGGCATGTACTCTCAGGATGTACTCAAACTTATGTCGTAACTTTGTTGTATTCAGGTAATTCATGCTATGATATGATGGAATGAGATCTGGACGTCAGTTCTGGCTCTGCTACTTAGGACTTCTGTGACCTTGATCAAACAGTTTTTCTCTCCTGGACTTCACATTCTATAATTGCATTATTGTCCCACAGGTCCATCAGTCTCTGTTCTTTTTTTTTTTTTTTTTTTTTTTTTGAGACAGAATCTCACTTTGTTGCCCAGGCTAGAGTGAGTGCTGTGGCATCAGCCTAGCTCACAGCAACCTCAAATTCCTGGGCTCAAGCGATCCTGCTGCCTCAGCCTCCTGAGTAGCTGGGACTATAGGCATGTGCCACCATGCCCGACTAATTTTTTTATATATATTTTAGTTGGCCATTTAATTTCTTTCTATTTATAATAGAGACAGGGTCTTGCCCTTGCTCGGGCTGGTTTCGAACTCCTGAGCTTGAGCAGTCCACCTGCCTCGGCCTCCCAGAGTGCTAGGATTACAGAGGTGAGCCACTGCTCCCGGCCCTCTGTTCTTTTTTCTTCAGTCTTATTTCTGTCCTTTAGATTGGATAATTTCTATTGATCTCTCCAAGTTCACTGACTTTGTCATCTCTAATCTGCTAGGTTTCAAAAACAATTTTCAATTTTTTGTATTTTTAAATTTCAGTTATTGTACTTTTATTTCTAGAATTTCCATAGTTTTGTATAGGTTTTATTTCCTTGCAGATTCCCTGTGTTCATTGATTAAGATTATATTCTTTTATTTTTGAACACATTTACTGTATAAAGGCTGCTTTAAAGTCTTCATCTACTAAATCCAACATTTGAGCTATCTCAGGGTCAATTTCTATTGGCTGTGGGTCACATTATCCTGTTTCTCTGCTTGTCTAGTAATTTTTTATTATACAGCAGACATTATATGTGAAATGTTGGGACTCTAGATTCTGTTATCTCTGAAGTGTGTTGATATTTTTGTAATAGGTAGTTCAGTTGCCAGCTCATCTCCTTCTCAGATCTTGTGTAGGCTTGGTTTTATCCTTTGATAAGGAGGATCTGTGCATAGGCCAGGGTGTTTCCAAAGTCTCTAACTTGATGGGCTTCAACCTCTAAACTCTGTCTCCCTGTGGATCTTATCAGAGGTTGATTTTAGGCCTTGTTCTAGGGCGTGGTCCTTCCTCAGCTGGATGTCTGATGCTGGGGTGTGGTATCCCAAGATACTAAGTAGATCTTTGCACTCTGGCTATGCTAAATCGCACATTCTCTAACATTGCTACACATTGTGCTGGTATCTTTGTTCATCTCTGAATTCTAAAGCGGACACTCTCTGGTAAGCTTTAGGTAGTGTTACCCTGTGTATGTGCAGCCCAGCCCTCAGTCAGGGCCTTGTGGGAGCCCACCTCTCTCCCCTGCTCTGTGGTTAGTTTTTCTCTGGTGCTCTGCCCTGCAGCTTCCATCCATTTCAGCTGCCCTGAATTCATGTTTGCCTCCTCAGCTCAGCAGGCCTGTTCTCTATTTGGACCCAGCATGCTGAACCCTAGTCACCTAGATCACCTAGGCACAGTGCTGTGGTGATCATGAGGCTCAACGTGACTCTCCCTCCTCTTGGGAATCATGGTTTTATGCTGCCTCTTGTCCAACCCCTGAGAAAAGTTATCTCATCTTTTGCCCAACTTTATGGTTCACCTGGGAGCCAATTAGTCTCATAGATGAGAAAGTCACATTTCTTATTTTTACTTATTTTTTATTTATTTTTAAACTTTTTTCATGTCAGATGGGTAATGTGCCAACAGCATAACAAGGTTTAAGGGAGGCACATCTTACATGTGAGCATGAAACCTCAGTCGTCATGCCTATGAACTACAAAAGGACCACATTTTTTATTTTTAATGTGGGGGATAGTAAAACCTTTTTCACAGAGTTAATAAGGTTAAGAACAACAGAATGTTTCCTAGCCTATGCATGATATTTTGAATTAATAAACATTAAATAAATGCTAGTTGGGATTGAGTCAGATACCCTACTGTCTGTAGTGATGTATAGTATTTTATTTTCTTTTATTTTTTGAGACAGAGTCTCACTCTATTCCCCTGAGTAGAGTGCTGTGGCATCAGCCTAGCTCACAGCAACCTCAAACTCCTGGGCTAGTTTATTTTTTTAAATAGACATTTTCAGAGACTTGTTGCCTTGAGCCAGGCTAGGAAAAAAATACTGAGATACTTAGAGAACTAGCTAAAGAGCTTTCTCTTCTGCCCAAGCTGCTAAAGCAAGCTGTTAAAAAATATATATAAAAAGAGGTGGGAGGCGGAAGAGATTAAACTTCCCTTCTGCATTTTATTGGAAGAATGATCTGAGGGAGCCGGAGTCCTAGCAGGTTGATTTGAGAAGCTGAAATCATGGGGGTGTGTGTGAACCTGCAGGAACAAGCACATGGGCCAAGCCTCTGAGTGTGGCTTAGGGCTATCTAGATTAAGTGTCTGGCTTTACTCTCCTTTTTCGTATCTGCAGTTCACAAGTTAGTTCCTGTCTTTTGATCTCAGAGGCATTGATTGAATTAACAGAATTAAAAGTTAGTGAGGCCAGGTGTGAGTGGTGGCTCACACCTGTAACCCTAGCATTCTGGGAAGTCATGGGGGGCGGATCTTTTGAGCTCAGGAGTTGGAGACCAGCCTGAGCGAGGCCCAGTCTCTACTAAAAATAGAAACTAATTGACCAACTAAAAATATATATACAAAAAATCAGCTGGGCATGGTGGCACGTGCCTGTAGTCCCAGCTACTCGGGAGGCTGAGGCAGTAGGATTGCTTGAGCCCAGGAGTTTGAGGTTGCTATGAACTAGGCTGACACCACAGCACTCTAGCCTGGGCAATGGAGTGAGACTGTGTCTTAAAAAACAAAACAAAAAAGTTAGTAAAGTATACTTGGGGCTTTTCCAAATAGTGACTTTTGAAATTTATGTATCTAAACATTTACCTTAAAAGAAATTCAGATGACTGAGTTAAATCAAATCAAAGAATTTAATACTAGAATAACCATCAGTAGGCAATTCTAAATTACCACCACTACCACCCTAGAAAAATTTTTAAATGAAGTGAGTGAAATTAAAAAACAAAAACAAAAACCTCCCAGTGATTTCAGGAATCTTAGAGATTCATTTCACTGTCCACTTAGGGATAAAATTCTGGCCTAAGTAATTATCAAATGGACCATCTTTTAAGACAAACCTTTGAGTTAGAAATCATGTGAAAAATTCATCTGAATCAAAAAACTGGATGAGTTGAAATACTGGCAGATACCTGAGCAGCTTATTGAATGAATCTTTTTTTGTTTTTTTGAATTTTTCTTAGAGACTGTTTCGCTGTGTTGCCCTGGGTGGAGTTCTGTGGCTACTCACAGGCACAGTCATAGCGCACTACAGGCTTGATCTCTTGGGCTCAAGTGATCCTTCTGCCTCAGTGTCCCGAGTTGCTGGGAATACTGGTGCATGCTACAGTGCCTGACTGAATGATCCTTTTTATTGGAGAAATTTGGAACTCAGATGTTCGGAGCTGTGTAGTCAGTAGTTAGTATAGATTTATATGTGGATGTGTTTGATTTCTTAATAACCTGGCAGTTAGTTCAGCATTCCAGCATAAATTTTGTCCCTCTTTTCCTTGAATCCTTTTTTTTTTTTTTTTTTTGAGACAGAGTCTCGCTTTGTTGCCCAGGCTAGAGTGAGTGCCATGGCGTCAGCCTAGCTCACAGCAACCTCAAACTCCTGGGCTCCAGCAATCCTTCTGCCTCAGCTTCCTGAGTAGCTGGAACTACAGGCGTGCACCACCACACCTGGCTAATTTTTCTGTTTTTAGTTGTCTGGCTAATTTCTTTCTGTTTTTAGTAGAGACAGGGTCTCACTGGTGCTCAGGCAGGTTTCGAACTCCTGACCTCAAGTGATCCTCCTGCCTTGGCCTCCCAGAGTGCTAAGATTATAGGCGTGAGCCACCAAGCCTGGCCATACGAGGTGTTAAGAGAGAAAAAGGACTTGGATTTAGATATACTTGGTTTGAATCCATTTTCAAAACCTTTTTTTCCTCCTCGTCCTTTTTTTTTTTTGAGATAGTCTCACTTTGTTGCCCGGGCTAGAGTGAGTGCCGTGGCATCAGCCTAGCGCACAGCAACCTCAAACTCCTGGGCTCAAGCAATCCTGCTGCCTCAGCCTCCCGAGTAGCTGGGACTACAGGCATGCGCCACCATGCTCGGCTAATTTTTTCTATATATATTAGTTGGTCAATTAATTTCTTTCTATTTATAGTAGAGACAGGGTCTTGCTCTTGCTCAGGCTGGTTTTGAACTCCTGACCTCAAGCAATCTGCCCACCTCGGCCTCCGAGAGTGCTAGGATTACAGGCGTGAACCACCGCGCCCGGCCCCTCCTCCTTCTTTTTGAGACACTGGGGTCTTGATATGTTGCCCAGGCTGGTCTTGAACTCCTGGGCTCAAGCAATCCTCCTGCCTCAGCCTCCTAAGTGGCTGGTATTATAGGCTTGAGCCACCATGCCTGGCTTTAAAACTTTTTAACCTCTTTGAGCCTCTTTCTTTATCTGTGAAATTGAGATAATACTTACCTTTGGGTTGTGGTGAGGAAACCAAGTGAGAACAGATAAAAGGCACATGGCACAGTGTTGGCACCTAAGTGCTCTGTAAATAATAACAGGTAACACTTACTGAGAATTTACAGACTGTGTTACAAGCTTTACATACAGTAACTTATGTTATCTTCACGGTAGTCCAGTAAGGGAAGCAGGAAGTAACATGATATTATTCCCAGAGAGGTTAAGTAACTGTTACTTCCTAAGTGGGATCAAGAAACTGCACTAGTAGCCATTTTATTATATTCTCTCCAAACTCTAGTTTCATTTCCTATTCTTTTAAAATTGGTGCTGGGATAAATGATGGATTAGATTATATTATGATATAATTAATATAGATCTGATTATTAAATTAGCTTTTTAGGTTAAAATAAGGTGTCACTTTGTTAGGTGGTTTTCCAGTTGAAGAAACTGGGATCTAGAAGCTAAATGATTTCTCAGAGGTCTTGTACTTGGGTTGTGGCAGAGCCAGCCTAGAGTGGGCAGGCTCCAAATTCAACATTTTCCAAAGTATTGGAATTTCTAATTTTAACAGTAAATTTTAGTTCTCTTTAATTGGATTTCAGAAGCAATAATCATTCTAATTTATTTAACATTATCACTGAAGCATCTATAAGTATTAAAAGTTACTATTAGTTCTGCTAAAATGTTTTATATGCCTTTGAGGTTATTATGTGAATTGAAATGAAAATATGTACACATTGCTTAAGGGGCTTTTCTTTTTGTATGACTAGAATGTAACGTCATCTCCTCAGTATTCTACATTCCTGGAACATATCATCCCTCGATTTCTTACATTTCTTCAAGATGGGGAAGTTCAGTTTCTTCAGGAGAAACCAGCCCAGGTAATCTGTTCAAAAATATCAGTGAGGAACAAAAAGTCATGCTGTAGGATTGCGAGCATTTATGAGTTAACTGAGAAAACTTAGGGTTCTACTTAAAAATAAAAGAGGTTTTGTCACCAAAGGATAACTTTGTCTAGGACCATTGCCGCCTCACTTAAATGTCTTGGTTTTATTTTGTCCGGGCCATCTCTTTTATGGTTTAAATTATTCACGTTTGCCAACTGAAGATGTATGTGGTTCATGACAGAGAAATTCAAATATATGCAAAGGAAGGAATGACCCCACTGTCACCATGCCTATTGAGTAATTCTAATCTTATTAATTTTAGTTCCTGTGGCTCATGGCCAATTTGTTTCATCTGCACACACTCCTACACTCTTTACCCACCCACCATGACTATTTAAATACAGTCCCATCATACCATTTTTCTATAAATATTTCAATATATATCTCTTAATAATAGCTTTTAAAAAACATTGCCATAATACCAGTGAAAGTTTATCAGTAAATAAAGCATTTTTGTATTATACTAGTTCAAAACCTTACAGATTTGGCCTACCTCTTAGTTGTCAGCTGCACAGACAGAATCAGGAAAGCTGAGAACAGCTTAGGACTTAACTAGTCCTTGTGCCCAGGGTAATAGGAGATGGCATCATGGGAGCTAACCCCAGATTGAGAAGGGCGCTCCTAAACTAGGTTCTGTTTGTGTTTCTTGCATCTTGAATGTGTTCCATATTTGCACACTAGTGTCCTTCTGCTGGAAATACTGGTTACATTGTGAAAGAGGAGAAATTGGCTTAGTTGATTTGGTACACAACTGTAGAAGTATTGAAAATAATGATTTGCAGTACATATTTTGGTTTACATTTAAGTAGTTTAAATGGACTGTTTCTAAAATCAGATACATTTTGTAGTATGGTCGTTCAGACAGCTGTGTGATACGTGTAGAATGTGAGAGAATTAATTTGGACCCCTTGGAAGTATTTTTATCTTTACATTTTTTATTTTTCCTTGCCAGCAACTGCGGAAGCTAGTACTTGAAATAATTCATAGAATACCAACCAATGAACATCTTCGTCCTCATACAAAAAATGTTTTGTCTGTGATGTTTCGCTTTTTAGAGGTAACGTTTGAGAATTAATTCTCATTGTATAGCCGTATTTAAAACTTTCAGTGGTTTTCTCATGGTAAAATCTAATATTTTACAACTGTTTCCCTTTCAGTCAAGTTCTGATTCATATGGGTAAAAATTTTTCTTAATGTTCCTTTCCCCCCATTTCCTCAACTTTTTCTAAGAAAGATAACTTAATTGTAGATTGTTTGGGTCACTGAGAAATTGATAAGACATAGTGGAAATCTTTGCAGAATTTGTGGACAGTGAGTTGGGCAGTGGTTGATTAAGAGCACAGGATTCATTTACATGGTGTTTTCCATTGTGTATATCTCAAGCAAGTACTTTACACATAGTAGGTGCTCATAAAAAGTATCTCAAATTCTTGGAGCGAATCCATTTGGTACCTGTTAAATTAATCTCTAAAATTATTTTCTTGCTCCTCTTAGTCTTGAGGTGTTCAGAATTCTCTCGTGTTTCTGGGCCCCTCAGAAAGATGAGCTTTGGAATGGGTAAAAGTTGGCTCAGATATTGGCCCTGCCTCTTTATTCACTGTGTCACGTCAGCCACATTGTTGAATTGCTCTGAGGCTTCACTTCCTCATAGGTCAAATATGGCACCCACTACACACAGAGCATTTGTAAAGCGCTTACCAGAGGGTCCAGTCCACGGGGGGGGGGGGGGGGAGTGCTCAATGATTATTCTTTCCTGGTCTCTCAGCAATATTTTCAAACAGTGGAAAGTGTCAATTGGGCCATGAAGTCCTTAGTTCATGGTGGGACTTGTAAAAGCCAGTTGATCTGTCTTCAGTGTTATTATCAGAGTTTGCTGGTGGATACCCTTCAGGTGGTCCACAAAAGACCACAAAAGCTTTCTGTCTGGAACAGCTATATTCTGTGGGCTTATGAATTTTCAACACATCAAGTAGAATTTGATTGATGGAGGATATGTGTTCAGAAAATGCTTAGAAAATTAGTGTTTAATCTTTAAGTCCTCAGAAGTTATAACTTTTTATAAATGCTTTTTTTTTTCTTTTTAAAGACGGAAAATGAAGAAAATGTTCTTATTTGTCTAAGAATAATTATTGAGCTGCACAAACAGTTCAGGCCACCAATCACACAAGAAGTAAGTTGTTTATCTTGATAGCATTTGTAAAGTGTGTCAACAAATCCTTCTGCTGTGTGTATTTTTCTCTTTTAGAGTTGATTGAACATGTGCTGCTTTTAAGTGTAAAAAATACAACCTAAGTTGGAGGCAGTTGTTTATGGGTTTACCAGTGACTTTTTTCCCAGTGTGTATATCAGTACTTCTCTGAATTTGTTCAGTAGATGAACTGACCAGACTGGCAGGTCTGTCTGCTCTGTTCTGGTATTTATATGGTTCACGTGCCAGAAAGTGTCAATCATTTCATGTTGTACAAGAGTGGAGATGTGGGCTCTGAAGTCAGAGTCGGGTTTGAGTCTCAACTCTGCAAGTCAGTAGTTATGTGATGTTGTGTAAGCTTGGAACCTTTGGGAGATTTTTCTGTAAAATGGGGGTAATCATAGCATATACTCAAAATGTTGTTTGAAAATTAGATATAAAAGTTAAAGTTCTTAGTACAATGATTGGCACCTAGCTACAGAGTAAGCAGTAGGTATTCAACATTTGCCAAAATTCGACAGTACCCTCTCTGATGGTGACATTAGTAAATATCTGTTGTAAATTATTTGGAAATTAAAAGCATAATGATGAAATAGAATTCCTATCATCTTAAAAACAATAGTTAATATCTTGGCCGGGTGCTGTGGCTCACGCCTGTAGTGGTAGCACTCTGGGAGGCCAAGGCGGAAGGATTCCTTGAACTCAGGAGTTTGAGACCAGCCTGAGCAAGAGTGAGACCCAGTTTCTACTAAAAATACAAAAATTAGCTGGGCATCATGGCATGAGATTATAGTCCCAGCTACTCCAGAGGCTAAGGCAGGACGATAGATTGAGCCTGGGAGGGTGAGGTTTCAGTGAGCTGCAATGCCGCCACTGCACTCTAGCCAGGGCAACAAAGCGAGACACTGTCGCTAAGAAAAAAAATTTAATGTCTTGGTGATTTTCTTCTTCTTCCTCACCTTAATGTATATTTTCTACATAATTATAACATCTTATATCCTGATCATTTTCTTTCTTAATAGATGTAAGCATTTTCTCAGCCATAAAAAAATTCTTTATGAAATGAACTTTTAATGAGTACATAATATTTCTTATAGGTATCCTTATTTTCTGGATATTTCAAATTTTTCTATGGCTATTACTGAATATCTTTATGGTTTAAATTATTTTGTACACTAGGTTCGTAGAATTACTGAATCAAAGGTATTAATGTTTTAATGCTTCTGATATATATTGCTAAGCTGATTTCTAGAAAGATTTCAGCAGTTTATGCTTCCTGAGTTATGAGTCTTTCTCATTACACCCTTTCAAACATTGTGTATTATTAGTTTTGAAAGGCAAAAAGTGGCATTTAATTTTCATCTCTGCTCTTGTTGATTAGAAACTTATTTTCTATGTATCAGTTCTTGATAGTTACTATATTGTGTTTGTTCACATCTATTGCCTATTTGTATCTTGAGTCTGACATTGTCCTTACTTATTTTGTGAGTTCTTATATCTGAAGATCATTATTAATATTTTTCTTATAAGCATTTTGTTTATGAATATCTTTCTATAACAAGTGTCTTTTTTTTTTTTTTTTTTTAGATTCATCATTTTTTGGATTTTGTGAAACAGATTTATAAGGAGCTTCCAAAAGTAGTGGTATGTTTTTACTATGGTTTAAATTTATTACTTTTTTCCAAAGGGATTTTTGAACAGTTGAAGAAATAACTAGGGTAGGGGGGAGATGCTGACTTTAGAATAGGGGATGTTTAGTGATGGCTAAAATCTAGGTTGATCTATTTGGCTTACTTATTTTTTACATAAAAACAATATATTTTTGTAGAAATTTTGGAAAAAATCAGAAAATAAATCCATAATTCTCTCACTTGAAGCAACCACTGACATTTGAGGTTTTGTTTTTGTTTTTCCTTTTGTGCATTTTAAATATGGTTGAACTCACAGTCTTAAAGACTTTTGGGAGGTGGCATAGATTTTCAATATTTTTCTATATTATTATAAATTTTTTTCAATATTGTTAAGAACTCTTTACAAGCAGTGCTGCAAGGTGAAAGTATATGGAGTAGAGGAGGAAAATCTCCTACCCTGTCTCATTCTTACTTATTAGATGTGGCTGCCGTCACCAGTTTGGAGCACCTTCCAGACTCTCTGGCAGTCATAATTCTTAATGACCGCATAATTTTCTGTCGCATGCTTCTACCGTGGTCCTTTCCCTACTGCTTGTTTTCCCAATTTTCAATATTTTACTATCACAAATAATGCTTTTGTAAAAATCATTGTTTATAAATCTGTTTATGTGTCAGAATTTTTTATTTTAAAGATTTCTTTTTAAGCTTAAAGTTTTTTTTAGATAACATATGGTAAAATTGATTCTTTTTGGCATTTTAAGGATTTTAATCTGGGAACAATGTATAAAACTTAAAATTAGTTACTTTGAGTTGTCATGTCCTGTCACTTGCCCTTCTGTCAGAGCCTGAGAGCTGCTTTTCGCATCTGCCTTGTTTAACATGAAGCTAAAATTCCACTGAGAATGAAGGATGAAAGTGAGATCCTGGCTTTTAAAGATGTCCTCTATGCTTTGCTTCTGTTCCCTCTTCGATCTCTATTTAGAGACTATCTGAAAAGTTAATTCAGTAGGAACTAGCTCCTAGTCTCTTCATTAGAGGGATGATGGAGTACATTCTTTCCTGCTTCATTGTGGTTTGTATTAATACTTCATCTTTTATTAACCAGGAAAAAAAAGAGTAGAAAATATTTTAGGCAAGTTTTTGTTTTCTGTTGCTGAAGGGAGAGAACATTGTTCCTATTGTGTTATCTGTGTGGTCTTGAGTAAAAAGTAAACATTTAGTGTGTGTTGGTTTATACCTTAGGGGATTGGTGAATGAATGGCTGAGGCCAAGTACTGTGGGACTGGTGCAACGTAAACATGTAGAATAGTGTCGTTTCTTCCTCCAAATGTCAGGTGCATTTTATGAAGGAATACTGTGTTTTACTTTAGAAAGAACTATTTCTGTTCTTTTTTTGTAGAATCGCTACTTTGAGAACCCTCAGGTGATCCCTGAGAACACAGTCCCTCCTCCAGAAATGGTTGGTATGATAACGACGATTGCTGTGAAAGTCAATCCCGAGCGTGAGGACAGTGAGACACGAACAGTAAGTGTCTCGTTTGTTTTGCAGACAGTTGTTTCTATCCGTGGCTCTTGTAATTGAGATACTGACTTACAGACCACTTAAGTTTTTTCTTTTTTTTCCTTAAATACGTGGAGGCATTTAAGCTACATAAACAAACATACGCCTGGCAGAGCGTCACTGGTCCTGCTGCGCAGCCTGGAAGTGGTAAAGTGAGCTGTCCGGGGGTGTGCTTGATGCCAGGCCGTAAAGATAAGATCGTCATGGAAACCCAGGCTCAGCTGCTGGGAGGAGCGGCAGGCGGGCTCAGGGCCTCTGCTCTGTCCCTTATCCCTGAGTCTTTTAACATTAATAGCATCCCTATAACTGCAGATAAAATTGCAGTTCAGTGACTGAGGATGTGGGCTCTGGGCAGAGAACGCCAGCATGGTGTCCCAGCTCTACCACTCGGGTTTTCTGACTCTAGGAAAGTTTATGAACCTGCGTTCTGACCTTATTTTCCCTCTCATTATCTGAAACACCTGTCTCATGGAATTTTGTGAAGGTAATGCTGGTATTAGCTGCAGGTAATGTCTTGTATCATATTTGTAGTGTCTGCCACATAGGTAACATGTACTGAGCATTTACTATGACAGTTTTTGTGATTGAATTAAGAGTATTTTATCATCCATATTTGTTTTACTGAAATGGTTATACATAATGTTTCACTTTGTGCTAGGATGAATAAGAAACCAAATTGTGAATGAAGCTTTCATTCTTTCATTCTTCTTGAATTAGAAGCTTGTTTTCTGAGTATCATTCCTTTGTATTTCTCTTTTTCCTTGTCCGTTCATATCCATTGCCCATTTGTATTTTGTGTGTCATTTTCTTTACATGTTTTAAGAACCCTTAATAAGACTAATTTTTTTTATATCTATGGTAAGCATTTTCCATTTACAAATATCTTTGAATAAAATTGCTGGGTAAATTGTGTTCTTTGCTGTTCTTTTAAGTAAGTAAAATAATAAATACTAGTGATTTGAATCTCTAAGTTATGGCATTTTCTGGAAGTTTTTACTACAAGTGATTATGTAGGAAAACATAAAAACCTTTTATGTTAAGTGCTAGTTTTGTGTACTTGGTTTTGAACACAATTTGGATCTTTCATTGCAGATATTTACAAAGATGTGTCAGTATTTTCCCTTCCGTCTAATTCACTAGGGGTGATGCTTAATCTTGGACACTGGGTGGGGCTATTTTCAAGGCCACAAGGATAACCACAGTCCCACCTGTTTCTATCTTGTAGCATTCCATCATTCCAAGAGGATCACTTTCTCTGAAAGTGTTAGCAGAATTGCCCATTATTGTTGTTTTAATGTATCAGGTATGTGTATTGCTTATTAGTTTCTTGACTTCTTTCTTTATGACAATATTGATGTCTAATTTTCTGTGGCAAAAAGTTTTATATAGTACACACATGCTAACTAATGCAATGATTCTTTGGTACATCAAATTATTTTGCTACAGCAGAGTATAGAAGCGTGAAAATCTGATATGTTTGCTTTTTAGCTCTACAAACTGAACATCCACAATGTTGTTGCTGAATTCGTGCCCTTGATCATGAACACCATTGCAATTCAGGTGTCTGCACAAGCCAGGTGAGATTTCACTGTAGCTAGCTGCCACTATGCTTTGATTCCAAGTAAAAATACATTTGCTATGGCCATTCTGTTTTTTTTTTTTTTTTTGAAACAGAGTCTCACATTGCTCGCTTTGTTGCCCAGGCTAGAGTAAATGCTGTGGCATCAGCCTAGCTCACAGCAACCTCAGACTCTTGGGCTCAAGCAATCCCACTGCCTCAGCATCCCGAGGAGCTGGGACTATGGCATGCGCCACCATGCCCAGCTAATTTTTTCTATATATATTAGTTGGCCAATTAATTTCTTTCTATTTATATTAGAGATGGGGTCTCACTCTTGCTTAGGCTGGTTTTGAACTCCTGACCTCAAGCAATCTGCCTGCCTCGGCCTCCTAGAGTGCTAAGATTACAGGCGTGAGCCACCGTGCCCGGCCTGTGGCCATTCTCAAGATGGGAAAGTTATGAATGATAAAATTTTGGTAAAATTACATGCATTTTTGACTTTTTGAACTTCTGTTTCAATGATAGTTATGGCTATTTTAGTTTTTTATTTTGAAAATATGAGATAATATCCAGGTTTCTGGTTTCTTGTAAATTTAGAAATATCGTATCAGCATTACTATGCTCACCTGATATTCATGGATATCCAAGCCTTTCTCACATTCAAAGCTTTGTTCTCACTGTTCCTTTAAGCATGAGTGCTAGAATGTTCTTTCTCCCTTTGATTCCCCCTCACCCATCATCTCTGAATAGGCTATATGCATCCTTTGAAGCCTGACAGTGAAGACTTTTCTCAAACTTGATAGCATTCCTCCAGAAACCATTTCACTTACTCTTGGCTTGGAGCCTACATGGCTGAGTCATTTGAGGGCAGGACCTGAGGAGGGTCAGCTCTGATCACCTGTATGGCCCTTGTGCAGTGTCTCGCATTGAGCAGATGGTGCACTGATTGTCTCTGCTGACTGAGGGGGTCTGTCTAGCACTGATTTTCTATAAGTGCTATGGAATGGTTTCGCAAACTATTTGAGTTTTGGCTCTTAAGCCCTTTATGTTACTTGGAACTGCATAGAAGTGTAGAAGCATTTACTTTTGCTGCTGTGCTGTTCTGGTCTGTGTAGAAATCAAACAATCTCTTGGGCTTAGTAATTGTTATAGGCTTTTAATTAATACTAATGTTGCCCAAAGTGAGAACTAATATTGTAAATTTTATTCATTTCTCATTCAGGCAACATAAGCTTTACAACAAGGAGTTGTATGCTGACTTCATTGCTGCTCAGATTAAAACGCTGTCATTTTTAGCTTATATCATCAGAATTTACCAGGTAAGGTCATGGACTTTTGTTTTATGTCAGGTTTACTGAGACATAATTTACATATAATAAAATTCACCTTTTGTGGGTGTACAGTTCTGTGATTGACAAATACTTCTAGTTGGTAATCACCAACACATCAAAATGTAGGCTATTCTATCACTCTCCAAAATTCCCTGTATACATTTGTGGTCAATTTCTTTCTTCCACCTCTAGTACCTGGCAAACACTGATTTATCTTCAGGCTCAATAGTTTTATCTTTTCCAGAATGTTGTATAAATGGAATCATATAGTACATAGTTTATGTAACCTTTTGAGTCTGGCCTTTTTCACTTAGCAGTAATGCTGAGATTCATTCTTGTTATTTTATTGGTAATCCATTACTTTTTATTGCTGAGTGGTTGTCACTGTTTTTGCTTGGCAGCTTTAACAAAATATCATAAGCTAGGTGGTTTAAACAACAGCAGAAATTCAGTTTTTTGGAGCCTGGAAATTCAAAATTAAGGTTCTAATTTCTGGTGAGGGCTTTCTTCCTGGCTTGCAGACAGCTGCCTTCCTGCTGCCTCCTCAAATAGCAAACAGAGAGAGAAAGGGAGAGACATTTCTCTCTATTCTGCCTTTTATAAGGCCATAGTTCTATTGGATTAGGGCCCCATACTTGTGGCCTCTTTTTTTTTTGTCTTTTGACACAGGGTTTCTGTCACCTGGACTAGAGTGTAATAGTGTCATCATAGCTCACTACAATCTCAAACTCCCAGGCTCAAGGGATCCTTCTGCTTTAGATTCTTAAGTAGCTGGGACAAGAGGTGTGGGCCACCATGCCTGGCTGATTTTTCTGTTTTTTGTAGTATCTGGATCTTGCTATGTTGCTCAGGCTGGTCTGAGCACCAGCCACCGAGCCTGGCCCTTATGAGCTCATTTAACTTTAATTACTTTGCAAAGACTCTGTGTCCTTGGACTGTACCCCGTCTCTATAAAAAAATAGAAAAATCAGCTAGGTGTGGTGACACGTGTCTGTAGACCCAGCTACTTAGGAGGCTGAGACAGGAGGATTGCTTGAGCCCAGAAGTTTGAGGTTGCTGTGAGCTGTGATGATGCCACTGCACTGTATGTAGCCTGAGTCTGTTTCAAAAAAAAAAAAAAAAAAACCCCAAAATGGAACATTTGGTTTAAAAAAATCTAAATAGGTACCCCTTGATATTTTAGCCTGCTTGAGTTATCTTGGTGAATTTCCTTCTTAAGACCCCTCAGAACAAGATTGTAATTAGAGTTGTCTCTGGTTCATTGACGACTTACTAATGGAATGACTAAGTAAAAAGTATTTACTTTTTTAAAAAAAACTTGCCATATATAATTGCCCTCCTTCCCCTAATAGTGAAGCAATACGTAGTCCCTGTTGAGAGTTGGGAAAATACACAAAAGTACAAAGAAGATACCTATAATCCTGTGTAAAAGAAACTGCTATTTATGTGGCTATACGTATTTCCAACGTGGCATTGTACACACCTGCACACATATACTCTATTTAAAACTTTCCGGATACTATTTAGTAGGCTTGCTACTTCATGAGGGTTGTTTGAATGAAGCTGAGTCTTACTGAATTTTTCAAAAGCTAATACAATTGGATTTTTCGTAACACTTACCAGTCAGTGAAACTATTGTTTAACTGCTTATTTTTCTAGGAGTTGGTGACTAAGTACTCTCAGCAGATGGTGAAAGGGATGCTACAGCTACTGTCAAATTGTCCAGCAGAGACCGCACACCTCAGAAAGGAGCTTCTGATTGCTGCAAAACACATCCTCACCACAGAGCTGAGAAACCGTACGTCTGTCTCATCTCATCCCATCTCGTCTGAAAGCTGGCATGAGTCCCGCTGCCCTCTGGGGGGACTCGGCTGTGCTGCCGAGCGTCCACGTGTCCTTGCTTTCTTGATGGCTATCTTGGGTTTATTCTTTCCCCTCTTTACTACGCCTCTCCACCTCCCCTCTCTCTGATCACTTGCCCCTCTCTCTCTGCTTGTCTCTTTTTGCCTGGCACCCAGGTTCTCTTTGTCTTCTTAACAGTCATAGTTAATGTGATTATTCTTGGCATAGCTTACACTCTTGAGTAGCTTTTGATACTTCACTCCCTTTGCATATAATTTTGAAGTTGCAAATAGTCATTTGCTTCCACACTCAAAGCTAGCAATCTTTAAAAGGTGAGCAAAAATCTTTTTATTCTCCATGCTGTGAAAATGACAGATTGGTTGTTTTTATGGCACAAAGGCTGATACTTGCTTTTTGCTAATCTGGTAGTTATACTTTTTTAGTTAATCATATTGTTTTATAATCTTTTAGTACTTTGCATATTTGATATGTCCAAAGTGCTAGGTTGAAATTATATCTTAATTGTTTAGAGATGATAATTTTCCTCAATTATTTTTCATATTAAAAGTTCTGTTTGCCACAGTGTGTAAATCAGAGCATTCATAAAACTGAGATTGGGCTTCCTTACATAGTATTTAAAGATGAAAGGAAGGATAGTTTGAGTGCTTACATATGAGTTAATACAGTAAAGCTCAAGTATTTTTGTGCTACTAAAATAAATATTATAGTGTGATTGTTGCATGTGGATATAGCTGAAAAGAATATAGATATTTTTAAAACGCTTTTGTGAAATTCAACATATATAGCAAAGTGCACAAAAGAAATGTACAATTTTACCAAAAATAACAGAACAGACGCCTGCCTGAGCATCACCCAGGTTGCAGAATAGACCTCTAGAGGTGTCCAGAGCTGACTACCATTTGACTTGTCTGTGGCGACTTCCTTTGCTGTTTATGGTTTCTCCTATGTGTTCATCTCAGAACAATATCAAAATAGAATTTTAAGTGGAACATTTTTTAATCTGTTTACTGAAGTGGATGAGTTATGCCTCAAATGCCATTCTCAGGTGACTTTTCCAGTATTCCTGCCATGCGAGTAAGGATTTTGGAGGTGTTTTGGGGACCTGTGTAGCAGGAGGCTTCTGCTGTTGACGTGCTGACAGGTTACAAACCTCTATCATGCTTACCAGGTAACCCCTGTTCCATCACTGCACAAGGAGGCCCCCTCGTGAGGCTATAGGCCCCCTTGTGAGGCTATAAAGCTTGGTTTTGATCTGTGTTAATACCAGCTCCCCAAGATTGCTGGGTTCCCGAGCTGCTACTCTCTGAGCTTTGATCAGGTTAGACTTGTTGAATTCAATTCAGCTTTTAGAGTTTTTGATTTTTTAAGCCTCTTTACTGGTTGGCTTATTTTTTTTTTTTGTTTTGGTTTTTTTTTTAAATATATTATAGGACACTTTTTTTGAAGCCCATTGTAGTTCCTAGGACTTAAATAGGTAATAGCATTATATCTCAAAAAAGTTTTGATTGAAAGAAACATTTAAATAATTCTGCTAAATGTTAACCATGATTATCATAAAATACAAAAAATGTATGTTACAGTTAAAATTTCTACATCTACTAACATTTTCTCTTAGCCTAACTTCTTTAGCATCTGAAAAAAAAAAGTATTTATCAGTAACCCATTTGCACTAATTCTGAAGAGCCAGTGGTTTGAAAAAACCTGAGTGTTCAACAAGTTCCACGTTTTCCCAGAGATTCTGATTTTGCATCATGGAGAGGATCTGGAAACCAGTGGCTGTAGAGTTTCTTGTAACTTCTCCCTTTACTTGCAGTTTATACTCGTCCTTTAGCTGGTCTTGCAGCGTTTGGTGTCTGAGCCCTTTGCATCCTCCTGTGCCTCCTTCCTCTTGGCCGCTTCACTAAGGACAGGGGCGTTCCATCCTCAGACCACAGAAGGGACTGCTCTTTGCTGCTTTCATTTGGCTCCTCCCTGCACTGCCCTGCTTTGGAAATTACCCGGAGATGTGCACCTTGTCCCTCCGCTGTATATATTTCTTTTATGTCTTTGACCTTCAGTAGCTATTCGCTGATAAAAAAAAATGTACTTTATTAGACTTATTGAAGAGTTATTCTAGAACCTAAGCATCCTTTTGGATGTTTGTAGCCTGAATTCCCCCAAAGGAGCATGGAAATGCTGTCGATGCTGTCTGCACATCCTCAGAAGTGTGACTTGTCCCTGAGTGGCAACCAGCTGTTTCTTTGGAACCCTGGTTGGGGAGCAGAGAAAGTTTGAGGATGGTCCCACCTGCAGGATTAGAGCAAGAGAGGAGCCCCAGTGAGATTCTGGTCAGCCTCGTCAAGGGAGTGGGGAATTATCACTCGGGCCCAGGCCTATGAAAAGGTTGTAAAAATTCCTAGACCTCTGTAATTTAAATTGAGAAACATCCTTAATTTCTCATTATGACTAACCATAAAACCTTTAAGATGTATGACTTCAGGGTGGTAGATAAAGGGGCATTTAGGAGATGCTGTCCCCTTCTCTGGGTTTGAGTGATGGTGGCAGCTGTTTCGGACAGTGGAATGTGCCTCCAGTGAAGTATTGAAAACGAGGTCTCTGCCAGGGCACACAAAGCTCACTTCATTCTCTGACACTGGCCGTGACCCTGACTGCATCTTCGGTGGTGGCTTTTGTGGCTCAGCAAAGCCTCTGCCTTACAGTGAGACAACTTGTGCATCTTTCTGGTCTCCTCTCTGCCCCTTTTCAGGCCTGGATTGCATAGCAGACTGCTACTGTGAAAGCACTGTGAAGTAATTTAATGCATAATTGGTTTTGTTAGTGATATATGCAATGGGTATTTGTCTTCTAGAGTTCATTCCTTGCATGGACAAGCTGTTTGATGAATCCATACTAATTGGCTCAGGATATACTGCTCGAGAGACTCTAAGGTACAAGATTAAACGAATGATATCTGGTTGGTTAAATGCCAGGGGCGATGATTATTGGCACTTAATGTTATGAGTGTGACAACAGACACATGCTGTTGGGCCTTGACTTGCCCATTGGATTATTTAGAATTACAGGATTTTTAGAAAGGCCGTAGGTTGCTTTTTGTGCCTTAGCTTAAAGGAAGGAATCAAAATAATTGTCTTGACTTAAATTATAAATAAAACTTTATCTGACTTTATTAATTTTCTTGTTTTCTATATAATTCTTTTTTTAAAAAAAATTATAAAAAAATATTTGACTTGGCTTGATGGCTCATGTCCATAATCCCAGCACTTTGGGAAGCCGAGGTAGAAGGATTGCTGGAGCCCAGGAGTTGGAGACCAGCTTGGGCAACATAGTGAGACTCCATCTCTACAAGACATTTAAAAAGTTAACCAAGGTGTGGTGGCATGCACCTGTAGTCCTAGCTGCTCAGAAGGCTGAGGCAGGAGGATCATTTGAGCCCAGGAGAGTTCAAGCTTATGGTAAGCTGTGATGATGCCACTGCACTCTTAACCTGGAGGACAGAGTGAGACCCTGTCTCTTAAAAAAAAAAAGAGAGAGAGAAGGCTTTGATCCATTTAGTCATATATCTGGGAGAGAATAATGTAGGGGAAGCAGAGAGCATGAAACATGTCCCAGGTGGTTATGCCGTCCCAGTGGTGGTGTTCCTGGGGCAGGTAGTGACACACATGGTGGCCTGCAAGCATGGCCACGTGGCAATGAGCACTAGTGGAGGTCTCTGCCCACAGGCCCCTCGCCTACAGCACACTGGCTGACCTCGTGCACCACGTTCGACAGCACCTGCCCCTCAGTGACCTCTCCCTCGCCGTCCAGCTCTTTGCCAAGAACATCGACGACGAGTCCCTGCCCAGCAGCATCCAGACCATGTCCTGCAAGCTCCTGCTGAACCTGGTAGACTGCATCCGCTCCAAGAGCGAGCAGGAGAGTGGCAACGGGAGAGATGTCCTGATGCGGATGCTGGAGGTAGGGCCCTTCTGAGAGGCAGCCCCCACCCCAGCTCTCTTGATAACTTGTGCAAGGGCTGTACCGACAAGTTTATGGGGCGACTCGATCGCCAAGCTTGATCCTGGGAGTTAGACCATCTGGGTTCAAATCCCAGCTCCCCCATTTACAGCACACTTGGGTGTGCTTAGGTGAGATGCTTCCCTTTTCTGTGCCACTTTATTCATCTTTTAACCATAATCAGAGTGTCTGCCTCATAGGATCGCTGTGAAAGTTAAAACAATTCATGAAAGCTCTTGGCATATTTCCTGAGAGTTATTTTCTGGGGTTGTAATGGACAAGTGCTAAGTTAGCTGTGGACATCTCTGGGGAGATACCCAGGTGAGTGCCTGGGTGAGGGATACAGAGTAGTTCCCAAGGCCAGTGGGTGACAGTGGTGGGCCTGGAGGGATTAGGCCAGCAGTCCAGGGTGAAATCCGGGCCCTGCTTGTCAGGCCAGTTGCTCAGCTTTTCTGAGCCAGACTCTTCACCCATAAAATGGGGACAGTAATTGGACAGAAGACAGAATTTCTTTTCCTTTATTCCTGGCTCAAAGGAAGTGCTCGGACATTACCAGCATTTCCCCTCTTTTGTTAGGAGAATAAGCAGAACGACATCAGCAGGTGGTTTCAGTGTCATCTTATTTTTCTGTCATCCAAAAGAGTAGTTTGGCTCACTGAATAAGAATGAGTTTTATCTTCTCCCTCAATTTTCTCTGCCCACTAGGTGTTTGTTCTCAAATTCCACACCATTGCTCGGTACCAGCTCTCTGCCATCTTTAAGAAGTGCAAGCCTCAGTCGGAACTCGGAGCCGTGGAAACAGCTCTGCCTGGGGTGCCCACTGCCCCTGCAGCTCCAGGCCCAGCCCCCTCCCCAGCCCCATCCCGGCCCCACCCCATTCACCCACCCAGCCACCCCTGTGACCCCAGCCCCCGTGCCTCCCTTTGAGAAGCAAGGAGAAAAAGATAAAGAAGACAAGCAGACGTTCCAGGTCACAGATTGCCGCAGTTTGGTAAAAACCTTGGTCTGTGGTGTCAAGACAATCACCTGGGGCATAACATCTTGTAAAGCACCTGGTGGTAATTCTGCTCTTGAATTATTTACACAAACAATATTTTTAATAAAGTGGGCTTTATTCGAGTTAACTTAATATGCTATCTCTTTTCCAGAAGCTCAGTTTATTCCCAACAAGCAGTTACAGCCCAAAGAGACACAGATTTACATAAAACTTGTGAAATATGCAATGCAGGCTTTAGATATTTATCAGGTAAGGAATTGCCCTCAAACCAGCCTGTTGCATATGGAAAATGCCTTTTAGATTTAAGATGTTAGTGAGATGGAATAGGCCTTGAGACATCTGTTATTATTTGGGTGGTCTGTGGTATTTATATACCTACCTTTGCTTTTGTTCTGCAACTTAGTGTTGCACTTACAGTGAGAATTCTTATATTTAATAAAAGTCTGGATGAGTGCATTTTGTGGGGCAGATGGTATGAATGGAGTGCAATAGAAACATAAGATTTAAGTTTACTCATTTTTCTGATCTGAACACCTAAAGTGTTTTTTAAAAAAAATTATTCTGTAAAATTAAGGTGAGAAAGAATTTAAAAGATTTGGGCGGGGGGTACATTTATTATCTAATTCAAGTGCTCTATTTTAAGTATGCATCTGATCTGATTATATAATGGAATATATTCAGAGAAGTTCAGTTTCAAGGCCTGTTGGTGTGGTTCTTTCTTTTCCTTTTACTAGGTCCAGATAGCAGGAAATGGTCAAACGTACATTCGTGTTGCAAACTGCCAGACTGTTCGAATGAAGGAAGAGAAGGAGGTGTTGGAACACTTCGCTGGTGTGTTCACAATGATGAATCCTTTAACATTTAAAGAAATCTTTCAAACTACAGTCCCTTATATGGTGGAAAGAATCTCAAAAAATTACGCTCTTCAGGTATAAAACTCCTTTTTTTTAATGTTCTTTCAACAATAACTTTGCAGTTTTTTATGGGTTGAATACTTCGTGATTGATTTAATTTGAGGATTTTAAGAATAATGGGCCGGGTGCGGTGGCTCACACCTGTAATCCTAGCACTCTCAGAGGCTGAGGCGGGCTGATTGTTCGAGGTCAGGAGTTCGAAACCAGTCTGAGCAAGAGTGAGACCCCGTCTCTACTATAAATAGAAAGAAATTAATTGGCCAACTAATATATATAGAAAAAATTAGCCAAGCATGGTGGCGCATGCCTATAGTCCCAGCTACTTGGGAGGCTGAGGCAGCAGGATTGCTTGAGCCCAGGAGTTTGAGGTTGCTGTGAGCTAGGCTGACGCCATGGCACTCACTCTAGTCTGGGCAACAAAGCAAGACTCTATCTCAAAAAAAAAAAAAAAAAAAAACCAAGAAAATAATGCACCTAAGGATGTGCTTGCAGAGCAAAATTTAGAGAAATATTAGGCTGTAATGTTTGAAAAAAATTTTTCAAAAGATCCGGATGCTTTAGACCAGTTCCTTTCATTAGGAGAAATTAAATGTGTATTAATTGTAGCCCTCGGTATTTGTGAGGGTGAAATAATAGATTAAGTACTTGAATCAAGCTGTTCTTCTCAGTGCTTAGCAAATCCATTTTTTTACTTTGGTGGATAATTAAATGTCTTGGAGTGTCTGGTATAGGTTCTGTTTTGTTTTGGAAAAGCTCATTACTTTGTCTTAAAGCTGTTTTGAGGAAGGAATTATTTTTGTCACGTGCATCTCTTGTTTTGATAGATTGTTGCCAATTCCTTCTTGGCAAATCCTACTACCTCTGCTCTGTTTGCTACAATTCTGGTGGAATATCTCCTTGATCGCCTGCCAGAAATGGGCTCCAACGTAGAGCTATCCAACCTGTACCTCAAGCTGTTTAAGTTGGTCTTTGGCTCCGTCTCCCTCTTTGCAGCTGAAAATGAACAAATGCTCAAGGTAAAGTTCATTCATATTTAAGTGCCAAGTACTTGTATTCAGGGATTTTTTGTTGTTGTTTCCTAATTCTTGTTTTCACTTTTGAACAGAAACTGTAGTGACTGTTTTTATGTGTAAAATGCTCTTTGAATTAATAAATATTTGCAACAAATAAGGGCCAAGTGTGAAAACCATTTGATGTGTTTCTAAGCAGAGCTTGATTTCTTTATCTGATGTCTTAATATGAAAAATTCAGAACTCTTCTGGTTAAGTGTGCTGTGATGTTGTTAGTGTTGTTAAAACTCATTTTCCTTTTCTGGATTATAAAAGTAAAATAAGAATATATTATTCTTAGGTGATGCAAAAGAACATTCTACAAGGAAAAAATGTCTTCATGTACCTCTAATCCAAAGAGAAACAGCCTACTGTGTGACAGTTCTGAACTGATTACACCAACCTTTACTCGGGTTTTGTGTCTTCTATATTCACATTCTGTACAGCAATATGTATGCAGCACATTTCAGGACTATTTGCTTGTTTTTCCCTTTTAAATCAAGAGTTCTAATCAGTTTGTGTTCCTTTATTAAAATCATCTTAGAGAAGATGTCTCATCACATATTTTTCTACATGACTAATCCTATATAATTGAATCTCATCAGTAATTTGATTCTAGCAAGTGGCTAAAACGTATATTGCTCACTAAAAGTAGCAGATGGTGGAATAAAAACCTTATAAAAATGCACTTCCACTTGTGGCAAAATATTTTAATTCTTATTGAAAGTTGACTATTATCACCAGTTGTGTCTAAAGAGAGATGTTTTTCCATAAGGGAAAATTTGAAGATGGAGGCAAGGTCCTTTCTTTATGGAGTAGAGGTGCAGATGGTGGTATAGAGCCCCAGTGTGTGCCATTTTCTGTGGTGTTTTTCAGTTATGTAGTAATCTGTTAACAACTTTACATTACTTTTGTATTAATATAAAAGGAAGGCTGGGCGCTGTGGCTCATGCCTGTAATCCTAGCACTCTGGGAGGCCAGGGCGGGCAGATTGCTTGAGGTCAGGAGTTCGAAACCAGCCTGAGCAAGAGCGAGACCCCGTCTCTACTATAAATAGAAAGAAATTAATTGGCCAACTAATATATATGGAAAAAATTAGCCGGGCATGGTGGTGCATGCCTGTAGTCCCAGCTACTCAGGAGGCTGAGGCAGGAGGATCGCTTGAGCCCAGGAGTCTGAGGTTGCTGTGAGCTAGGCTGACGCCAAGTCACTCACTCTAGCCAGGGCAACAAAATGAGACTCTTGTCTCTAAATAAAATGAATGAATGAATGAATGAATGGAAAATACTCAGTTTTTTAAAGATATAAAATATTTAGTCATAATGTGTTTTCACATAATTCAGTATCTTCAAATAACTAATTTTGCCAACATTAGATACAAATATATAGAACAAGAACACAAAAAACAAAATAAAACCTAACAGGACAAACCCAATGTTAGAATATTGGTCAAGAAAAATATTCAGGGAACAAATTTCATAGAACTCTTTGCCAAAAAAAATATAGTTCTGTAAAATAAATATATCATGCCATATTCAATCATATATAGTAATAAATTTGGAACTATCAGTGACTAAACCAACAGTTTACAGTTCACTTTAAATATACATGCAAAAAGATTTCACATTAAACTTAGCCTGTAATATGTCAAAAAGCAGGATTTGAAGTACAAAATAAAAAGCCAATGTGATTTAAAGTGTTAAAGTTACTATGATGTAATAAAGTGATTTTATTTCAATTAAAGAATTATCCATATAAACATATTTTTCCATTAAGTCTTCTAAAACTCTATAATCTCAAACATCTTTTGAGGTTCTTTCACACTTTGCCTACATCTTATTTGATTGGTAGTGCAGTTTTTATTCCTATAGGTAACTTTCTGCATTTAGATTGTTCTAGGAAACAGGCTTCTTTAATCTTGTTGACTATGTAGTCCTATAAAGGAGTGACCCTACCCATAAGAACCACACAGACCGGTGAGTTCCTGTTGCATGTCGCCTGTACAACATCATGTAACTGTGGAGTAAGAATAAATGCTCCTTTCACAGCTAAACTGGTAGAAACCAACATATACTTTAAGAGAAATTAATTTGAGTCAAATACAGGTTGGAAAGTTATTGTTTTTTCTTTTGGAATGAACTCACCAGAATTGCCTTTCATTGCTGTTGGATTGCACTGATGCTTTGGCTCTATTCTGAGGGTATAGACTCTCCACTAATCTGCCTTTTCTCCACCCTGCAGCCTCACCTGCACAAGATTGTGAACAGCTCGATGGAGCTCGCACAGACCGCCAAGGAGCCCTACAACTACTTCCTGTTGCTCCGGGCACTCTTCCGCTCTATCGGCGGAGGCAGCCATGATCTCCTGTATCAGGAATTTCTGCCTCTCCTCCCCAACCTCCTGCAAGGTCAGAGCAGTGACTGGTTGCCTTTTAGTCTTGTGTGTGTGCATGTGTCTGGCTGCCTTTGATTGCTGGAGTTCATCCTCTGCACCCCACGAAGGTCATGGTTGTGGGGTGGGATGTGTGTGTGCCGTATCTCACCCCCTTCTTTAAAGGCAATGGGACTTTGAAGGGAGCCCTGTTTGGGCACAGGTTCTTCCCTCCCTACTCAGCATTGAATGGGATTTAGAAGGTTTTAGGTACCTGGTTAGGGCTTGGTTGTATTTTTGTAGTATTTGGTAAGCATCTAGAAAGAAAGTGGTTTCTAGTGGTTTAGTAAGATCAGGATCCCTAGACTGAAAGAGAATCAGAACAAAAAGGAAAAAGCAAGTTTACAAAGCTGATTTACAGTCAGTATATATTTTCATCTAGTTTCTAATCTGCATAACAAGGATCCTGTAATTCCTATATAATTAGGAATGCTCTCAAGATACATAGTTAAAGGGGATCTTGAGCCCACTGAATGTTTACGGAGTATGAACTGATTGGAAACATTATCTCAGGAATTAATCTTTTTTTGGTAAATTGAGCTCTTGACAGGGGATTGACTTTCTCATGTATTTTCTTTGCAAACTCCTTAAAGAAAAGTGGCATTATATACTCAGAAGGCAACTGGGACATACTTGAATATGTTGAAATAAAATGAGCATTTAAAAAAAATATAAAAATAAAATAAAACATAAATAAAATGGCCATAAATCTGCCATGGAAGGGACTTCATGTGGCCCATAATCAGGGTCCATATTTAACCCCATCTCTAGTCTCCAAGACTTTGTTGTCCTTAGTCTCATTTCTTTCTTCTTGTCTTGTCTGCTGTCCCTAAGCTTATTTCTGCCTCCTAGTCTCATTAAAGCTGATCCTGTGCTGGGAACTTAGCCCTGTGCCCTCTTCTCGTCACCTTTCCCATTGGATTCTGTCTCTGATTCTGCTGCCTCGTGGTGCAGACAACTCCTCTTCTCTCTCTCTCTCTCTCTCTCTCTCTCACTCACTCACTCACTCACTCACTCACTCACTCACTCACTGTCGGTCTGTGCTACGCAGGAAGTGCCCACTCTCAGTCCACTGTTACATGCCTTTCTCTGTCTAGCTGGTCTCCTATCCCTCGGTGGGTAGGGCTCAATGAGGAAGGAACTCAATAAATCCTTGATTATCCTGGTGAACTATGGGGAGTTTGACTTATAAGGAGGCGGTTCCTCTCCATTTATAATAAACAAAAGTTGATTAAAAAAAATATTTATGTTAGAGCATAGACCTCAACTTGGTCTACTGGAAGCCTGAAAAGATATAAACTTTGAACTTTGAGGTGAAAGCATCATTTTGAAGTCTGGGTCTTTAGGTTGGGCTTAATAGTATTACATGATTTTTAAAAAAGATAACTTATATTAAGTTATAAGGATATACTATAATAAATTACTATTTATATTAATTACATAAGCCTGTTGTTGCCACTACAAAAGAGATCATTAATGCAGTTGTAGAACTGATTTAACTAATAGGACATATTATTTAAAAGGGCACAAAAAGTCTTTCTATAATCTTGTTTTGTGTTTTGTTTTGTTTTGTTTTTTGAGACAGAGTCTCACTCTTTTGCCCGGGGTAGAGTTCCATGGCATCACTGTAGCTCACAGCAACCTCAAACTCCTGGGCTCAAGCGATCCTCCTACCTCAACCTCCTGAGTAGCTGAGACTATAGGCTCAAACCACCATGCCTGGCTAATCTTTTCTATTTTTAGTTGCCCAGCTAAATTTTTTTCTATTTTTAGTCGAGATGAGGTCTCGCTCTTGCTCAGTCTGGCCTCGAACTCCTGAGCTCAAGTGATCCTCCCAACTCAGCCTCCCAGAGTGCTAGGATTACAGGTGTGAGCCACTGTGCTTGGCATATCATCTTGTTGATGTTTACAACAGGTGGATCAGTTATTTTGTACAGTTAACTTTGGCATGTGTCTGGAAAGTAACTTCCCTCTCTGACGCTCTCACACCTTGTGTCCAGGACTGAACATGTTGCAGAGCGGCCTGCACAAGCAGCACATGAAGGACCTCTTTGTGGAACTGTGTCTCACGGTACCCGTGCGGCTGAGCTCTCTCTTGCCCTATCTGCCCATGTTAATGGATCCCTTAGTGTCCGCACTCAATGGGTCTCAGACGTTGGTCAGCCAAGGCCTGAGGACTCTGGAGTTGTGTGTGGACAACCTGCAGCCCGACTTCCTATATGACCACATTCAGCCTGTCCGCGCAGAGCTCATGCAGGTAAGTCCCGTTCACTTGAGCACCAGCAGGGGCATTGGATGCTCACATATCTAGTTTTTGCTGAGCAGCTGCGGCTAGTTGTCCCTATCATTGGGCTGTCTGCTAGATGGAGTGGTGTGACTTTGCATTTACTTTGTGAATCTGCTAATGTGTTGAAAGATATAAGGAAATACTATAGATCGTGAATGGATATTTGTTGTGTAGAATTACCGCTTTTTCAGAGAACTTTCACAAGTGTTACATTCTTAATAAATTGATGACTTAAGAGGCAGGTGTTAGGTTACTATATGGCCACTGTTGCTTCCAGCACAAACCTTTCTTTATTCATGAAAGATCTTCCATTGAATAATAAAGGGATGTGGATTCCCAAGGGAAGGAATAGGCCTCTGCCCACCCCAGCTTAAGAGACAAAGAGCAGCTAATAAAGGAGGTAGTTTTGCAGATGCTTATATATTTATTTGTTTATTAAAGTTTACATGTAACAGTTAGATTTTTCATTCATGTTTTGCTGTTACTGGTTTTTGATGTGGTTGGTAATTGTCAGAGGGTTAGGTTTTCTGTTTATTCACCTGCCCGTTTAGTGTAGGGTATTTGACCCCAAATAGGGGTTGGAACAGCAGCTTTATATGATGGAGGCTAATAACTCCTAGGGGACAAGAGGCTGTGGACAAGCTGGATTGGAGACCACAGCTTGGACTTGGGGTTAAGGTTGGAAGACTTTCTCTGCTCATCCTGATTTAGATCTTGGGTTTCATCTAGCCTAGAAGAAGATGGAATAGGGGGTGGTGGGTTACAGTCACTCTCCCTGCTGGTCACATGGGGATTGACAAGAGCCCGCCTTTAGAACAGCACTGTTGGGTCTAAAAGGCAGACCCTGGTCCTGACAGTGTGCATGAGCAGCATGTGGGAGGAGGCAGAGGTGGGTTCTTGGGCCTTCCCTCCATGAGCAGATGGCCAGAGAGAGAGAGAGAGGAGAGAGAGAGAGGGTCAAGGTGACAGTCACCCACCCTACAGAGGAGTGGCATAGTGTCAGTCTCTCCCGGTCCCATCAGCAGCTTAGGCTAAGCTTGTTCTCAGTGCCACCCCCTCCTGGGGGAGTGCAGCAGAAGTCCCCTCTCCTGAGGATTCACAAGGATTGGGTGGGCCAAGCGAAGGGGAGGGGACCGAGACTCCACCTTACCAATACTTACTGAGGAGAAGCCTGCTGGGATCTACAGGAACATAAGAGAAATTGGAATTTTGTGTGGTTTAGAGAAAAGTACCAAGATTTTATGTTAGGTTTGAATATTGCTAGACATGAATATTTGACATTGTTACAGAAGGTGATTTAAGAAAAATAGACTTAAATTTGAACTATGGTAATTTTTAGGACTTCTGAGAATTTAGGTGAATAAAGTGGGGAAATTTCCAGAGTATTTTTGGGACAGTTGAGTGTGAGTATTCCTTAGGCGAAGGTACATGTTACCTTATTTATTCCCTGTAGTCCTGTAATGCAGGTGTCTTTATGACCCATGTTTTTCCCCTTTGCCATCCTGTAAAATTTGAAATGTACAAGATAATTTATGTGTCATATTTGTAAGTTGTAAAGCCTAAAGATAGAAATAAAAACCTGAGTGCTCATGATCTAACTCCAGGACTGGAACTTGGCCAGCTAATTGCATCTACCTCTGTGCTCTTCCCCTCCCATTTTGTATTGTATGTGCCTGAACAACACATTATTTAGTTTTCTTGCTTTTGAGCTCTGCAATATTTATAATGTGCTTCTATTCATATCATAGGAGCGTGGAAGAACATTTATATTTATATATACATTTTTTTGCAAAGATGTAAAATTTCCTTGGAAGGATATACAAGACTAGTAACATTGGTTTCCCCAAAGAAAGGGAAACTGTGTTTTGGGGGACAAAGATGGCAGGAAGGATTGTTGCTCTGTAGTGTTTCATCACTTTCGAATTTTGATTTGTGAACTATGTGAATGTTTTATCTTGGGAAGATTTTAACAAAAGCATGCTGATTTTTAGGCTTTGTGGCGTACCTTACGCAATCCTGCTGACAGCATCTCCCACGTGGCCTATCGTGTACTTGGTAAATTTGGTGGCAGTAACAGGAAGATGTTGAAGGAGTCCCAGAAGCTGCACTATGTTGTGACGGAAGTTCAAGGCCCCAGTATTACAGTAGAGTTTTCCGATTGTAAAGCATCTCTTCAGCTCCCAATGGAGAAGGTAAATTTGGAAGTCTTTGGGGAGCTTTGTTGAAGATACTATGTTTCATTTTAAGAAAGTTAATTTTTATTTGAAAGTATATAAATAAGACATGCTTTTTTTTTTTTTTTTTTTTTTTTTAAGACATGCTTTTTTTTTTGGAGGGAATTTCTAACTTGGAGTAGAACAAGGTTTATCTGGTGATCAGAGCGATTAGCAAGGGGCTCTGAGAACACTGGGAGGCTGGGGGGTGGTGTTGCCCTGAGAGTCTGGGACACTTGAACAGTCCCATCTTTCTGGATGACTGGGAGGTGATGCCAGCCCATCCCCACCTTGAACTCAGTCTCTTAATGCCCAACAGGCTTTACCTCAAGTGTTGGTGAGAACCCAAGTGTGTTCCATGCTTGTCTCTCATCCCTGTCACCCCCAGCACCTTGTTTTCTTCCCTTCTTTGTGCAAACCTAGCTCATGCTCTCCCCTCCTGGCTCTTATCCCACTGGAGACAGCTCTTGGGTCTCTTGCATGTACTTTCAAAACTCCCATTTTATTGTGTAAAAAGCAAATAAACTGTCCCCAACATTTTGCTGGCATATTCGCTCTGCTCCCTTTGCTTTGTCTGTACTGAAAGCAATTTCTCCACCACCTCTCTCCCCTAGTCCTGTTAGTGTCTTCATGTTGTCACATTTGCTTTTTCCCTTGTCATGTCAGCAGCCCTTTTCTGCAATGTAGCATAGCACTTGTTACTGTGCCTTTTCAGAACAGTTATCTGGTTATTGTATGCTGGGTATTTTTTAAGGATATCATAGTATCCTTTTAGGTGCATCTGAGCGACTGGATGTTTCAGTGAGCTGGGTGCCTGCTGGGCCCTGAGCCCCTTGAGCCCCTGGCCTATGTGTCCCGGGACCACTCTGAGCCCTCCCTTTGCTCTGGCTAACTCTGCTCCATCTGTTGCATCACTTTGCAGCACTGGGCATTTTTCCCTCTCTGTTTAAGAAGTTTACTCATGCAGTGGGTTCTATGGGGTTTTTGTTTTGTTTTGTTTTGTTTTGCTGGAGTTTACTAAACATTTGAGGGGGAGGATACCGTTATGGTAAGCATCACTTTGGAGTTGTTTTCTGTCATCTCTGCCTGTCCCCCACTTCTTTAAGCATGTCCTTATTCCCAGTCCTCCTCACCTTTGCCCTCTCTAGCTTTGGGGCAGGTGCAATCTCAAGCCTCTAACCCAGAACTTCATCAAAATATTCCCCAAATCAACTTTCCTCCTAAGAGAATTTCCTCCTAAATTCTCTGTCTTTACATTGAAAAAATTACTCTAGTGAACAGCCTCATGCCTGTAGCACTTTCCCATGTCGTAGGTAATTTCCTTGAGAGGATTCTGTTTGCTTTGGTCATGTCAGTGGAAAGGTTGGTATTAAGTGAACACTAAGGCATCTAACTTTTATTGGACATCTGTGTGGACTGAGCAGAGCAAAAAAAAAAAATCTCTTTAGAAGTAATTTTACCCAAAAGCAACTAAAACATGGAAGAATTTAGGTTTAGAAAATAAAAGTCTTTGGACCCTTTCGGAGATTTACCATGGTACCTGTTGAGGCTTCTTCCCAAGTAGGACCTGTAGGCGGGAGTGGCCAAGTAGCTAAGGAGTTGGCAGGGAAAAGGGAAAAATTCTCTTGGCCAAGCCAAGTGCCAGTGAATTTCCATTAAATAATTCTGCTTTTGGCACATCTTACAACCCTTTATTCTTTTTTTTTTTTTTTTTTTTTTTTGGCATATTATGGGGGTACAGATTTTAAGGTTTCAATAAATGCTCATTCCCCCCCCTTTATTCTTTTTGTTAGGTAATTGGCTCATAGGTTACATTGATTCTTGAAAATAAAGTTTTTAAAGTCAATATCACCTATTTATTAACCATAACGGACCAGATCAGAGACAGTTCTGCAGAAGGACTAAGATGCTCATGGTGGACTCACGTAACAAGGAGCCATTGTCACACTCACGTGACTATGTGTGCTGTGTGCCCCTGTACCTGGGATGGTCTGGAGGACAGGGCCTCTGTCCCTGTCTTCACCCTCTCCTGGTTCCTCATACAGGGCCTGGGTGAATCTTTAGTTATTTTGTTTGTTTTTGAGACAGGATCTCACTCTGTTGCCTGGGCTAGAGAGCAGTGGCATCATAGCTCACAGCAACCTCAAACTCCTGGGCTCCAGTGATCCTCCTGCCTCAGCCTCCTGAGTAGCTGGGACCACAGGTGCACATCACCATGCCCGGCTAATTTTTCTATTTTTTGTAGAGAGGGGTCTCAGGTTGGTCTTAAATTCTTGGCCTCAAGGAGTCCTCCCACCTCAGCCTCCCAAAGTGCTAGGATTACAGGCATGAGCTACCATGCCTGGCCAAGTCTTTAACAAAAATTAGTTCTTTGATATATATGCATGTGATTATCTTTAAAATTAATGTGTTAGCTATTTAAAGGCTTCAGATTTTGTATGTGTGTGATAGTGCCTTCCCTCCCTTCTTGGTCAACCTAATGGAAATGAATAGGATCAGAATGTGTATAGCTATGTAGGTTTTCTGAAAAAGTTAATATAAAGCTTTTTTTTTCTCTTTTAAAGAGAGAATTTAGTAAGAGCTTAAGAAAGCTATCTTTCAGTTTTGAACTTAGACACAGGAAAGTCTGTGTTCTGCAGAAACTTCATTCTCATTAGGACCTTGATGAGTGTGTGGAAGACACAAAATCTTGTTTAATCCAGCAAATCTACCTTCTGAGCTCACTTAATTTCTCTAATCTCCTCTTGGCTATTTAAAGCTGAAATTATTGAAGCCAGACACAGCAACTCATGCCTGTAATGCTAGCACCTCAAGAGGCTGAGAATCGCTTGAGCCCAGGAGTTCATGACTAGCCTGGGCAACACAGCAAGACCCTATGTCTAAAACATTGGGAAAAAAATTAGCAGAGCGTGGTGGTTGGTATGTGCCTGGAATCTCAGCTATTTAGGAGGTTCAGGTGAGAGGATCGCTTGAGCCCAGGAGTTTGAGGCTGCAGTGAACTATGATTGTGCCTCTAAATAGCCACTGTACTCTAGCCGGGGTGACAGAGTGAGACTCTGTCTCAAAAAAAAAAAGAAAAAGAAAAGACATTATTAAACGCCATCTTACATTTTAATTTGAACTGTACAATTCTTTATTTCATAATATTTCTATTGCCTTCTCCAGAAGTGTCATTTGGTAAATTACCTGTTAGACTGTATTGGCCCACTGTGCTCTCTCAAAAGAAAATATGTGTTAAGAGTCTTCAGGGTGCTGCAAATGCTTTCAGTGAAAGCTTTTCAAAATCATTGAATTTCGGTGCAAGCTGTATTTTCCGCGTTCCTTTGCAGGCCATTGAGACCGCTCTGGACTGCCTGAAAAGCGCCAACACGGAGCCCTACTACCGGAGGCAGGCGTGGGAGGTGATCAGGTGCTTCCTCGTGGCTATGATGAGCTTAGAGGACAACAAGCACGCGCTCTACCAGCTGCTCGCGCACCCCAAGTACGTCAGTCATTTCACCCTCTGCGATGGGGTGGACCTCACTTCAGGAATTAGGGATACAGAGAACCTCCCAGGCTTCTCAGAGTCCTAATTTATTGGCTGTGCACGTATTAGGCAGAATATATTTGATGTCTCTTGAACCACTGGCTATCAGTGTTCAGAATAAAATTCATATTTGAGTCCAGCTGTTGCTGACCTTAAAGCAGAGAAATTTGACTCCCTCAGGCCTGTCTAAATAAGAGGGAAGTGGGTAGGTTGGAAGTAAAAAAAACAAGTCATGGTGGAATCATTAGCTCAGGAGTTTGGTGTCATGATGCTGGACTTAATTTTGCATTTCAGCTTTACAGAAAAGACCATACCCAATGTTATCATATCACATCGCTACAAAGCACAAGACACCCCAGCCCGGAAGACATTTGAGCAGGCCCTGACCGGGGCCTTCATGTCTGCTGTCATTAAGGACCTGCGGCCCAGCGCCCTGCCCTTTGTGGCCAGCTTGATCCGCCACTATACGATGGTGGCAGTTGCTCAGCAGTGCGGTGAGTATGGGGACCCGCTCGGGCAAAGGAAGTAGACATTTGATGTCTTCAGGGTGCTTCTAAAACTTGGTCAGGACATTTTGTTGTTTTAGAGAAGCTGAGTTTGGCTGATAGATTTTGGGCTTTTGTTTTTTAATTTTCCATTTACTACGTTGATAAAGGTCTTTGGTATTTCAGTGGTGGGTGCTGTCTCAACTTGAAAGTTATTACCAAGTTTTGTCTGTAAAATATACCCAATTTAATCATTTAGTCCTTTTATACTCTTTGTACGCAAATACTTTTGGACATGCCTCATGGAAAACAGCTATGGTCACACTCATTGCTGCTCTTCCTCTGCCTGGTGGTGTTTTCCGAGGCCAGTCTTCCCCTCTGCTCCATCATCACCTCTTCTCTGCAGCCAGCTCCTCATCTTCTCCCCTGCAGTGTTTATTTCTCCTCCCAGGACAGTCACCCAGGCTGTTCCTCCTGCCTAGACCAGCTACTCATCTCTGCTTTGGTGGCTCTCACCCTCTTGGTAGTGAAGGACCAATTGTGTTCATTATCATTTCCAATCCATTGTAGACAATACCTTTATAAAAGACAATAAACCTGTCGTTACACTGCCGGTTGCTGTGTAAGTTTCTGAAAACTTACCCTCAATTTTGGCATGTCCTCGCAGACCAGTAACAGTTAATCGATCTGCAGACCACACTTGAGCTCAGCTCCAATTTGTGTCCTCAGAGCTTCCTTACCTAGAGATCAACAAGCAGAACACATAGAACTTTCCCCCTTTTAACTCCTCTTGGCTTGAATAGTCACCACTATACCGTTTAGCACTTCGATTATTTCTCAGTGTTTCTTCTGTGTCAACATTTTTCTTTCCAGCTTCGCTCTGTAACTTCCATCTTGCCTGGTGCTGGTACCTATGAGGCGTTAACTGACGTTGCTGTGGCTGACTGTTCTCCGTCTGTGTGTGTTCTCTGTCACAGCTGTATGCTGTTGGTTTTTGTTGTTCGTATGTCAGGAATGTCCAGAGCATGACCCATAGTCATTCCCATGCTGTGCCCCTTGGCCTGTTAATGGTTTTTTAAAAAAGATATCTGATTGTGGTTCTCATTTTAAATTAATACATTTTTGAGTTGTGATTGACAAAAATCTGAAAATAATACACTATATAATGGAATACATTTAGAAAATAGCATTAGTGGGAATCAGATCACTTAGTTACAAATAATTGCAGGTTAGCAGAAGTTGGTTTAAAGTTTCAGTGCTGGCTTTTATTGACTTCTTAACCTCAAAGAAAGCATGAAGTGGTTTTGCAGTTTAAGGCGACAAGAATGTTCATGTAAGTGAACCTTCTCACATGTCCTCTACCTCTCCTTTTAGGTCCTTTCTTGCTCCCTTGCTACCAGGTGGGCAGCCAGCCCAGCACAGCCATGTTTCACAGTGAAGAAAATGGGTCGAAAGGAATGGATCCCTTGGTTCTTATTGATGCAATAGCTATCTGTATGGCATATGAAGAAAAGGAACTTTGCAAAATTGGGGAGGTGGCCTTAGCTGTGATATTTGACGTTGCAAGTATCATCCTGGGCTCAAAGGAGAGGGTAAGGAAGGATTGAGGAGTATCTTCTGATTTGAGGGGTATTCATGCTTCAAACTGGTGGTTTAAGAATTGCAGTAACACAATATGGTTTGTCTGTTTTTCTCTAGGCGTGCCAGCTGCCCCTGTTTTCATACATTGTAGAGCGCTTGTGTGCATGTTGTTATGAGCAGGCGTGGTACGCAAAGCTGGGGGGCGTGGTGTCCATTAAGTTTCTCATGGAGAGGTTGCCTCTCACTTGGGTTCTCCAGAACCAGCAGACTTTCCTCAAAGCGCTTCTGTTTGTCATGATGGACTTAACAGGAGAGGTAGGTGACGGGCGGCCCCACACCTAACTATGCTATTTTCAAGGAGCTAATTGTTAGAGAACAGTTAGTATTAGCCGGTTCTGCAAATGTGTTGTTCTAGCAGATTTCATTACAACATCTTTAATTAAAGGACTGCTCAGAACCCCCATAGGCTTTTCTGAATATCTCAGTAGTCATTTGCCTTGATAAGGAACAGTCGCAGGCCTGGGTACTTACCACGGTACATCTGAAACAAGGAATACTGCTTCCCATGTACTACAAAAGTTTCCACAGGAGTTGCATTCTTTCTGAACCTGTGTGCATATATGACTCACCAGTAGAGCATAGTGGGCATTGCCTGCTTTTCTGTTTGGTACATGCAAGGTCCTGTCTAGATCCATGTTTCCTTTTCCCAATGATGTACAAGAATTACCTAGCTGAAGGTGATTCAGGTACTGAAGTACCGAGTGGGTGCTATGAGGTAGGCTTTTTAAAGCAACTGGTGTGAGGGGTGTGGATCCCCCAGTGGCAGCATTTATGGCAGACAGGTGTACAGGAGTTGGCTGTAGTGGGAGGCGTTGCCCCCCACTTTTGTTCTAAGGTGTCCTTGGCCTGCAGGTTTCCAACGGGGCAGTTGCCATGGCAAAGACCACCCTGGAGCAGCTTCTGATGAGGTGCGCAACACCTTTAAAAGACGAGGAGAGAGCTGAAGAGATTGTGGCAGCTCAGGAAAAGTCTTTTCACCATGTGACACATGATTTGGTTCGAGAAGTCACCTCCCCTAACTCCACTGTGAGAAAACAGGCTATGCATTCACTGCAGGTACTGGCCCAGGTCACTGGAAAAAGCGTGACAGTGATAATGGAGCCCCATAAAGAGGTGAGATTTCTGTCACCAGAATCGTCTTTTTTTTTTTTTTCCAAATTTGAGTTAAGATGCTACTCAGTTAATAGTTTTGTATCCACGTCACAAAGTATAGTTGTCTCTCAGTTACCCGAAGGGGATTGGTTCCAGGACTCATCGTGGGCACCAAAATCCCAGGATGCTCAAGTCCCTTAAATAAAATAGAATGGTGTAGTATCTGTAACATCCTCCTGTATACTTTTTAAATCATCTCTAGATTTCTTAAATACTTAATACAATGTAAATGCCATGTCAATAATTATTATACTCTATTATTTTTGGGGTTTTTTATTGTTGCATTATTATTTTTAATTTATTTTTTTCTTGAGTATTTTCCACCTATGGTTGGTTAAATCTGTGGATTAGGAACCCTCGGATATGGAGGGCCACTTATACTGTCAGATGTGGTCTTGTTCACCTCAGATATGCAAATAACAGTGTGCTTATATTATGGCTATGTCTGTATTATTTGTGTCAAGAGAATAGAAGCTTGGTTTCCTAAGTCTCTATGGCACAGTCTGATGGTTTTGTTCTTGTTTTTTGTTTCTGATTTTTTTTTTAAGAGAGGTTACCCTGGAGCCTTAGAAACCAAACATATCTGATGTGCCTATCTATGACCCAGTTTTAGCATGTGGAACATATCCATCCTTCCCTAATAAGAGGACGTCTATAATAACTTTTTATTTTACTTACAGTTTTCAAATTGATTATCGTTGGGGCTATTGTGACCAGAGGTATTTGCTTTTCAAGGGGTAGCTGGTTAACGAGGCCTCCTCCTTTTCTTTCCCAGGTCCTCCAGGATATGGTTCCACCTAAGAAGCACCTGCTCCGACACCAGCCTGCCAACGCCCAGATTGGCCTGATGGAAGGGAACACGTTCTGTACCACGTTACAGCCCAGGCTCTTCACAATGGATCTTAACGTGGTGGAGCATAAGGTGTTCTACACAGAGGTAGGGGGGTGGTGGTGCGGAGTGGTGTGGATGGTGATGAGGTGTGTCTGCTAGCCTGTCTTTGTACTCGAAGACTGGTCAGGCAGCATTCAGAGAAGGCTCAGGCGGTGACCTGCAGGTAACCAGCCATAACCTGGCACAGCACTCTGAGCAGGTATGTTGCATATGGGCTTGGGTAGAAAGGAGGCATGGTGATCAGTGATATTCAGAGAATGTTGGTGTGTTCTGAGTTCTGAGAACTCTGTTAGTCCCTGCAGGGAACCTTGCTCTAATTTAGGGCCTTAAAGTTATATTTTAAAGATAAGACTGCACCCATCTGCTTTAATTACTCTCATATCAACTGGTGCCCAGATAAGGCTGGCCCAGATCAAGTGCCAATTTATTGAATTTATTAATCATTTAAATGTGCCATACGCTATTGACAATGTCATGAATGCTCTTAGTTAGCTTTGATAGTACCCCATGAAGTGTACATACTACTGTTTATTCTCATTTTAAAGATATAGAAACTGAGCCTTAGGGTTTATTACTTACTTAAAGCCACAGAGCAGGTGACCCATAGAGCTTAGATTTGAACAAAGACTGTTATTTTAAAGCAAGGTTCCTAATCCCTGCACTAACTCATTTTGCTTAGCGGACGTGCCTCGGGACCCAAATATGGATGCTGGCAATGGCATTTTATAAGTATTTGTCACTGTAAACATCCCAGTGTTAGGTGATATCAGACAGTGATAAATTGTGAACATAACCAAATTATAAACATTAGTTCTTAGAATACAGTAATGGTTTGGTGATCAGTCCTAGTTTGAAATTTTTTGAGACATAAATCATGTTCCCAGAGGCATTGTCGGAGTGCACTGAGGCAGAAGTCACAGGGAGCAAATTCTTCTTGTTCCACATGAAGTCTGAATTTCCAATTAGGAAAATTTACCTGTTTTCTTAAATTTTTTTTTAAGTCCTATGTTTCTGCTTGGACAGATGTTTATGTGATCATATGGTCTATCTGATCTTTCAAACCTTATTATATCCCCTGTACATGAGTGATCGCTGTCAGGCTTCACACAAAAGGTCAAGAGCCTCTAGGAAATGGGAGGACAGCTTCCCTTGGTTGTTCTGAGACAAATGAACTATAACCTGCATGGAGAACTCGCTAAACTTAAGACCCAACCTGGTAGGGTCAAGGGCATGAAACTGGTTTTCCAAATATTTATCAGTACACTGGCAGCATCAGAACACATGAGGATCTTTTGAAAGTTAGACTCTTGAGTCCTCTCCTGGGAGATTCAGGTTTAGTAGATCTGGAGTAAGACCCGGGAAACTCCTGTCTAAAAGCTTCCCAGGTGATTCTGGTGGGTGACCATGTTTGGAACACTGGTTTTGTATTGTTACCCAACTCTTTCTCTCTCTCTTTCTCTCCCTCTCCCCACTCCATTACACACACATACACTTACATGTATACACACACACAGACATGTGTCCCTATATATATGAGGAAAGTGTTCCTAAAGGTCATACAAGGACCTAGTAACAGTACTTTCTTCTGGGGAGAGAATGGGGTGGGAGTCTTGAAGTGCTTTTCACCATAAATCCTTTTCTGCTGTTTTAAATCTCTCACCAGGTAGGAATCTTTAAGGAGAAACAAATGGTAAAAGTCTATACTAGTCTTTCAGGATGTAAATAAAGAGAAAGGGAAACTAGTAACAGAACACCATATATATTACTTTAGATATTCAACAAGTAAACATATACTTATATGGTAAAATGTCTGGAAAGATAAGTCACTGGAATTCCCAGTGACATTCAACTTCCTTCTTATGCTTTTCTGTACTTGAAAAAAAGTATGAGCACGTGAACATTTGAATTATAGCTACCACCTCATTTCTCAAACACTGGCCCAAGGTACTGAGAGCTGTTCTGAACAAGGAGGAGGTGTCCCCACCGTCATGGGATTTGCAGTTAAAGTGGCCCCTCTGTTTTCAGAAAAAACATTATGGTATCAGAGTGAGTGAGAAAGTATCTAGGAATTTATTTCACTAATGAGGTTAACTGAGTTTTGATTTAGAATAAGGAAGCTCGGTCTCAGTTCTTTTGGGTTTGAGTTTAGTTTGTCAGCTGTTAATTGTGTTGCAGTGTGTGTGGAAGATTGCTGTGTTCTGTTATTTGCCAAGGTTATTGTGTCTTCACAGTAAGAGTGGGCTAAATCAAGTCATTTCATTTTTTGCAGCTGTTGAATTTGTGTGAGGCTGAAGATTCAGCTTTGACAAAGCTGCCCTGTTACAAAAGCCTTCCATCGCTTGTACCTTTACGGATTGCAGCATTAAGTAAGTTAATGTAAAACTGAAACAAGCTACAGGGTATAAAAGTGAAGGGAGACTGACCTCTGAGGAAGTCTACAGGAAAAAAAAGTGAAAGAAGACAGTGATCTTTTTTTTATTGTCTAATTTTTCTGACTTTTTAAGGTGTGATCAAAAATTATGTTTATGTTTATCAAACTACATAATGAGATATAAGATTATATGTATTATTAGGATTTAAGTAATTGGTACTTTATAGTAAACTCTTTGTTCTGTAATGAATCAAATGTTCTGGTTTCGGAGAATTGTCATAGCTTCATATAATGCCATTTTCATCAGAATCAGAATGTGTAGTAAGGTACCCTGTAACTGTTACAGACTTTTCAATGACTCAGAAGCATTTGAGAATCCTTTACTCTCTAGATTTTCCGTAGAAACCTCAGTTATCATTGTCAGGCACAAGAATTGTGCTAAGCTTAGGAAAATACTAGGTCTGTATTGACTGACCCTTGTATATAGAAACAATTTCTTTTTGGGGGGGAGGGTGAATAAATAACCCGATATAAGCTTTTTTAGTTGACTCCTTGTTTTGATTTTTATGCCCTTAATAAAATATTACTAGAACACTCCCTGAATTAGAGGTGGAGAGCTGAGAGACCCTAATACCCAAGGTTGAGGATGGGGGTAGAATGTTCTAGATAGGGCAAGCTAAAACCAGGGGGGGGCTCCTAAGGAGGGGATGTTTGGCAGCTTCTCACTTCTGTTGGGGTCCCTGTCTTTTGAGGCCTCTTATGTACCTTCTCTTGTTAGAATGTCCTCTCTTAACATATACGGTATGTCCCCTTTCCTAAGAATATTTTCAAAGACTTAAAGCCTTTAACTCCCAAAGTTGGGCAGTGAAGAAAAGCTGGGCTATGTGTATATGTCTCCTGCATCCCCTGTTACCAGGGGGACAGAGACTGTGCCCTCAGCATCATTCAGATGGGCCTGCCTGTAGGCTGGTGCATTCTAACCCTGTGAGGATGTCCTGGGGGGTAGGAGTGTCACTGGGTTTCCCCTTCCCCCTCCAGCCTTTCTTCCTCCCACTTGGAGGCTCAGATTTATCACAGCCTTGCTGGCAAGCTGCTGACTTCATGCTTAGATAATACTGAGCGCATGGGTGGAAGACTATGCATTATTTTGTCTTTCTGGAGGCCAGATAAAAGGAAAGAGGGTTAGTGGCTCATATAATATTTTTGTTGGTTGGTAGGAGCCTCTAGAGAAGAAGACTATTTGGGTATTTTTCAGGTTAATAATGAAATTGTATTGATTTCTCTCCCTGAAGATGCACTTGCTGCCTGCAATTACCTTCCTCAGTCCAGGGAGAAGATCATCGCTGCACTCTTCAAAGCCCTGAATTCCACCAATAGTGAGCTCCAGGAGGCCGGGGAAGCCTGTATGAGAAAGGTGAGAGAGAGAGAGAGAGGAGACAGATAGTTTTCTGCGTTAAGAGTTCTGTATGCCTGGAATTCTGTCTGTGGTTACCGTATACTTGATTGTAATAGTCTAAGTTTTTTAAAATATTAAAGATAAATCTTCCTCATCTCATCATAAATTTCTGGAATATATGGTATATTGTCTGGAAGATAAACACTGGCTGCTAGAATTGAATATGAGTTCCATTCTGTAATAAAGTATTCTCTGTTGTCTATTTTTCTTTGTAACTTTTCTTTTTTTATTAGTTTTTAGAGGGTGCTACGATAGAAGTAGATCAGATTCACACACACATGCGACCTTTGCTGATGATGCTGGGAGATTATCGAAGCTTGACCTTGAATGTTGTGAATCGTCTGACTTCTGTTACCAGGCTCTTCCCAAATTCTTTCAATGATAAATTTTGTGATCAGATGATGGTAAGCCAAATGTGTTTAAATATATTCTATAATAAACTTGAAAAACTTAAATTATTTTAAAAATAAGTGATATGCATTCACATGGTTTATAAATCAGAAGGTGCAAAAGGGTTTACTGCAAAAATGTCTCCTGATCTTTGTCCTCCAGCTGTCCAGTCCCCCTTCCCAGGGACAAGAATAGCAGTTTCCTGTGTGTCCTGAAGAGGTTTTACATGTGTAAGAGGACATGTGATTATTCTTTTGTTTCCCATATTAGGAGGCATAATATATACATAGTTCTTGCTTTTTCCACTTAATAACTCTATCATTTCATATTAGTACATAAAGTGCTTCTTTGCTCTGTCTTATACATGCATACATTCATATTCCATTATGTGGACTTGCCATAATTTAACACTCCCCCACTGATGAATGTTTAGATTATTCCCAGTCTTTTCATTACAGACAATGATGCAACAAAAAACTTGTTCATAATTTCTCGTGTGTTTATCTGCACCATACATTTCTAGAGGTAGAATTTGTGAATTAAAGGAATGTATGCATTTTAATCTTTTAGTACATTATCAAATTGCTCCCCAAATTTTACCAATTTATACTTCTATAAAATAGATGAGTGCACCTCCTTCCATACAGCCTTGAGTAAGAACTTCAGAAATGCTTTGGAGTTTTAGAGTTATTAGAGAAATAATTGTGCAGATAAAAGATTTGTTTGACTGTTTAAAATTGAAGTGTAAGCAGATGGAGGAGGATTTCATCTGTTAGCTTTCTTTTGCATTCAATTTTGCTCCTGGTAAATAGATTTATAAATAATAATTTAGCTTACGATTTCATGGTACATCACTGTAAACATTCATGTTTTCCAAGCTAAGTAACCTTTGACTATTTTGACACTTTTAAGATACCGAAGGTATTTTTTTTTGTATTTGGTATACCTTTTTCCTAGCTATAAACAGGAGAGTAGACAGGTTATATAGTTGTAGATATATTGTATGTGGAATGAAGATATATAGCATATTTATATATATTTATATATATATTTTAAATGATCTTAAGGTGTTTATCCTTCAGATCCAACTTCATTCTTACATATATGATGTTCAATTCCTTTCTTTAAATTTGAACTTCTTAACATTTGACCTTGAAGTCTTATGTGGTTAGTTATTTTGGATATTTCCTCGTTGAACTAAAAATAAATTTTATATACCAATTGGAGTTATTCTTTACAATATTTTTTTTTTTTTTGAGACAGAGTCTCATTCTGTTGCCTGGGCTAGAGTGCCATGGCATCAGCCTAGCTCACAGCAACCTCAAACTCCTAGGCTCAGGCGATCCTTCTGCCTCAGCCTCCCGAGTAGCTGGGACTATAGGCATGCGCCACCATGCCTGGCTAATTTTTTCTATATGTTTTTAGTTGACCAATTAGTTTCTTTCTGTTTTTAGGAGAGACGGGGTCTCGCTCTTACTCAGGCTGGTTTCGAACTCCTGACCTTGAGCAATCCACCCGCCTCGCCTTGGCCTCCCAGAGTGCTAGGATTACAGGCGTGAGCCACCACGCCCAGGCTAGAGTCATTCTTTTTCTTTGGGAGATCTAAAAGCAGAAAGAAGAATGATGTGGCTGGCCATGTCTACACCTTTAATTCTGTTACTCTCATTTATATATTTGTATAAATAGCCATTCTAGTAAGATACAGATTTCATGAATTTGTATTCTGGTGATTAATATCCTTCAGGGAATCTTATGGATAAAATGTCGTTAGTTTACTTTGAAGAAATATATATTATTTTACGCATTTCTCAAGAAATATCCTGCAAGATGTAGATATTCCCTGAAAACCAGTTCATTTGCTGTATAAGCTTGGGAAACACAGCCTCTTGAAGTTTGGCATAGACTACAAGGACATTAAAGGTGCAGAGAAGCCTTGTCTTACAGACCAGTGTTAGATGTTTAAACCGTTATCTCCCAAGCCTGTTTTACCATGGAATCCTGTTTAAAGCAACTCACTAATTTCCTGTGGGACACCCGTGTGTTCTGAAGAACAAGTTTGGACAGTGCTGGATAAGAAGGATACATGTGTTACTTGAATGCTCTTGTTGTGGCTTAGCTTCAGGCGCTGAGCACTTGCCCACCTGGTTTTGCCAGGCTGGAGCCTCGCTGCCACATGCCCAGGGTAGGCTAAAGTCAGGATCTGTCTTGCCATATGCTCGTATCAAATGCGGAGTCTCGTTAGAGAACCATAGCTGTTGTACTGCACAGAATGGAAGTGTTGCCGATGACACTAATTTGCACAGCCTTTGACCAAACAGGGTCTATGTTTATCTTCTCAGCCTCCCACTGCAGCCTGTGCTCCCACGCCTGTCACCTTTGTTCCCACGAGTCCTCAGCCACCATGTCTGCCTTTCTTTGGCTTCAGGGCCCTGTCCGTCCTCTTCTTTCTCTGCCCTTCTGTTTCTGGCATGTCTGCCTCCTTTGAGCCACATCCTCATCCGGGACCACCTGGCCCCTCATCCTTTTTCTACAGCTGGTTCCTGTTCTTGTGACACACACCCTAATTGTAGTCACACACAGCAGGTACTTTTGTGTTTTACCTGTTCTCCCACTGTACCACGAGCTCCACAAGGATAGGGATGTTGTCTGCCTTTCACTTCTACCCTGATTCCCAGCGTATGGCTGTTAATGAAACAAATTTCACACAAAACGGCAGGGCCTGGTATTGGAATGACCAGGTTCAGGAGAATATTTTCTTTTTTTATCAGGCAAATTCAGCCTTTTTATTTACAGATCATAAACAGATGCCGATTATTCTCATCTCTAGTTTGATGGTTGGGCTATTTCAATAATTGGAAACACTGCAGTTCTCATGTTAAGCACGACAGGAATTGATCATGTATGAGTGTCCACCTAAGAGTAGTATTTGGAAGCAAAATACACATGTTGTGAAGGAGAAGTTGTGTCTAAGGCTGTATTTCTTCCGCAGCAACATTTGCGCAAGTGGATGGAAGTGGTGGTCATCACCCACAAGGGGGGCCAGCGGAGCGACGGAAACGTGAGTGACTCGTTTGCTTCTGGGCAGGGCACCCTGCCATGCACTGTGGTGTCAACACCTGAGCGGTGCTGTTACCTGATGTGCTGGTCAGGTCTAGTTTTATGTATCATGGTCCACGTAAATGGTTAAATGCGTATTTAGTATTATATTTTGCTTTTATTTCTCTTAATTGCTGTGAACATTTCTTTTTATGTTTCTTTAAAATCTCCCTTTTGTTTTTATTGATGAGAATTCTGGGACGTTTGAAATGTTCGTATTTCAATTTCACTAGTTCTGCTTTAAACAGTGTGTTTTCTAGATTGTTCTTGGCAGCTGCTGTTTACATGGTGGTGCGTGCCTCAGCTATTGTTCCCATTGCTTTCCATCACTGGGTGGTCGGTAAATGTTTGTGCTTAATCATTATTGTCTGATGAAACCAACTGGAGATGTTTCTAGGACTTTATAAAGTATTAAGGAGAATGTAAATAAGGCATCACATAAATACTGGCATGTATGTTTTCTAGGTCTAAATCTCCCACCCCAATTGTTTGCTGAAAGTTAAATAACTAGCACTTCAAAGTACATTTTATATGGTTTTGAGGGGAAACCACTTTAGTTAAATCTTTAAGTATCTGATATGGGTCATTAAAGATTTAAAAATGCATGCTTTCTGCTGTTTCAAATCTAATATTACTTGTATATGTTAATTTTTTTTGAAATACTCTTTTAAGTTGATAATGTCCTATCAGTGCAATTGTATCTTCCATAACATCGAATGAAAGTTCACAGCAGTGTCCCCATTAGGGAATTCCTCATAGTTCTTCAGAGGCATAATTAAGTGGCTTTTTGTCCTTTTGTGCCTTTATTGGATATGTCTCATCCCAACTTGGAATTTTGGGGGGTTTTTTGGCTTTATTATGCTTTGTTTTGACCATTCTGTGTCAAGGTGTTTTGTTTATATAATTCTTGTTTCCTGCTGCTTCTAAACAGCCAACTAAGCAAAACTAAACCTTTTTTAGAAGTAATATGCCATGCATGGCCCTTTTGAAGGTTTGTTACTTAGACATGCAGACAAAAGTCAGGAAATCTTCACCGAGGAAAGCAAAGGGTATTCATACAGCCCAGGCTCTGGGGAGCAGGTGCAGGTCCCTCTGTGCTTCTCTCCATCTCGAATCTGCTGGGTACTCTGGCTTTAAGTTTTATGTTTGTTCTTATAATCTGTTCTCTGAAACAGTTCTAGAATAAACATTTAAAAAACATAGTGGGTAGATGACTTCTATCAAATGAAAAGATTTCATACACTTAGCACATAATTTGGAGATGGGGAGCAGTTGTATAGGGGACAGAGTCATGGGTGTGGGGGAATCCTTTAGCCCCTCCTGGGACATTTTCATCCTATGAGTGTGTCACCTGCACAGCCAGGGCATGTCCAGCTCTGGGTGGTCAACCACATGTCTGAAACTCAGAGGCCAGTGTTTTTGGATCCAGAGGCAGCCACCGTGGCTGTAGCTTCATCCCCTAAGCCCAGGGCCAGGCCACTGTCCTGCTCTTGAGCTCTGGTCATCCATTTTTACGGATGTTAAACAGAATGGGGAATGGGTCCTGGAAAGTAATTTGTTCCTACTTGGTAGAATCCCCAAATAACATTGCTTAGTTGAGATGTTGTCATTGAAGATATGTTAAATAGTTGAATATAAAGTAAATAAAAGTTCCTCTGTAACTTCGGGTACCCTTGGTGATCAGAGCTTTGCCCCATCACCATGTTTAGGAAGCTTCCCTTTTTAGCATTGAGCTTATAGGGGAGAATGCATTGCCAGCCACCTGCTGGGTGTACACACACACACACACACAAACACAAACACACACGAAGCTAGTTTTATGAAGACTGTGCTTCCTCTCACAAGGTAACCCAGCTCTTCAGTGGGTAGTGTCATAGCCTGTGGGTTCTTCTGTGAGGGGAGCCTTAGATATACCTAATTGATGGGGCTAAACCACCTGGGCCTCTTCTGACTTTAGCTGGGAAAGAGGGTTTTTTAATGTGTTAGCACTTTACAAAAAATCTTAAATTATTCACTCTAAAAAGATTTTTTTTAATGTATTTGCATATAACAAGGTCTTATAGTTCCTCCCCTTACATAAGAATTCTTAAATTCTATTTTGAAAATTGGATTTAGGGGAGAAATCCACTCTATTAGACATTGTCAGAAGGGCTGTGTTTGACATCTGAAAGGTGGAAGTGTGCTTCTTGCTGTTGAGCATTTGTTAATTATTGTGTGCTTTCTGATAATTGTGTCTTTACTGTCTTGTTAACTCCAATAATCCTTACTGTGTTTGAGTATATGGGAAGTTTTTATGTAAATAACATAAATAGAAAAAAGATGATTTTCCTCCCCATCCTCAGGAAAGCATTTCAGAGTGCGGGAGATGTTCCTTGTCTCCATTCTGTCAGTTTGAGGTGAGAACAACCTATTAAAAGTCAGTTTATGACTTGCAATTGTGAAGAACAGTTTATCTTTTCTTTTCTTTTCTTTTCTTTTTACCTTTTTGTTGCCTTTTTTCATGCTGTAATTTTTGTTTTGGTTCAGCCTGCCATGGAAGGGGTAGAGGTGAGAATTTCAGTGGAGTTGCAGGAGGGGGTTGTCGTACTTGGTTTTGCTGTGACTTGTTAGCTGTGTTGTGGTTCTGTAATGGACAGAGTGCGTTGTGCCTTTGAGTGCAGTGAACTGTATTGTCTGTCTGTGGCAGTTGTATTAGTACCATTGCTGTGAACTGTCCGGATGCCAAGCATGTTCTATTATATATCAGGACGTTTTAAGCAAGATCATGTTAGATGTTTTAAGCAAGTTCATGTTAGAATTGCAATATCTCAACACTACTTAAGATTGAATTGGAGTTTGCTATCTTGATGTTCAATTGAATGCATACATCTAACAACCTTCTGAGAGGAAACCCCACAAAGAATATATTATACCTGCTAGAAATTGGGAGTCATTATATTTTCTTGCACACCACTGCCTTGCTGACTGTCCGGAATTTAAAACCGCATCGGTCCCCCCACTTGCCCGCCCAGTTCCCTTCCTGTCTCACGTGCGCACACACACACTGATGCATTCGTCACACTGTGGGACTTTGGGCAAACTCTGAACTTTTCCTCGTCTGTAAAATGGGGATCATAACATCTGTCATCCCTGTCTTCCAGTGGTATGGTGACAGTGCTTTGAAAATGAAAAACCGTAGTGTAGAAGTTCCATTTTAGAAAGTTACAATTTCAAGATGGAACTTACTCTGTCAGAAGACTTGGAAATTCTGTAAAAGAGAAGTCTAGAGGTGGGATGGGGATGACATGAGCTCATTTTCCTCATTTCTTAACCTATCTCCCTGTAGTGCCTTTTGGTATAAAGAGAAATTTGAAAAGTGTGTCCAGTGCCACTGGGAGCAAGGGCCCTCCTGGCCAGTGTTATCATCCCCATTTTATCATGCGGAGGGTGGTGAATGTCAAGTCGCACATGGTGCACGGTGGGGTATCAGGATGGCTTCTCTTCCCTGTGGCCATGTAGAATTCCTTTGAATGGCAAAAACTTCAGAAATTGAGAGGGGAGAGTTGGGATGATGCTCAGGAAACCCACCACTGAGCTGTTAGATGTTAGAAAGTGCAGAACTCTTGGCATTTCACACATTTTTCATACGATTCAAAGGACCAGCGTTTCAGCTTTATTTTTAGACCTGATTGATGAATATGTAATACCACAATCAGTCGTTTATTTATATTGGTTATTTAGTTTCCAGGATGTATACTTAAATATTTTTTAAGGAACTTTCCCTTCCAGATTTTGAGGGCACAAGAAGTCTGTGTCCTTAGCCTTAGTGTATTGGGAAGACCCCGTGATGCAACGGCAAAGTGGTGTAGTCTACCCTTCTGCGAGGGGGACTAGCACAGGTGACCCATTAGGTCACCTCCCATACTTGTCAGTGTGCATGAGAACAAACAGCCCAGTCACGTCAGGTACACACAGTCCCCTCCACCCTCCCATTGACAGAGGAACCCTGAAGGCCACGGGCAGTTAGTTTGCTTAGGACAGGCACAGTGGTAACCTAAGACTGGTAAGTTGTGGCTTTTTACGTGTTAACTCCTCGCTTCATTGGCTAGCCTTGTGAATGCGGTTAGACTGTAGCGGGTCTGTAGTGATGTCCTTCTCTCACGAGCAAAATTCATTGACCTGTTTTTAATTTCTGGTTTTCTTTATTAGGAAATGAAGATTTGTTCAGCAATTATAAACCTTTTTCATCTGATCCCAGCTGCACCTCAGACTCTGGTCAAGCCTCTGTTAGAGGTTGTGATGAAGACAGAAAGGGCAATGCTGATCGAGGTGCGGCTCAGACTGAGGGTTAATCCTTATCTTTCCTCCCTCTGGTGCTTGTTATATTTCCACTTTGTTACCTTCTAAATGGTTAATCCAATAGTACAAAGATGCTAGATATTGGTGTTTACTTATGGTTGTTAGTGCATTCCAGTTGCCGTGGGGGGAGTGTGTGTTCTTACTGTGTTAGATACACAGAGAAAAGCCCCAAGCCTTGAGAAGAGGAAGGTACGAGGTGTGGTGCCCTCTTGTGTTTGCAGGCGGGCAGTCCGTTCAGAGAGCCTCTGATCAAGTTCCTGACTCGGCACCCCTCGCAGACGGTGGAGCTGTTCATGATGGAAGCGACACTGAATGATCCCCAGTGGAGCAGAATGTTTATGGTAAGAGCTGAGAGCAGCTGGAGTTGGGGGTCCCTGCAAATTGTTGTCATCCGGTGCGCTCTGAAATGTTAAATTCACATTTTATTGTTCAGTGTCCTGGCTTCATTTTTCTTAGATGCATTTGAATGTTGGAAACATCGTTGCCATTTTCTTGTGTATATGAAAAGCTCATATCCAGGAATCACTCTTTGTAGGATTTTGGTGGTGATAAATTAATGTACTGCCAGGATTATAAGATCATAATTATAAATTATGACTACTATTTAAAAGGGGTGCTTACAGTGATTCTTTTGTTTTTCTTTTAGCCTGCCTTGAGAAATTAGGAAAAAAACTTAGAATTCATATTCTCTCACCTTTTTTGAGTTCGTTTAGCTTTCCTGCTTGTTTTGCTTTCAGAGTTTTTTAAAACACAAAGACGCCAGGCCTTTGCGGGATGTGCTGGCAGCCAACCCCAACAGGTTTATCACACTGCTGCTTCCTGGGGGTGCCCAGACCGCCGTGCGCCCCGGCTCGCCCAGCACCAGCACCATGCGCTTGGACCTCCAGTTCCAGGCCATCAAGGTAGCATCTCTTCATTAGGCTCCTGAATTCCCAAAGGTTTAATCAAGACCCAGTTCCCTAATTATCTCTTCTTTGACAGATCATAAGTATTATAGTAAAAAACGATGACTCCTGGCTGGCCAATCAGCATTCTCTGGTGAGCCAGTTGAGACGCGTGTGGGTCAGTGACACCTTCCAAGAAAGACACCGCAAGGAGAACATGGCTGCCACCAACTGGAAGGAGCCCAAGCTGCTGGCCTTCTGCCTGCTGAGCTACTGCAAGTGAGTGCACCCTGTCTACTGTGCATCACGCGACTTGCTCTGTTCAGAAAGCTAAACGGGAGCCTCTTCCCGAATTTGTACAAAGCTGTAGTTCATTGGATGTGTGCAGTCAGTTGTGTAGAATGGGCTATGACTTAGAGCTGTTTAAAGCCAAGTCAGAGTTGATATGTAGTTAAGAAATTGGCCATAAGTTAACCTGTTTTCTTATTTGACCCTTCAGAAGGAATTATGGAGATATAGAATTGCTGTTCCAGCTGCTCCGAGCCTTTACTGGTCGTTTTCTCTGCAACATGACGTTCTTAAAAGAGTATATGGAAGAAGAGATTCCGAAAAATTACAGCATTGCTCAGAAACGAGCCCTGTTTTTTCGCTTTGTAGAGTTCAATGACCCCAACTTTGGAGATGAACTGAAAGCCAAGGTGAGTCCCACTGTTACGTAGTAGAAGGTATAGGTATTTGTGCTGGTTTTCTAGGGAACCTTGGGCTCTGTTCTTGCTCTGCTATGTCTCCATGGGCACTCAAACAGTTGGCCAGGCTATGGCTGAGAAAATGTCATTGCTGAGAATGGTATGCAGATTCAGCAGTGAATCAGCCTTGAAAAGTAGTTTGTTAGTTTCCTTGATTTTAGAAAATGACATTTTTGAAATGAGAAGAGTAAACCAGGCTGACGTCTCTTTTCTGCAAGTTTTAACTCACCTTTCCACTTCCCATTTGGATAGAAGTCAAGATTAGTTGTTGCCCTCTTGGTTGAGTTCTAACTTATGGTGTGCCCCAAATTGGCTGTCCTTCCCACCTTACTAAAGAAATAAACAGCATTAGGCCGGGCGCTGTGGCTCACGCCTGTAATCCTAGCTCTTGGGAGGCCGAGGCGGGCGGATTGCTCAAGGTCAGGAGTTCAAAACCAGCCTGAGCAAGAGCGAGACCCCGTCTCTACTATAAATAGAAAGAAATTAATTGGCCAACTGATATATATATAAAAAAAATTAGCCGGGCATGGTGGCACATGCCTGTAGTCCCAGCTACCCGGGAGGCTGAGGCAGAAGGATCACTGGAGCCCAGGAGTTTGAGGTTGCTATGAGCTAGGACGCCACGGCACTCACTCTAGCCTGGGCAACAAAGCGAGACTCTGTCTCAAAAAAAAAAAAAAAAAAAAAAAAAAAAGAAATAAACAGCATGGCTTTGTTTTCCTTCTTCATTTTTAATTTTTTTTTTGTAGGTTTTGCAGCATATCTTGAATCCTGCTTTCTTACACAGCTTTGAGAAGGGGGAAGGGGAGCAGCTCTTAGGACCTCCTAACCCAGAGGGAGATAACCCAGAAAGCATCACCAGCGTGTTTATAAGCAAGGTACCACTCACAGTGCGAGGGCATGGGCAGTAACTTGCAGGTGCATGAATATGTGTGCATGTGTTAGGGGAGTTCACTGATACAGGTTTATTTTCCCAAGGCTTTTATTTTTCATATTCACATTAGTTTATAGCAGAATGTCACATTACAATTCTTTTTAGTGAATTTTTTAAGACAGCCTTACTTTGGAATGAATCAGCTTTTCCTCGTTAATAGATTCTAATCAGAAACAGTATATGTTAGTGAAAATTTAGATATAATGCTGGGCACAGTGGCTCACGCCTGTAATCCTAGCACTCTGGGAGGCCGAGTCAGGAGGATCACTTGAGCTCAGGAGTTTGAGACCAACCTGAACAAGAGTGAGACCCCATCTCTACTAAAAATTGAAAACATTAGCCGGGCATGGTGGTGCATGCCTGTAGTCCCAGCTTCTCTGGAGGCTGAGGCAGGAGCATCGCTTGAGCCAAGGAGTTGGAGGTTGCTGTGAGCTGTGATGACACCACTGTACTCTACCCAGATGACAGAGTGAGACTTTGTCTCAACAAAAGGAAAGAAAAGAAAAGAAAATTTAGCTATGTTATTTTGTCAGAACCCTTACAGCAGAATTTTGATGTTCTATTTTCATCATTAGCTTTGTGAAATACTCTGTTAAGAGCCAGTGAAAATATTAGACTGGGTCCAATTGCTGCTGTGACTCTTTCTTGCCAAGTTAATGAAAATCTGTCGTGATGGTAGTAGTGTCCGAAATCAGCTCAGGTGTTAGGATCTCTGTGCATTTTTACAACAGCGTTTACAGTTTGTCCTAGAGAGCCTTTTAAAATTAAATACCTGCATTGTGTTATTTTCCTAAGACTTATTGTGTTGAACATCACTGTTAGAGATTGTGTTTGCCTTGAGATTGTTATATTGAGTGGTGTTTGTTGGGATGCAGTAATCGACATTCCCTATCTGTAACGCAGATTAGCCTGTTTCCAGAAGTGACCATCACACACGTATTAATGTTCTTTGGAAGGACATAGCTGGTGTTTCTCACCCTGTCCTGGGATCAAGGCAGAGGGGACTATTCTCATTGGCAGGTTACCAATCCTTAAGTAGTCTTTGTCTCTTGAGATGGTCCCCCTTCCTGCAATTTTGGCTTCCCCTTCCTCCCCCACTCCAGGAATTAGAGCTGAGCCCAAAGCTTTATTCGTGGGTCTACATATTGATATTTTCTTCCTGGGCAACTGTAGGGAGATGGTGGCCCAGACAGGGCCTCTTCCCCTGTGTTCTCAGCCCGTGTCTCTGGGTCAGATGCTGCTGACCCGGGGCTGGTGAGGAGTTGGGATTTTGAGTGTTGTGGTGGGGAGAAAAAGGCTGGTGGGCGAGCCTTGTGGGGAGGGGCTGCCAAGAGGCAGCAGACCCAGCGAATAGGGAACCTTGGTGAAAACCATAATTGTGATGGAAGGTTTCAGTCTGTTTTTCATAATTGGGTAGATCTGGTAGAAGGTGGTTAGGCTACTTACTTGAGTTGAATGATGCCACCATCATACTTGATTTAATATAAACATGGAGATAGTATATTTTGTCTTACATCCATGAAACACATACAGAATTCTATCAGATACTTGGTCATATAGAAAACCGTAACAATTTTTTGAAAGTAGAGATTTTTCCAGTTCTTGTTTTCTGATCATAATGCAGACAAATAAGAGATAAAAGTTGACTAGGAAAAAAACCTCAATTACCTGGAAATTAAGAAACTCTGTCCTAAATCACCTTGAATCAAACAAGTCTTTCTTTCTACCTCAAGCTCCTCTACCTTCTGCTTTCTGACTTCTAAGCCTGCCCTTTTTGTAACTTCGAAATAAATTTGGTGAGTTTCCAGTCCATATACAGATAGAAAATTGATGTGACATTATCAATTCCCTCTTTGTAAAACTTAATATTACACACAATACATAGTGTAGGGGTATATGTGTGTGTGTGTGTGGGGGGGGTTTAAGGTTTAAACTTGTCATATGACTTTTAGTAGGTAACAGTTCAGACCTGGAAATGAGTCCTCCCTGCTTGTCTTTCCCATCAGGTCCTGGATCCAGAGAAGCAGGCGGACATGCTGGACTCGCTGAGGATTTACCTCCTGCAGTACGCCACGCTGCTGGTGGAGCACGCACCCCACCACATCCACGACAACAACAAGAACCGCAACAGCAAGCTGCGCCGCCTGATGACCTTCGCGTGGCCCTGCCTGCTCTCCAAGGCTTGTGTAGATCCCGCTTGCAAATATAGCGGCCACTTGCTTCTGGCTCACATCATTGCCAAATTCGCAATACATAAGAAAATCGTCCTTCAGGTATTTTGCAAGGCTCCCTTCTGTCCACCTGCTGTTCACGTGAATCCCACCCGTGTACCCCTGTGCACACTTGCTCTTCTGTACAGTCTCAGCCGCTTCTTGTCTGTTGTCTTTCCCCGGTGCTGTTTAAAAACACTCCTCTCTGCCATCTTATAAAAACTGAAAAAACCAACACTGTATGATTCCACTTGTGAGGTCCCTAGAGCAGTCACATTCATAGAGACAGAAAATGGAACAGAGGTTGCTGGGGGCTGGGTGGGGGGAAGTGGGGAGTTAAGCATTTTCGTGGGGACAGAGTTTCAGTTTTGCAAAATAAAGTTTTGGATGGACATTGATGGCTATACAACAATGCGAACGTACTTGTTACGGGTAGTAAAATCTGTTATGTGTATTTTACCACAATAAAAGAAAAATTGAGGGAAAAAAACCCACACTGAACCCTTGGGCTCTCTCCCTCCTCCCCAGGTATGTCCTGCTCTCTTGATCCTTCACAGCTTTGCTTTTATATCAAATGTATCCCTTTTCCACCTCAAGCTTCTCTACTTATTGCATTCTACCTTCCAACCCTGACATAGCATTGAAAATGGCTTTGTCCAGGGTCCCAGCCTACCCCTGTAAGCCAAAGGCAATAGGTACTTTTGAACTGGCATCTTATAAGCCCTCTGCTGTGTTGGGGTGTCAGTACCTCTTTCTTGAGACTCTGCATGATTTAGCTAACTCCCTGCTGCTTAGGTGAGACATAGCTCCCTGCCAGAAGCTGGGTCTCATTTGTCTTTGCATACCCTGGCCTAGCGCAGCATAGACACATAGTAGGTACTCAGTAAATATTAGAATGAATGAATTCATTGATCAAAACTTAATGAACAAGAAAGCAACTGAATTGTTTCCTAATGAGAGTACTAAGGAATTTTTAAAAAATTGTTTTGCAAAAATTATCATACCCTGGTCCCAGGTGATTGTATCTTGTTTTTTAAAGCTTTCATTCTCACATAGGAATTTCTGTTCTGTTCTAGGTTTTTCATAGTCTTCTCAAGGCTCACGCGATGGAAGCTCGAGCAATTGTCAGGCAAGCGATGGCCATTTTGACCCCAGCAGTGCCTGCCAGGATGGAGGACGGGCACCAGATGCTGACGCACTGGACGAGGAAGATCATCGTGGAGGAGGGACACACTGTCCCTCAGCTGGTCCACATCTTACATTTGATAGTGCAGCATTTTAAGGTATGGAGGAAGTACCACAGATGGGTGTGTAGTGCATTTCCAGGCAGTCGCTTTGAACTTTTGTCTCTTTCTTCTTCTAGTCATAAGGTGGTCATTCATTGATCCTGGTTCATTGATTTGTGTGTGTGTGTATTGCTTTATCATCATGGAAGTTGCAGTAGTACAGAGAATCATGCCCTGGATGTGTGCTGCTTTCTGTCTAAGACTGCACTTGTAAATACTGTGCTCAGTTAAAATTTTATGCAGATAAGTTGGTACCTTAAGGTGGGAGGTGTAGTCATCATTAACAATCTAGATTTTGGTAACCTGGTTTGGGAAGTTATTCATGAGGCTCTTTAGCCAAGTCACCCACTTTGTGAGATTTATTTATATGTAAATGTTGCCTGTAGATTTTGGGTAGAGGAGAAAGGATCGAGTTACAAGCTAATTCTTTTACAGCCAGCTCTTTTTAGAATTGGAAATTTGCTTTTTGGTACATCTTAAACTTTGATGATGTAAAGTCTGAAGTTTGCTACATGTGATTAGACTGGCTTACCTATCTAAAGAGAATTCAAGTTTTCAACACATTTTAAAGATGTTACCAAAAGGCTGAAATATATTGTTACGTTGGAGCTCAGTTGGGGACAAGGGGAGGGTGATAAACACACAAATATAAGGCAATGAGAGCTTCCTTGATTAAGTCACGATTCAGAATTGTTGAGCATAAGGTTGGGCTGTGTGTGTGTGCGCGTGCGTGCGCGGCCAAAGTGGGTCACGTGTGTGCATTGGGCCTGTGGTCCAGCATACCCAGCGTGACGCTGGCCCTGTGCCCGCAGGTGTACTACCCGGTGCGGCACCACCTGGTGCAGCACATGGTGAGCGCCATGCAGAGACTGGGCTTCACACCCAGTGTGACCATCGAGCAGAGGAGGCTGGCCGTCGACCTGTCTGAGGTTGTCATCAAGTGGGAATTGCAGAGGATCAAGGACCAGCAGGTAGGAAGGTCAACCCTCAGTGCCATCCCCAATTGTATTCCTTGTGCTTCTGGAAACCAATCAATAAAGTCAAGCATGTATGTGTGTGCGTGTGCGTGTGTGCATCTGTGTGTTTAAGCCGGATTCAGATTTGGACCCAAATTCCAGTGGAGAAGGAGTCAACTCTGTCTCATCCTCCATTAAAAGAGGCCTGTCAGTGGATTCTGCCCAGGAAGTGAAACGCTTTAGGACAGCCACCGGAGCCATCAGTGCAGTAAGAGCTATCCTTTCTTCTGGGAACTGCGAGTCCTCGTGGGAATGTGTCATTTATTGGGCACATTTTGAATGTGGGCGTGGTGCTGAGCTGCTTGAGCTGTGGGCTGGGGAGGTGGCTGGGAACAGCTGTGCTCACCAGACAGAAACTCCATGAGATGCCACTCACTCAATGTGTCCCCAAGTCACCAGATGTATTTTTTTGTGTGGTCATTTAGTACCATTCGAGTTCTGTCAATAATGGTTAATTATTTGCAGAAAGGCATCAAGAAAAATTTTTTGAGGTAAGAAAATTGAGAGCATGTGACCATGTTGTGATTGATTTTTTGAAAAAGACAGCGTATCCCGTTTTGCTGGGAGGGTAGTGCAGGAGGGTCCTGGGCGTCACGCTCTCTACCACTTGTTGAGGTGGCTGGTGGCCCAGGAAGCCCCGAGCTCCCAACCTCACCTGGGGTCTTGGACCTGCTGGCTGGTTGGCGCTGGGGCGGCCGCTCCACTTCCAGCCCCATGTGACTGAGGCTGAGCTCTTCTGTCCCCATCCTGGTGGCACCTTTGTCTGCCCTGGGCTCCAGCTGGAAACCTGGGACCGTCTGCACTTTGTCCAGTCGCTTCTCCCCACACATCTGGTCAAGAGCAAGTCCTGTGAGCCCTGCCATGCGTGCCCACCCCATCCCCGTCCCCACCTCCACCCCTCCCTCCAGCGATGAGGCCGTGGAGCCGCCTTCCAGCTCCTCTCACTGCCTCCTCTGCTGTCCCCTTCAGCTTTTCACAAAGCTGCCAGAGAACCGAGACACTTTCTTTTCAGAACCAAAGTCGGGGGAAGCTGGGTGAAGGGTCTGTGAGACCTCCGTACAGGTTTTGTAATTTCTTGTGAATCTTAGAATCATTTCAAAATAGAAAGAAAAGTCAGATTGTCTTTCCCCTCGCTGCAACCTCCCCTGGACGGTGGCCTCCCAGGCCTGGGGGACAAAGCCCTGCTGATGGCTCTCATCCCCCGTAACCTTCTCACAGTGCTTCGGCCGCATGGGCCTTTCCTCTGCTTTGCAGACACTCCAGCTTCCCCGCTCACCTAGGATGTGTCCACTGGGCTCTTTTCCCTCTACCTGGAGCTGGTGTCCCTCCTTGTGCCCAGCTTCTCCTCTGAAGGTCTCCCTAGCGCCATCCCTTCACTTCCCAGATTACGGTCCCTCTTGTTCTCCATCATGGGACCTTTGCTCCTTCCTCATTCCCGTGTCCGTTAGCAGTCTGCGCTCTTGCTGGGCATGAGGGCTTCATGAGGGCAGAAACCATAGCTATCTCTGGTGTCCCCAACACCCAGAATGGCCTTGTCCCTGAGGGTACAACATACCCATAAGCTAAATGAACAAATCAGCACCCTGTGTTGGCGATTTCTGTTGGGAATCCTATTCCTGCCTTAAAGGACAATCCTTTTCCAGGTGTTTGGGAGGAGCCAGTCGCTGCCTGGAGCTGACTCTCTGCTTGCCAAGCCCATCGACAAGCAGCACACAGACACCGTGGTGAACTTCCTCATCCGCGTGGCTTGTCAGGTAGGGGACTTGAACTTCTTGGGGACGCTGCAGAACACAGGCTACTTAGTAACACTCGAGGGTGTTGCAGAACACAGGCTACTTAGTAACACTTGAGGGTGTTATCTGTGACAGGTTGTCAAAAAAGAAATAGCTAAACCAAGGTCTGAGAGCTAGTTTTGTCACTTTCATGCCAGATGTCATTGATCTTGTGGCTGGTTAATATTTCTGAAGTCTGCCTGTGATAGGAATTTTTAAAAAACATTTTTCTTTCAATAGTAATAAATAATGATGTGCCTTATAATTAACAGCATGTTAACATTCATGAAATATGTAGGTCGGTGATCTTGGGCTAATAGTATAACTTCCAAGTTTTCTTCTCTATATCCTTAAAATGGGAATGGTATATAGCTTAGTAAAGGTGTTGATGATCCCAACCTGCATGAAATATATACAACATTTAATAATTTAAATGTTATAACTTGGTTTATTTATCATTTGTATGAATACATATATTCATGGAGTTGTTAGGAATCCATTTCTGAAACTTTTTATATTTCAAAACACCATTGTAAATGAAATTTCCTAAGTCTTTTATTTGTAAAAAATTTGGGAATCTTAAGTTGTAACTATTGGCTGGCTAGGCACAGTGGCTGAGGCAGGAGAATCGCTTGAGCCCAGGAGCTGGAGGTTGCAGTGAGCTATGACGACGCCACTGCACTCTGCCTGGGGCAATAGATTGAGACTCTGTCTCAAAAAAAAGTTATAACTTAAACAAATTAGTGTATCTTGCCAATACTGTTGAGAATTTCCAAGTCCTGAAAAGAATCTACTAAACTGTCCAACCAATAAATAAATCCTGCGTCCCTGCAGTGTGTAAGGAAGTCCTGTGGGAACGAACAGGACCAGGTTCTCCATCACACAACTGATTGCAGGTCACCACTGACATACCCTGCAGAGGAGAGTGGCTGGGGGTGGGGCAGGGTGAGTCAGTCAGTCCAGTCCAGGAGGGTGCCTGGCTGCAGTGAGGTAGACAGAAGAGGAAGTGGCTGTGAGCTATAAAGATCCAGGAGAGAGCAAGGCTGCAAGGGCACAGTGGAGAAGTGGTGTCGAGAAAATGGCTATAAACTTGGACACAAGGAAATGACAGCTCTGATTTGGATGAATTTCTAGGTTAATGACAACACTAACACTGCGGGGTCTCCTGGAGAAGTGCTGTCTCGTCGATGTGTAAATCTTCTAAAGACTGCATTACGGCCAGACATGTGGTCCAAGTCAGAGCTCAAATTGCAGTGGTTCGACAAGCTGCTGATGACTGTGGTAGGTATGAGTGTTGGAAGGGCCTGGACAGGGCCACCCAGACCACTATGAGACACTGGCCTGGGCAGGGGCTGGGCATTTATGGATTACTCTGGGCCTGACCCTTAAGCCCCACATCTCTCATTCCTTGGCCAGACGAGGCCCCTGCCACGTTCTCTTCCAGCTGCTGCCAGGAGACGGCAGTTTGAGAATGGCTTTAGAACTTCAGCCCTCACTCCAGCCCCAGGTGCACTCTGGAGTGTTTAAACATAGTGACAGTTCTCTTGTATTTTGTGTTAAGAAATGTACTCATTTCTTAAACTGGCCTGCCAGTTAGCTTGGGATAAATATTTTTAATTGACATGTACAGCAACCTTTTAGTGGCTCACACCTGTAATCCCAGTACTTTGGGAGGCAGAGACAAGAGGATTGCTTGAGGCCAGGAGTTTGAGATTAGCTTCGGCAACATGGTGAGACCCTGTCTTTACAAAAATAAATAAGCTTGAATTTTTGAAACAGATTTTATTGAGGGGCCTATTATCGAATACTTTTTTGTATGCACAAGGGCTTAGTCATAACAGGGAGATAGTCCCAAATGATTATTTTGGTGATGGTTTTTTATACATCTTTTTGGGTTGTTTTTGTAAAAAACTATGATCCTATAACTTTCTGGTAGTAGCAAAAGCTCTTGCTTTATCCAGATTCAATTTTTCTAGCTGCTTGATGGAATTTGAAAGATTTCACTACCAGGATTATAAAGCCTATTGTAAGCATTTGTTATTTTGTATTGCAAAGACTAACATATTGCTCTGTTTTACCCATGAAACAGTTATATAAACACCCCCTGAGGCTATAGCACCTGCTTTGATTCTAGCTTTGGTGCATAACTCACCTCTTTTGCTCTTTGAAAGGTCAAATTACTTTCCCATCAAATGTAGTTATAGTTGAAAGTTCGGCTATAAGTGGACAGCCTCTGCCCCTTAAAAGGCTAGCATTTCATGGAGCAATGTGCTGTGCTTACGGTGGCTTTCTGCCCTTGTTCCCATGACCCACAGTGAGTGAGAGAGATTTTACTTCGTGACCCAGTGCGCACACACACTGCACGTACAGGACATGTGTGTGTAAACCACAGAGATAAAGATTAGACAAGGCAGCACCCATTCTTACTACAAACCATGCTTTCTGTTTTCCATTTTATTCAGTTTTCTTTTGTTTGTTTTATTCTTCCTGTTGCCATCACCTATTTGATTGATTCAACGATACACAGTTTGAAAGATACTTCTGTGTGGAAGGATATTTGTATTTTTGTATTTTAACTTAAAAAATTGGAGGGGAAAAGCATAAATCACTACAGTAACTTTTATATCTAGATTATAGTGATTTAAAAATAATATTTAATATTAATGAGCCTTTTAAAAGATGTTTGAGTAAATATTTAAAGCAAATTTATAAAAGAAATCATCCTTATGAAATCCTATGGTATGTGTTGGTCACATGTTTTTATATGTATGATGTTCATTCTTTAGTGGTTTTGTTACTTTGTTTACAAATGGCATGTGGTTTAACTTGTGCTGGATTTGTATTGCTGTAATTCAGTGTACTGGAGTATCCATGTTGCTGTGAGTGGCCTCTGTTCCCCGTTCCAGGAGCAGCCAAATCAGGTCAACTACGGAAACATTTGCACGGGATTGGAGGTGCTGAGCTTCCTGCTGACGGTTCTGCAGTCCCCGGCCATCCTCAGTAGCTTCAAGCCCCTGCAGCGCGGCATCGCAGCCTGTATGACGTGTGGAAACACCAAGGTGTTGCGAGCCGTCCACAGCCTTCTCTCTCGCCTGATGAGCATTTTCCCAACCGAGCCAAGTATGTGACCTTTTCTGTCAGTGCTTTTCTTTCAAAGTAGCTGGGTGGGCACTTGTCATTTGAGAATGCTTCTCCTCCAGTCACCATAGCCAGCATTTTATTGTCCCACTTTTCTTTATACTCTCAAGCCTTCCTTTAGAAATTGACACAAACACTTAATGGCAGCCGTCATTGTGTTGTTTTTTTGTCTGCTTTGGAAATTCAGTTCTTCATTAGCTGAACATTACTATTTCCTTAAGCTATTAAAGGAAAGTTAGGTTAAAATATCATGTCAAATGTTGAGCAATTAGCAAGGTCGGATTTTGGTTGTAGTGAATTGATAAGTGTATTTCAAGCACATTCCGGTGAGGCTTGGTGAGGTGAAGGGTTGTCACGTGGCTGTGTAGCATGGGGACCAGCCCAAAGGTGAGGCCCATGCTGTCCCACACTGGAAGAGAAGTGCCCATGCCACTCTCAGTAGATGCCACTGCAGCCAGAGCTCTGTGCCTGGCATGAGGACTGGAAGGGCCCGAGAGCCCTAACCACAGTGCCCAGGTCCCAACCTTGATTTTCAGGTACTTCCAGTGTGGCCTCCAAGTACGAAGAGCTGGAGTGCCTCTACGCGGCCGTCGGGAAGGTCATCTATGAAGGGCTCACCAACTATGAGAAGGCCACCAATGCCAATCCCTCCCAACTCTTTGGTGAGTGTGTGTCTGTCTTGACTTTTCCAGCAGTGGTTCCATTTGTCACTGGTCCCTGTTCACTGGATGTGCTTCCCATCTGGGAAAGGCTTGGTTGGAAGGAACTTTGAGCTGATGTGTTGTTTGGATGTCTGTGTCTTGGCCTGGTGTCCATAAGGCCACCATCCCCTATAGTGATTGAGGTGAATGACCCCACTCTACCCACCACCAGTGCTTCTTCTGTGTCCCCTTCCTCACCCTCCGACGCAGGCGTTGTGAGGGTAGTTGCCTATGGCAGGTGGATCCTGCTGACCAGTGTTACACTGACCACACCAGCACTGCAGAAGCTGTGTGCACCTGTGTGGAATTACTGCCTTTCACAATGTCCACCTGTAAATAAGCCACCATGAGACAAGAAGTTGTCTCCAGCTAATTGTCGAGGCTCTGGCTAACCGAGGTGAAAGGAAAATTGCTTTCTTGGGTAATCAGGGCAGCTGGGTAACTTTGGCCCCTGGGTACCTGGAAGCCAAATGTCTAGTACTCCCTCTGCTTTTTGTCCAGCTCATGTCTTTGATTAGGATTAGGCTTTGGGTAAGCACCTTAAAATTTTTTTTCTCCCTTGTTCCATACTCATGTAAATCTTTGAAAATACAAATTAGGGAAAACTAAAAGTCACCTATCAGCCTCTCTGCCCAATAATAAATAGTTGTAACATTTTGGTGTGTGTCATTTTTCTGTACACATGCATACAAATATATACACTAACCTTGTTATGCAAACTGAGTAAGTTATTTTTGGATCAATTCCTTGCTCTCCAGACTCTGGCTACTTGTTCTCTGAAATTTAGGAGCCAGGTAAATTTGATTAATATGGTATTCCCTTGCCCTCTGTTCTGGAACCAGGTAGGTTTGGAGAGTGAAGAGTGCTTTTGTGACTTTTTGTAAAGTGAGTCATCCTGTAGATCCTGGCTTCCATCACAGGATAGCACTAATGTTTCCTTTCTTGTGCATTCTCCAAAGGACTCTCAGGAAGAGTGGACCTCTCTGGCCCACTTCCCTCCTTTGTGGGGGTTGGGGGAGCAGGGGCAGCTGCAGGATGAGGTGGGCCTGGAGAGATGGCCACACCATTCTCCTGGATCCAGGGCTCTCAGGCACTGCCACCTGCCCCATAGTAGAGATCACAGCACCCAGGGACAGCAGAGATACTGTGTTTTCGTCATTGTTGTGGGTTGGCTGTCTTAGAATGAGACTGGCTTTCTAGAGAATCGGTCTTCTAACAGAGCAAGCCTGAAATTGTCCAAATTTGGGATGATGCCATTTGTAAATAGCAAATACCCTTTGATTGTTCTGTGATGTGATCCATGAATACGGATTTAAAATTTCATGTGTAGGTCAGGATCAAGATGATTGTAAAAATGCCATTTATGAAAGATAGTTTTTTCCTGTGCTTGGTGTTCATTTCTAATGTTGGCTTTGTTGATTTTTATTGGTCTTATGTGGTTTTTCAGAGTGAAGTACAAATTGAATTCTAAAATATTGTCATGTCCAGATAGGCTAGATATCTTATAAAAAGATTTTCTTCCTTTTTTTCCTTGTTTTTCCCAAATATATCATGGGACAAAAATCTTCATTTAGGGTGGTTTGCCATAACCTAAAAACAAAATCCAGAACTGAAGGTAAGAATGTTTCTACTGAAACACAAAAATCAGTTCTCATGCACGGTGACTTGACATAATTAAGAATTAGAGGTGAAAGGCTGGGTGCAGTGGCTCACGCCTGTAATTGTAACACTCTGGGAGGCCAAGGCAGGAGGATCACTTGAGCTCAGGATTTCAAGACCTGCCTGAGCAAGAGCCCATCTCTATTAAACATAGAAAAAATTAGCCAGATGTGGTGGCACACGCCTGTAGTCCCAGCTGTTCAGGAGGCTGAGGCAGGAGGATTGCTTGAGCCCAGGAATTTGAGGTTGCTGTGGGAGCTAGGCTGACTCCAGGGCACTCTAGCCCGGGCAACAGAGCAAGACTCTGTCTCAGAAAATAAATAGAAGTGAAAATATAATGCTTCAAAATGCTGTGGAAACCATGTGAAATTTTACAATGTTAACATCTGGGATGGATCTGTACTTTTAGAATACAGTGTTTTAAATAGCACATTTTTGTTGCTTGTTACTTTTCTGTGAACAACTGGCAACTTCTGCACTTTAGGGACCCTTATGATTCTCAAGTCCGCCTGCAGCAACAACCCAAGCTACATAGACAGGCTGATTTCCGTGTTTATGCGCTCCCTGCAGAAGATGGTCCGAGAGCACCTGAATCCACAGGCAGCATCAGGAAGCACGGAAGCAGCCTCAGGTGACAAACCTGCCACCCCAGGTTTTTGCGTTAGACTTTGTCGAACAATTGGATGGTGCAGGTTGTGCGATTGAACTCTGAAGTGAACGTGAATTAACGTGCAGTCTTGTTTATGTGTGATTCGTTATTATTTGCTCTTAACAAAGGGGTTTAAAATCAAGACTCATTTTTAAAATGAACTGTTTTTAAGCTACGTGTGGTGGTTCAAGTCTGTAGTCCCAGCTACTAGGGAAGCTGAGGCAGGAGGATCACTTGAAGCCAGGACTTCAAGGCTTTAGTGCACCTATGAACAGCCACTGCACTCCAGCCTCGGTGACATAGGAAACCTGTCTCTTAAAGAGAAATGAAGTGCTTTTAATTAAATTTGTGAATGTTAACAGTAAAGAAATTTTAAAGTAGTTGGATTTTTATATGAATCATTCTCCATTGAGAGTTACCTAGCATTCACTATAAAACAGGGATTGCTTAATCAGAGTTGTTATTTGTGAAGAATTAAGTCACAACTTCTAGACACGAGCTATGTACCCCTGGAATTGGATGCTCTGTGGGGGTGGGGGCTGTGGTTGGCTGGGGCTATGGTTGGCGTGGCTGTTGGATACACCTCAGAACGCAAGGGCCGTGGGTGTGACTTCAGGGCTTGGTGGTCCCATCAGTGTCGTCATCCTCACTCATGGGGAGGGCTCTCATAGGGCCACCCTTGCAAGGTGCAGTGGTAAGAGAGGGTAAGAGGCCTCAAATCCCAGAGCTCTAATTGCTGGAGAAAATATTTGGGGGAAATGGGCAGAGCCCAGCATGCCAGTGGCACAGTGGCTGTCTGTTCACATGTGTGTGTAAAGCTTGGTGGGCGTGTTCTCTCCTTCATGGGGACAGGCACGAGTGAGCTGGTGATGCTCAGCCTGGAGCTGGTGAAAACGCGGCTGGCGGTGATGAGCATGGAGATGAGGAAGAACTTCATTCAGGCCATTCTCACGTCACTCATTGAGAAGTCACCTGATGCCAAAATCCTCCGGGCTGTGGTCAAAATTGTGGAAGAATGGGTGAAGAATAACTCCCCGATGGCAGCCAATCAGGTGAGCTGGGACGAGGGCACAGTGCTCGGCCAAGAGACTTCTTCTGAATGTAAAAGAAAAGTTAGGCATCACCTCCCTTTGCTTTCTGAAACTTCTTGAAGCAAAGCATTTCCCCCCCTGAATTTGTGTTCACAGTATCTTTCCTTAAGATGGATGGATTTTTTTTGGTGCGTTTAACAGATTTTAGGTAGAAACTTGAGATTAATGGGTTGCTCATCTTAATGTGGTCTCACTTCTGTTAAAATGTTGAATGAACCTTGTTACCCTCTTGTGGTAGTGAAGGCAAGCCTAAGGATAATAATAATAAGGAAATATTATTTATCTCAGGGAGGCGCTTGCAAACTTCTGATTTGTTTCATAAGTAAGTTGTTTTCTCTCCAAAGTGAGTTGTAGTCCCTCCGAAATTATATTGGCATGTTTTGATTTTAAGCCTCTAAAGATAACCAAAGCTATCTTCAATTTCTGTTTAGAAATGACCTTGTCCTACTGTACTTGACAAAATTGTAGGAGTTTAAAAAAATATTTTGAAGCATATCTTTACTCAATAGGAGCAATTGATCTTTCTTTTTAAAAAAAAATTCCATACAGACACCAACACTCCGGGAGAAGTCCATTTTGCTTGTGAAAATGATGACCTACATAGAAAAACGTTTTCCAGAAGACCTTGAATTAAATGCCCAGTTTTTAGACCTTGTTAACTATGTCTACAGGTAATTACTACAATTAATCAAATATTAATTGGTCCATAATGTGTTCTCTAACCAACCGACACTCAACTTTAGTCTTTAACCTGAATTGAAAATATTTGTTTAAATACTAAGTCGTGCGACATATTTTGGTGTCATTAGTAAACCTTTTGCTAAAATGCTGCATGAGCCTGTCATGATTTGTAGCTTTCATCATGGCATTTCAGAAAGTTGGTGCCATCTGTTTCTGCTTATTCGCTTATGGAGTCCACTGTCCGGCCTGGCTCTGACAGCTTGGTGTTATGCCTTTGATTACAGGGATGAGACGCTGTCTGGCAGTGAGCTGACTGCAAAACTTGAGCCTGCCTTTCTCTCCGGGCTGCGCTGTGCCCAGCCACTCATCAGGGCAAAGTTTTTTGAGGTTTTTGACAACTCTATGAAACGTCGGGTCTATGAGCGCCTGCTTTATGTGACCTGTTCCCAGAACTGGGAAGCCATGGGGAACCACTTTTGGATCAAGCAGTGCATTGAGGTAGGGTGGACTCAGCTCACCGTCTGTGGCCAGGGGGCAGCCCTCGCTTTTCTGAGTGGGGGACTGACACCAGGAGGCGTTCAGGCACACTAAGCTGAATTCAGAATCTCTAACATAAACCTTTTGATCTCTAGGAAAAAATATTTAAAGCCAAGTGTTCATCCAAAGCTTTTTTTGGCTGGCTTTAAGTCCCATATCAGAAAATTGAATAATATTTTTTATTTTATAGGCAAAGACTCAGGTTTCTTCAAATAGAAAGATTTTAAAATTCTGTCTGCGTGCCCTAGAAAATGCAGCGGTGTACAGTGAGTGTTGGCTGTCATCACTTTTAGGAAGGTAGAGCAGGCATGACAGAGCGCCCATCAGTGCTGTGTGTTTGGATCCTTAGCGTGAGGAGTCAGGTGTCAGCAATGCAGGCATGTTTAAAATGGTCAGGGTCGTAAGGATGAGGTGCAGACCTAGAGTAGCACTAGCATTTCAGTGGAGGGTAAGTCGGATGTTCTGTGACATCTCTAGCAGGATTGTAGTGAGTTTGCTGGTTATTCAAGCCAGCTGGCCTTTAGTCATCAACTTCAGGCACCAGGCAAGTTAGGTTTTCTATAGCAGGATACCAGTGCTAAGCAAGTAATTCCTACCTGCTTACCTGGAATGAATGAAACCAATTTACCAAGTTACTTTGTCTGATATGACACCTGGGACAGACGGCCGTTAAATTCTCTCTGATGAGCAGAAGGGAAAGTGGCACCGGGCCTCAGTGACAGCTTGCTTGCATGTTTCCTGTGTGTGCTGTATGCAGCATGTATTTGGAATGTTGCTGATGGCCACAGGGTGGGCAGAGTCCCTGCTTTACCGTCGCTCATTCAAGAGACCTACTGATCGCTGAGTACGCACCAGGCGCTGGGTCAGATACTAAAAATACAAAGACAGAAAAGATACTGGCTGTGGCAGGGACTCAGGAATTGATTGGAGGAAGGGCACAAGCAGGGTCCTCCATTGAGTGTCTGGTCCATCACTGGGACTTACCAGCTTAAGGCTGTAGTGTGGCCACCATCTCTCACAGAGACAATGGGAGCAGTTTCCTCAGTGTTCATTCCCCCCTACTTGTCTATCATAGTTTTCTCTGTCGTTGCAAAATTGTTCTTAAAGAATAAAGCAGATCACGTCACTTCTTCCCATTGTACTTGGCAGGAAATCCAGCCTCCAGTTTGTGGTCCTGTGGCCCCCAGGTGACTGGACCTTTGCCCCTCTATGCAGCCCCATCCTGTCCCTCTGTCCCTCACTCATCAGTCTCAGCCATGCTGGTCTTTCCTGCTCTTTTTTGTAATCAATTATTATCATTATTATAAATTGACAGTTTATAATCGGATATGTTTATGGGGTACAAAGTGAAGCTATGATTTGTGAATATAATGTGGAATAGTTAAATCAGGCTAGTCAACATATCCATCACCTCATATGCTTAACATTTTTTGCGACAAGAACATTTGAAATTTACCCTTAGCAATTTTGAAAAGTACACTGCTGTTACTAACTGTATTCACCACCACGCTGTGAGTGAGGCAGAGGGCATCTGTGTCTGGGAGGTGCCTTTGAGGGGTCAGAGGAAAGGGAGCCCATCTACAAGGGGACACGGAGGGAAAGATGCTGAGCTTGTACTTGGACCTGCTGAGTCAGAGATACTTGATTGAGGGACACCTGGGGGAGAAGTTGAGACTCCGGCTAACCTTGCAGAGAAGCATGGACTCGAGCGGAGGGCTGGGGGCCGTTCCACAGGTGCCCGAATGCCGCGTGTGCCTTAGGTTTGCCTTCTTTCCCACAAACCTCCCTAGCTCCTCTTGGCCGTGTGTGAGAAGAGCACCCCCATTGGTACCAGCTGCCAGGGAGCCATGCTCCCGTCCATCACCAACGTCATCAACCTGGCCGACAGCCACGACCGAGCCGCCTTCGCCATGGTCACACACGTCAAGCAGGAGCCTCGAGAGCGGGAGAACAGTGAGTCCAAAGAGGAGGTGAGCACTGGGCTCCATAGGCAGAGTTCCTATGCCTGCCGAAGAATTTTTTGTGTCAGCTTTAGATGTTTTCAGGGCAAGAGCAATATGTCAAAACCTGTCTCTACGTGAAAATGCTGAAGGTGGTGCCTAAGTTCAGTTAGATGTTTGGTTTTTTTTTAAGTTAAAATTGAGAAGCATGTCTGTGTTGCCATTCAGTTTTGAGATAGGTCACTTTATCATGAGCTAGCACTGCTTAGTGCAGAATGTTTTTACCATTTTGTGATTTTTCTCTTCGAGTGAGAAATTGCCCGTGTTGTGTTACAAAACACTGCTGTGGGGAGTGATGCCACCGCAAAGGAACCGTGGCCCTAGCTGCTTCTGCCAGCAGCCTGCTAAGAACCTTCCCTATCTCTGCCCAGTCCTGGAGGGGCAGTGGTTGGCTCCTCTAGGAGTCTGTCAACCAAGGCAGGTGCCTTAGTCTTGATAGCTTTCAGTCCTCCATGAGGGAGTGGTTGGCACTGTTCCAGGCAGAGATTTTTTTAGGCTGTGTTTCCTTTAGGTTGTTGGTTTTTGGAAGCTCAGCCCGTCTGGAGTGCTGGGTTTTAGAAGATACTCACCTAGCATTGCAGAGGGGGCACTGCACCATCTTTGCTCTAAAAGGGGTAGTTCGTTCCCTCTCCCATGTGTAGGATATCTGCTCATTTTATTAACAAATAAGAATTTAAAGTTGTTTTTTTTTTTAACTATTGCTAAATGCTAGATCATTTGGTGATTTAATCTTCTTTCTATAATCTTCCTGTGTGAAATAAATTGCCAACTTTGAAGCGATTCTTCTGCATTTTTAAGGGTGCATACCAAATTATTGATACCTTGACTTAGAGGAAGAGTTTAGTGATGATTGACTGTGACTTCCCAGAAGCTTCAGACAGAAATAAAGTTCATTCCTCTTTAGGAATGAGTCATATAAAACGTTCTGACAACATTCTATGCCATGACCCTGATGGTATTCTTAATTTGAGTGAGCAAGGCAGCTAAGCAACTGTATTGCATTTTAAGGGATGATAGGCTATAATTCCTAATAATCTTTAGTATTTTTATTGCTTAAAGTTTTTACTTTTATTTTACTTTTTAAAACTCAAATACGAAAGCAAAATGCTAACATTTTCATAGTCATTTTAAGAGAGAGAAAGAGGCGTCTGATATAGTTAATCTGTTTTTTGTTTATTTTAGAATTCAAGATTATTTAAATATTTATAAACTTCCAGGAAATAAACAAAAATTTTACTTGGCCAAAATTGTAACAAGATGTCTATAGATACTGTGCTTCTTAGAGTTTCTTTCACTCTTTGACCATTTGGTTTTGCTTGTTTGTCTTTGTTTTTTAGGATGTAGAAATAGATATTGAACTGGCTCCTGGAGATCAGACCAGCACGCCCAAAACCAAAGAACTTTCTGAAAAGGACATTGGAAATCAGCTGCATATGTTAACCAACAGGCACGACAAATTTCTGGACACGCTCCGTGAAGTGAAGGTCTGTATGCAGGTTTGAAAGAGTGGTTGTATTTCCCCCCCACATACTTTGAACCCTAACTCAGGACTGTTCCACAGTAGTGTAAATTTTTCTTTCACCAGTTCTACTTAATTTTCTTTCCCATCTCAGTTGAAACCATTATAGTTTTGTGAGACTCTAAAGTGGATATTTAATGTGAAGATTTGAGAAACCCCATATTACAGTTTCTTATGGGAGAGAATAGTAAAAAGAGGTTAATTTCTTCACTAGAGTCCTTTGAAAGAAATGGTTGAATCATTTAATAAAAACGTGGTGAGACATAATGCTGGATTACTTTTCAAGTACAATAGAAGAAGAGACCATGAGAATGAGTTAGTGTGCTAAATTAAGTCCACTTTCTGGGGCTGGGGACCTCGAAATGCATTTGTTTTCTGAGATCTAGCCAGGTAGAAACTCTGGCTTCCCCAAACCCTCAGCTTAGTTATAGGTATGATTATTTTTGTGTATGAGAAAAATCAGTTGAAGCTTCATATACCAAGTTACTTTTGAAGAGTATTACAAAGAAATTGATTGTTCTGTTCATATCAGGAGCAAGGTGAAACAGACCTGCTTGTCACAAATAATTTTTATGTTAAAATGTTTTGGTGACTTATTTCTGCAAAGACAGTCTACCTGTATCTGTTAGATGGGGCAGGAAGCAGAGCAACCAGGACCAGTCCCTTCCTAGACCCTGTCCCTACTGTTGTCACTGCCAGAAAGAAGGGCTTTAGGATCACATCCCCAAACCCAAAGGCCTCTCTTGGCTGATGGTCACCATAAGTCACCATGCAGTTGTTGACTTACCAGTTGCCTTGGCATCAATTTTTTTTAATCAGCTCATTGGTGGAGGTTCTATCAGCAGAGTAAGTTTTAACAGTACATTGTAGAAAGTGTTGGTATTTGGCTTACCCATTAGCATTTTTTTCTTGGCTGAATTGGTCACAGCAGTACACCTCTGTGTCCCCTTGTGGGGACTGTGGCTGGGTTGGACCAAACATGGCTGCACATGGAGAATCTCACCCATGTGGGTCCCCTTGGTCCTCTCGTGATCTGAGGCATCATAGCCTAAGTCGCTGGCCTGTCCTTGTCAGCGTTTGTAAGAGGATTGCTCGGATTCTTTGACAATTTCAAGTCACAGTCCCCAAGGTGCACGCCATGGAAGAGACCCTTAGACTTAATCCTTGGCACAGGTGTGCAGATGCCATTGCCTTTGGAGCTAGGTGTGCCGACATGTGACATGGTCACTAGATGGCTCAGAGACAGGCCTGGGTCTGCCTGTTATGAGTATGTGGCTCCTGGGGGGTGCTTTTATATGTCCCATTTTTTCCATTCACCTCCTTTACATTTTGTCTTATTTAGTCATTTCAGTATATATTGAGTGAGTGCCTACTGTGTATCAGGCAGTGTTCTGGGCACTGGAAATACAGCAGTGAACAGAACAGACAAAAGTAGCCAATTCTCACGGGCTTAAACTCTGGTGAGGGCCAAAGGCCAGTAATAACAAATAGAAGCAAATTTGTCAGGAAATGAGATGGGTGTTGTGGGAAAAACAACACAGCTGGGGGGTTGGGGAGGGTGGTGTTTGTGCTTTTTATCTTCTGTGTGTTTATGGGGCCACTAAAGATTTTTCATAGAGCAAGTTAGGATTGTGTGTCATCACATTTATAGTTTCTGTCCTGACCTTTTCTTTCCTGATGCTCCTCCGCCTCGTGAAGTGGTCAGGTGCCATTGGCTCTTCTTGGACTGTTTCAAACTCCACAAGGAGTCCCTTTTCCTCTGGTGGCCCATCCTCGCTCTCTGTGGGAAGCCTGTGGAGAGGCCAGTGACCCCTCCCTGTGTGGCTGCCACAGCACCCATGCACCCACCTTCACCTCTGTGGGACAGTGTTTAAATTAGAACAAGTCATGAACCCATGGAGTGGGAGATGATTTAATCCCAAACATTGAAATCCTGAAAGATCAAAACCCCTAAAGTCTAAAATCCTGAAAATATAATTCTGGAAAAAATAATTTTAAAAAATCTTTTCAAAAGATATTTACTTACATTTTTGAAAGGGCATTTGTGAAACATGCAAAAGCACAACAGAACACTAAATAGGCCACTTTACATAATAAAATAGGCAATAACAACATACATATTTTTGCAAACAAACCCTCAGGTATGCTAATGACAGTTGCATGAGTGTAACAATTATGAGCAGACCATATTCATAAATAGGTCAAAAAGCGAAATGTGTAAATGCACATTACTATGGTTGGTAATTGTGTGCCCAGGCTTATAACCATGGCCATCTGAAATATATGATGAGCAACATATTTTGACAAGATAGATCAAAAACCACAGTGGGTCATCCTCATATAAGCAGTTGCCCACAGGGCTGAGGTCTTGGTAAACTTTATCTTTCACAAATGCAGATGTACAAAAGGGAGATCTTTTAATTTATTAAGTTTTAATGTTTTTATATTGAGACCCAGGGAAGCCAATGGTGTGACTCTGAGTCTAAAGCTGAAAGCTTCAGGGCGTGGGGTGGGGGCGCAATGGCCAGTGAGCCTGGAGTTTGGATATCTAGGGCAGCAGAAGAAAAGCCTGTCCCAGCTCTCAGACCCCAGTTTGCCGTCTGTGATCTCTCCGGGCCCTGGCTGATAGGGTGGTGCCCACATTGAGGGCAAATCTCTCTAGTCTCTAGAGACACATGCTAGTCTCTTCTGGAAACACCTTCACCGACCCACCTAAAATAATGTTTTGCCAGGTTTTCTAGGTATTCCTTAATCCAGTCAAGTTGACATCTAAAATTAAGTCCACAAGTCTACCCCTTGTCAACTTGGCACCATACATGTCTCCTTCAGCCATGCAGACAATAACAAGGTAATAGTTGCACCTAACCTGATGCAACTGTCCTGTGGTTGTGATTTGGGGGATTTTATTTATTTTTTTCTGCCCCTCCCCACACCATGATTTTTGGGATTTTAGACTTCAGGGGATTTGATCTTTTGGGGATTTCAACATTCGGGAATATGATCCAAACCCCTGGGAATCTCCCACTCAGGGCTTGAGTTGAACAGTTTTGCAGCAGGTGTGTGACCTCACTGGCCCTCCAGTTCTCCCTGAGCTCCTAGATGCTGCTAAATGGACTTGGAGCCAAGAGGGCCCCTGGCAGGTGTTGGCCAGAGTGAAGCAACTTTATCCTGGGCAGCCTGGCATCAGATGTCTGGGGGTGTTCTTTACTTAAGTGTTTTCACTTGTTTTCCTTGAAATATTTATGTCCTTGGTTTCTGTTTTTTTAATAGAAACATGGATATGAGAGTGATTTCCTTTCTTGGGTTTGCTGTGGGAGAAATGAAAGCATAATCACACATGTCCCTGGCACTGTGTGTTTGTGCAGGGGTGGCTGGGACCATGGTGGGCTGTCAGGACATGCCCAAGCTTCCTGGTGCCACTGCCTGATGCCACATAAAGTGGGGCCCATGCATGGATCAGCTTCAAAAGCAAGCTAGAAACTTACTATTTAGAGGAAATGTTGGCAGTTAATTCAGATTTTCAGAAGCAATGCTGTGGATAGAATAAACGTGTCTGTGGGTTTGCTGTGCCCTGTGGACCCTCAGTTTCACCTCCAGCTCCAGCTGTTCCATTCCAGTCTGTTCTTGCCCATTCCAGTCATTTTCTCTAGTCTTTTATCCATTGCCAGTTGCAGAGACTGAACTTCCACAGTTCTTGATTTGTTTTTCAGAATATCACCTATTGGCAAATAGTTTATCTCACACGTGTGTGCTTTTTCTATTTTTGTTTTCCTATTTTGAGTGGCTACTGCTTCAGTGACACCTGTGTACCTCTTGGTGTTGTCAGTGTTCTTGTACTTCTTGGATGTGATGGAATTGATTGAAAGTGTTCGGAAATGCCCTTGAAAGCCAAGAGCAGACTTAGGGGAGCCACTGAGCCGCTGGGCACATCTATGCTTCGCTGCTAAGTGTGCTTTCTAGCACTCAGAATCCACAAGCTTTTGCTCCAACGTGGTGTTTGTTCTGATCTTTGAAAGTTTGGAAGTGGAGGAACATCTGAGAAAGTATGGGACAGGTCGTGTGTGTAGTGTGAGCAGGGGTGAAGCATCACCGCCTGCAGCCATCTAAGCGCTTCCTATGTCTGCAGACTGGAGCACTGCTCAGCGCCTTTGTTCAGCTGTGCCACATTTCCACGACTCTGGCAGAGAAGACGTGGGTCCAGCTTTTTCCCAGATTGTGGAAAATCCTCTCGGACAGACAGCAGCATGTGAGTGCATTTTTTAAATCTTGTTTTGGAAAACATAGTTTAAGCTTTTGATAAGTATTCATAAAAGAACACAGTCTTGATAAAGTTTCAGAAGATAGGGAAATTGCTGCCTATTGCGCAAGGGTGAATTATCAAAAGTAGTCTCAGCTGCTGTGTGAGGAGAGTACAGACTTGGCGATTTTCGAACACAGACCTGAATCAGCACACTCTTTGGTTTCAGGCTCTTGCGGGGGAGATAAGTCCGTTCCTGTGCAGTGGCAGTCACCAGGTGCAGCGGGATTGTCAGCCCAGCGCGCTGAACTGCTTTGTGGAAGCGATGTCCCAGTGTGTCCCCCCGATCCCCATCAGACCCTGTGTTCTGAAGTACCTGGGGAAGACACACAACCTCTGGTTCCGGTCCACGCTGATGCTGGAACACCAGGCTTTCGAGAAAGGCCTGAGTCTTCAGATCAAGCCGAAGCAGACAACAGAGTTCTATGAGCAGGAGAGCATAACTCCACCTCAGCAGGTGACTTCTTGCTGTGAATAAGTCCATCTCCTGGATGATTTTAAACTATAATACAGTTGAGTTATTTTATTGAAAAAAAAAGTTGTTGTCACGAGCACTCAGAAACCACAATTTGTGTTTTCAGGAGATACTGGATTCCCTTGCTGAGCTTTATTCCCTGTTACAAGAGGAAGACATGTGGGCTGGCTTGTGGCAGAAGCGTTGCAAATACTCAGAGACGGCCACTGCCCTTGCGTATGAGCAGCATGGATTCTTCGAGCAGGTAGCCACTGTCAAGTGAAACGACTGGGTCGCATAGTTAATGGGAGCTTATTTGTAATGGTTCTTTAATATAATATCCTCAAGTTGGAGTTCACATTTAAATAAGCTTTGAAACATTTACACCCTGCACATAAAGACCCTTTAATTGAAGTCTCAACTTAAGAGAAACCTACAAACATGACATGAGCATTTTTAAAGCACAGTCCTAAGTCCTTTAGCATTAGATGCTAATGTGGATGCTTCGTATCTGCTATCACTGGTCCTGTTGGAAGTGGTAGGTGTACGTCTTAATCCTCATGTTTGTCTTTTCAGTGTGGCATGAGCCACTCATACAGGGTGTGAGTCTCAGCACTGTGTAGGACATGGAGCTGCAGAAGCTCCAGAAACAGAGGTTCACTAAAGGACAGAGAAACTAATCCTAGGTCTAGACAGCCTCCCTCCTCCTTTCTGTGCAAGGAGTCACGTTGCCGCCTGCCTCTTCCCACTCTCTTCTGTTCTCTGTGAATAGAGAGTTGTGGGTGTTTTGTGGTCTGAGAACACAGATTGAGGCACTCCCAGATCTGTGATCCAACTTCTTCCAAACAATTGAGCAGTGGCAGTGAAAAAGTTGTGTTTCTTGTTAAACAGTGGTTTGAAAGTGTGCTCTCTTCGGCAGCACATATACTAAAATTGGTTTGAAAGCATTATTAACATTTTTAGGCACAAGAATCCTATGAAAAGGCAATGGATAAAGCCAAGAAAGAGCACGAGAGGAGTAACGCGTCCCCTGCTATTTTCCCCGAATATCAGCTCTGGGAAGACCACTGGATTCGGTAAGCTGAACATGGTGTTGCATATATTCAAGATTCAGTTAAGGGAACCAATGAAAAATCTCTGAAATTTTCTCATAATTAGTATTTTTAAAAGGGAGCATTGCTACTTTATGGCTGCATGAACAAAAGAACAAACAAAAATTTTAGAAGTGTTTAAAATCTCAAGTAACTGAGAAACGATGCATCATTCCTGCCTCCCGCTGGCTTTATGCTGTGAGCTCTTTGTGGAATGGCGGCAGTTCTTGGTGTTCAGGGGGTGAACAGGGTGAACAGGTAGTTCACCCTGCAGTGGGGCACACCATGGTGTCCCACAGGAGTCTGCCCTGGCTGTGTTACTTTTCTTCTATAGAATGGAAATATGCTGCTTAAAGCCCCGTCCCTTGCCTTTCTGAATCCGTTGGAGTGCTGATGACTGAACTTTTGTCCTTGGATCCTTGATCTTCCAGGTGCTCTAAGGAGTTGAACCAGTGGGAGGCCTTGACAGAATATGGCCAGTCCAAAGGCCACATAAACCCCTACCTCGTCCTGGAGTGTGCTTGGCGGGTATCCAACTGGACCGCCATGAAGGAGGCGCTGGTGCAGGTGAGAGATGTCCCCCTATCTTCCTGGGACAGTCCCTGCAGCTGCCTGGGTTCCTTTGAAGCCATGAATGTTGCTTTTGATTTCCCTTAACTTAGAACAAGCTGAGCATTTTGGCAGTTGAATGATAGCTCTCAGAAAGGAAGAGTTCTTTTTGGTTATCTCTGAAACCTTTCCTGAATTTGAATTATAAAATGAGGTATTAGTTCATTCGGTTGCAATTATGAGTATCTGGTGTGGAGGCCCTGGATTCTGAGAACTCAAAGTCATAATGTCTGTAGAAGTTTAGAAGAATAGTCAATTTTATTATCAGTTGTGTTGGCAGAAACACTAGCAGAGCTGATAATCGCAGCAAGGGTGACCCGTACAGCCCAGCGCCTGGCACGTTAGCTATTGTCAGCCAGAGGTTGCTTGAATGAGACAGGATCGTATTCAGAGTATGTTATGTGGGATGGAAGTGATGATAGCATAGTGTGAGTGAAGTTGAGACGTTAACTTGGTTGAGCTTATGTTTTGTTTTTTTAATTAACTTCACCCTGAGGAATTCAGTGCACCATGGAGAGTAGGCGCAGAAGTACAGTTCTCTTTTCCCCACAGGAAGCTCCTGTTGGGGCAGCAAGACATGCAGTGTGGGATGGTGTGGCGCCGCCTGCTGTGTGAACCCCATAGCACAGCATTATTGTCGTTGCTTTAGCTTCAGCTTCAGCTGCAGCTGTTCCCGTTCTTTGTTTTGCTCGGATCTGTGCCTTTCCACCATTTCTCTCTACCCCAAGTATACTCCTTAGTATTTATGTTTCCTTCCTGTCGATGGTGAGTTCTCAGTTTTTGTTTTTTCAGAGAATTAAGAGGAATTCAAGACAGTTCCCTCATATTCTTATAAATCTGAATCAATACCTCAATAAGTTAATTTCCCAGAATGACAAAATGCATTGGGAACAGCTCAAAATTGTACCGATATTTATTATATTAGAGATTAATATGTGTTTAATAAGATATTAAATAGTTTAAAAATATGCTGGCTGACTTGGTAGCAGTGTGGTGATTGTTCATCTTATCTGTTGTAACAGTGTTGATCAGGTTTTTGGTTTTTGGTTTTTGTTTTTTTGGAACTGCTGACGAGTTTAAAGCAAGGGGCCTGTGGTGTGCCTGCATAGCTAGGGAGACTGGCCCTCATTGGAATTCAGAAAAGGAGAATATCCAGAAGAGGCCGTCTAAATACATGTTTTCTCTAAAGAAAATAAATTTTTGTTTACATCCTAACTTCTGTTTATTGCTTTGCATAAGAGGCTACAAAAAAAAAGTGGTCTTTTTCCTTTTTGACCCTTTATACTGAGGGAAAGAATGCTCATCACTTCCTATGCAATATCCTTTTCCTACCAGGTAGAAGTAAGTTGTCCAAAAGAGATGGCTTGGAAGGTCAACATGTACCGAGGATACCTGGCCATCTGCCACCCAGAGGAGCAGCAGCTCAACTTCATCGAACGCCTGGTGGAGATGGCCAGCAGCTTGGCCATCCGAGAGTGGCGGCGGCTGCCCCACGTGGTGTCCCATGTGCACACGCCTCTTCTGCAGGTGGGTACGGTGCCCTCTCATGCGCATGGTCCTGTGGCCAGTTGCAGCAGAGCACTCGGGTCCAGGCGGAGGTCTAGAGACTGAGCTGCATGGCAGAGGGGAAGCTCCTTCCCTGGTCTTGTACTGGCCTATGTCTTTTCCTCAGGGAAGCGAGGGCAGGGCCAGGACACCCAGAAAAAAATGTTTGTTTTCGTTTCTGGGGGATGTATGGTCCTAGTGGCTGAAGACATCCTCACAAGTGGTTTTGATGATTTCAGTTTTTGCTTTAGGAATATTTTAGGTGCCCGCTACACTATCATCAGTGCAGTACCACTGTTCATTCCCAAACCGTCCAACCTCTGAGACTCTTGAGACTGCTGGTCAGGCCAGGCGCAGTGTCTCATGCCTGTAATCCCAGAATTTTGGGAGGCTAAGGCAGGAGGATTGCTTGAGCCCAGGAGTTTTGAGGTTGCAGTGAACTATGGTGATGCCACTGAACTCCAGTCTGGGTGGCAGAGCGAGACTTTGGCTTAAAAAAGACTGTTAGCTAAATAGCTGATTCCTTGACTTCTTCCTTTTTGTATCACCTGCACTATTTCTAACAGTTTATTCCAGCCACCATTCAATTGCTCCAATCCAAAAGCCTCTTCTCCCCAGATCCCTCACACGCGCTGCTGCTCTCTCCACAAAGCATGCTTCTCGCTCCTCCTGGCCTCGGTGTGCAGACACATGCACACACACCCCAAAGGCTATGCCAGCTTTTGCACCCCTGGCACAGTAGCTGCCAGTGTTATTGAACAAACGAAACCATAGGTGATGTTACAGCAGTGATTCAGATTGGTCACACTTTTGTTCTCTTGAACGAGTTTTGAGACTAAACCAGTATATCGATTTTTATCATAGTGTAGTTGCTTATTAATGTACTTGGGTTTCCTGTCTTCATAGTGGACCAGAAGTTCATTGAAATAATTAATAATCATTTTGTTTTGATGCTTTTGCTTTGTGTTTTCATTACACAAAGATGTATGTTAAAGATGTGTACTAAAATATGTATTTTATAAATATATAACACCTCTAATCTAGATTGTTAAAATATTCTAAAGTTTTTTATTGAGTGGACTTGTTCCTCTAAAAGTGCATAAGATGGGTTGCCTATTGTGGCTATAAAGGAAAAAGTTATTATTACATGAAAACAGGGAAAAGGTTGTATGTATGAGCTATTTTGTCTGTCAATGCAAGAAAGTATTAGTTTTTTATTCACAGTTATGTTATTCTAAGTAGAAATTGTGCTGTTATATATATAAAGCATGGAGTATAAAATGCAGCATTTCAGACGTAATCCTGATTAGGGTATTTTGGAGATAAAATTAAAGGCAGTTTTATTTCTCTTTCACTGCTTTACTCATAGTTGATACTTGATAAATATTTGTAGATTAGTTTGATAATCGATAAACCTGACTGCATTTAAAGAGATGATTTCTACCACCCAATAGAACTATTAACTAACATTACTGAGAAATCTTTTTTTTTAATTTCAAAATATTATGGGGGTACAGTTTGGTTATATAAATTGCTTTTGTGCCATTTGAGTCAAAGTTATAAGCGTGCCTATCCCCCAGATAGTGTGTGGGGAACCTGATAGGTATGAATGTACCCATCTCCTCCTCCCCATTGAGAAATCTTACAGAAAACAAAGACAGTTTCCTTAAGAGTGCTTTTAGGAAATCATTCAATCATACTCGTTTTGGTAACTACTCCTTTTTTTAATTGACAAATAATTGTGTATATTATATATTTATGGGGGTACAATGTGATATTCTGATATGTAATTTATATTGTAGGCTGATTGAATCAAACCAATTAATAGATCCATCACCTCACATACTTATTTATTTATTTTTTGCCAGTTGAAATATGTCTGCTGGTGTTTTTGTTTGTTTCTCACATATATTTATTTATTCACTATTTTGTGCAAAAGATCACTAAAGCTTATTCCTCGTGTCTAACTGAAATTGTCTACCTTTTGATCAACATCTTCTCTTTCCCCATACACCCTTCTCCCCCAGCCTCTCGTAACCACCATTCTATTCTCTACTTCTATGACTTTGGCTTTTTTAGATTCCACATATAAGTGAGATCATATGATATTTACCTTTCTGTGCCTGACTTAGTCCACTTAGTATAATGTCCTCCAGGTTCACCCATGTTGTTAGAAGTGACAGGATTTCCTTCTTTTTTAAGGCCGAATAGTATTCCATTGTTGAATACACCATGTTTTCTTTATCCATTCATCTGATGCTAGAGCCTAGGTTGTTTCCGTATCTGTATTGTGAATAATGCAGTGATGAACATGATAGTGCAGATATTAGTTTGGCATACTGATTTCAATTCCTTTGGATATATATCCAGAATTGGGATCACTGGATCCTATGGTAATTCTATTTTTAGTTTTCTGAGGAACCTTCATACTGTTTTCCATAATGGCTATACTAATTTATAATAGCACCATCGATAAACAATGCACAAGGGTTCTCATTCTCCACATCCTCGCCAACACTTAGTATCATTCATCTTTTTGGTAATAGCAAGTATGAGGTAATATCTCATTGTGGTTTTAATTTGCATTTCCCCTGTGATTAGTGATAGTGAACATTTTTTTATATATCTTCTGGCTATTTGTATATCTTCTTTCAAGAAATGTGTATTTAGGTTTTTTGGTAAGTACTGTCATGTTTAGGATTAGATTTATATAGAACTTGACAGCTGGATGCAGTGGCTCACACCTGTAATCCTAACACTCTGGGAGGCTGAGGCTAGAGGATCACTTGCAGTCAGGAGTTCAGGACCAGCCTCAGCAAGAGCAAGACCCTGTCTCTACCAAAAAGAGAAAAAAAGTTAGCTGGTATCGTGGTGCACACCTGTAGTCCCAGGTGCTAGGGAGGCTGAGGCAGGAGGATGGCTTGAGCCCAGGAGTTTGAAATTGCAGTGAGCTGTGATGGATGCCACTGCACCCCTAGCTGGGGTGACAGAGAAAGACTCTGTCTCAAAAGAAAAAAAAAGATCCATTGTATAGAACTTGAGACAGAGAAGGTGGAAAGAATGAGTGAGAAGTACTTATTTTTTAAAAAAAATGAAACTGAAGTACTTTTTGTCCAAACTCATAAATATTAAAACTATTAATTTTTTTAAAATCTTCATTTTATTGTTTTAAAATACATATTTTGAACTCTATGACTTGTCCCCTTCCCCTTCTCCACCCCCCCCCCCACCCACACACATTCCTGAAGGGGCGAAAGTCTTGGTACTTTTATGCAGTAACGTTCCCATCTTAATGATTCATGGACTCCCAAAGTTTTGATAGAGATTTCAGGAGTTCAATTGATCCCATTGGCATTCTGAAAACACCAGTACTACATTTGGGTCAACCACTGATCCAGGGAAAGGCACAGAGTCTGAGTCCTGTTGTAGAGAAAAGCAGCTTCAGACAGAACTTCTGGAATAGCAGAGGAAGGAGAAGTTCTTTCCCTTCTTGCGAGCAAAAAGAACACTGGGGAAAATTGTCAGAATCAGCATTTCCAAACTCTGGAAATTAAACAAAGACTGATAACAATCCAAGGAGCATTTGCTGAAGCAAACCATATGTATTTCAGAAAGAACAGCAAGTTTTGTACCATTTTAATTGTCCCTCTCACCACCTCTGCAGTAGCTGTGAAAATCAGCAGCCTAGGAGCCACCTGTTTCAGAGAATAAAACAGATTTAGAGACCAAAAAATGTCCCAGTCACAAAGAATTGATGCTATTTAGCCAGCCTTGCAGCTCCCTAGAAAAGCCCTATTCGTTGTTTTTATCTCTCATAGACCTGACAGAGCTCACTAGTGAGAAGAGCAGTATCCAAGGGCTTTTGTCAAACAATCGGCAGCAATTGTTTAACGTCACAGCTGCCTGATGCAGCAGCACCAGCTGGGACACAAAAGAGACTGGCCAAGTAAAGGGAAGATTTGGGAATGAGACATCCACAAGGGGTTCTGAAAAGTTTTAACATATTCCTGGGAATCTTGAAGGCCATGCTTATCCTGTGAACATGCCCAGGAAAGACCTAGGGAGATATACTAAGTGTTCACCTCTGGCTCACCTTCCGGTGGACAAGAAGGAAGTGATGGCTAACGCAGAGTTGGAAAACCGCCGGCTGAGTGTTGAGGGAGGGCGTTCCCCAGCAGGCACATTGAGCCCCTCAGCAAAGCCTGCAAGACTTACTGTTTCAGCCATTTCAGAAAATTTCTGTTTAATTATTAGCTGACCACTAAGCTAACTGAGCAAAGACTTCAGTGGTTGCATTCTACAAATAATACAGACTTCATAGAACTATTGCAAGAATGTCACTAAACAAATAGCAACAACAGAAAAAACAACGAACCTTGGAAGGGGTGCCTCAGAGACCTGTGGGACACCAAGCAAACCAACATACGCATCATGGAAGTTCCCAGAGGGGTGGAGTGAGAGAAAGAGGCAGAAAGAATATTTGAAGAAATAATGGTCAACAGCTGCTCAAATTGACAAAGTTAAGAAACCAGTTCTATTTACAATAGGGTCAAAATAAATAAGAGACTTAAGAATAAATTTAACTTTTTTACTTCCAAAGACACAAAGAAAGTAAACTTACAGAATGGGAGAACACATTTTTAAATCATATCTAATAAGGGGCTTTATCCAGAATGTAGTAATATAAAGAACTCTTATAAATCAATAATAACACAGCCCAATTTCAAAATGGGCAAAAGATTTGAATAGATATTTCTTCAAAGAAGATATACTAAGAGCCAATAAGCACATGAAAAGATGGTCAGCATTAGGATAATGCAAATTAAAACCTTAATGAGATATACCACTTCACATCCACTGGGATGGCTAAAATAAAAAGGATAGACAGTAATGTGTCCTGAGGATGTGGAGAAATTGCAACTTGTATGCGTTGGTGGTGGAATTATAAAACACTGTGGCCTCTTTGCAAACTGACAACTCTTCAAAATGTTACATAGAGTTATAACATATGTCCCTGCAAATCCACTCCCAGGTATTTAAGGAAGTGAAAGCATGGTCACACAAAAACTTGTACAGGAATGTCCATAGCAGCAGCATTCATAATAACCAACATGTGGAAACAACCCAAATGTCCATCAGCTGGTGAATGGATAAACACAGTGTGGTACGTCCATGTAGTGGATTATTATTCAGCCGTAAGAGGAATGAAGTGCTGATTTCCATTTTCCACCCATCTAAGATGGGTGATCTTAGAAAACGTTATGTTAAGCAAAGAAGCCAGACATAAAAGGCCAAATGTTGTCTGATTCCATTTTTATGAAATGTCCAGAATAGGCAGAATAATCAAGGTTATCAGGGGCCGGGGAAGGGGGGTGGATGGTGTGGCTGCTAATGGGCTCAGGGCTGCTTTGGTGGTGATGTGAATGTTCTACAGTTAGCTAGTGGTGATGGTTGTACAATTCTAGGAATATACTAAAAACTGCCAAATGGTACACTTCCAAGGGTGAATTTAATGGTATCTTAATTATGTCTAAGTAAAGCTGTCACAAAACACATCACCCATTGTTGTTTTCAGTAAGCTTTTGGTTGGTGGCGGGGTAGGGGGGCAGGATTAAGATAAAGTTTTCAGAAATGTAAATGTAATGAACTAAACTTGAAATATAGATGAAAAGCATGAATTCTTGTAAGCAATTTTAAAAATTAAGATCAAACAAGTTCCAAAGCACTGTACTAAGTGCTGTGTTTGGGAGATTAAAAAACATTTTAAAACAGTAGATTCTGCCTCTAAGGAGATTCAACCTGAGGGAGAGGACATATTCTTAAAAAGCAAAATTTAAAACAGGTGTGAGCCACGCTGTGGGACAAAGGTGAATCTAGCCAGAATTTAAAGAAGGGAGACATTCCCGCGGCCATGGGAAGGCTGGGGGAAAAGGGGGGGGGGTGTTGTTTTAGGTTTAGCGTTGTGGCCAGGGCCTTTCAGGTAAGGAGGTGGTAACATATCTGGAGTTTAAGGATAGTAAATCAGACAGACTTGTAAGGGATGTGATGCAAAATGTATGAGCCCAAAGAGATCATCAGAACCGTTTTAAGCATGTTGGTAGAAAGCAAGCCTGCAGGCACTGGGGAGTGGGGGGTTGGCGGTTCTGACCTTAAGCACTGGTAAATGAAGAACCAGACATAGTTGGTGTCCAAGGGAATGGAAAAGAAGAAGAATAATTTTCGTGACTGTCCATAGCAAGGTTTCGTATCTATACCATTGTTTTCCCAAGCTCCTATCTTATAGCAGCCACGAGCTGAGGTTTTAAAATGGAGGAGGGATCAGAAGGAGAGCAGTGTTTAGGGTAAAGAATAAATGAAATGTGGAATCTCAGGTATCTATATAAATCAGAGCGCTTCGTTTGGTCATTGCCTCGTAAGATCTTTCCAATAGTCAGATTCCCGGCTGACTCTGGTGTGTCTTTCTCGTTTGTCCTTTAATATGATGCTGACTGTGGAATCTCGTATGCGGGTCCCCTTAGGCAGCCCAGCAAATCATCGAACTTCAGGAAGCTGCACAAATAAATGCAGGTTTACAGCCGACCAACCTAGGGAGGAACAACAGCCTCCACGACATGAAGACGGTGGTGAAAACCTGGAGGAACAGGCTGCCCATCGTGTCTGACGACTTGTCCCACTGGAGTAGCATCTTCATGTGGCGGCAGCATCATTACCAGGGTAAACCGACCTGGTCCGGCATGCATTCATCATGTAATTTTCCAGACACCCCACTGTTCTGGTTTCATGTCTTTGTTTTGTTTTGTTTTTTCTTTTCCCAGATTTTCTGTTTTGGGGTGGGTATGACAGGTTGGGGGAAATGACGAAGGGAAAGATGAAGGTGATGGAAGATGGGAAGTTGTTTTTTCTACCTGTTACATTTTGCTAGTTAGAACAGAATTGCTGCTAGACACTGCCCTGTTGCACTGGGGCACAGCTCCTGCCCCAGGAAGAGCCATGCTCAGGTGGCTCTGCGTAGCCTTTTCTTGCTTCCTGGTCCCCTGCTTACCAGGCATCCACGTGTTTAGGACAGCTTTCGTGATTTCGTCAGCTGAGATGGGAATACTCAACGCAAGAGTTAGAGCCTTTTATAACCTACTTGTGACATAAAATACAAGGAAGAGTGACAAGGGTTTATCACAGAGCTTCCCGTTTTCATAAGCCATGTGTTTGTGTTTTTCATTTTTTAATTTAAGCCTTGTTACGGAGCACTTTGAAAAATGTTTGATGTGGGCTGATAATTCATTTGTTTGCTCTCTAGCTATTGTAACTGCATATGAAAATAGTTCTCAGCATGATCCAAGTTCAAATAACGCTATGCTTGGGGTTCACGCATCAGCTTCAGCCATCATCCAATATGGAAAAATTGCCCGAAAACAAGGACTAGTCAACGTAGCTCTGGATATATTAAGTCGTATTCATACTATTCCAACTGTTCCTATCGTGGATTGCTTCCAGAAGATCCGACAGCAGGTTAAGTGCTACCTCCAGCTGGCAGGAGTCATGGGCAAAAATGAGTGCATGCAGGTAGGTGCCAAACATAGCCTCAGCAGTGGGAAATCACTCTTCCAGAACACGGAGAGAAAAGAAATCACTTTTTATGGTCTCTGTTCTAACATATACTTAGTTGGTGTGTTTAAGGAAAGAAAAAAGCTACAGAATTATGAGGGCATAAGATAGATTTTGGCTAAGTTCAGAGGAATATTAATAGAAACAGTGAAACTCACTAAACATATAAAGCTTTGGAGAAAATAATACCCATAAGTGTTTAGGATTAAATTTAGCAGTTAGTAATACAGTTTAAATACTGAATGTCAATCAACAAATACTCATGGTAGGCAAGTCTGTTGTTAACTTAAAGTGTACTTGTCAATGACTTATAGGACTTACTACCTAGATAAATACTTTTATGAAGCTTTTATATCATTGTCTGGAAATTTCAAGAACTTTTTTCTACTTTTTTTTTTTAAAACAGGGCCTTGAAGTTATTGAATCAACAAACTTAAAATACTTCACAAAAGAGATGACCGCTGAATTTTATGCACTGAAGGGAATGTTCTTGGCTCAGATCAACAAGTATGTAATATTGATAAAGGATGCTGAAAAAATCTCAGATTATTTAAATGGTTTTTTATAACTTGAAGGCAACGTGAAGTTTAAGCTAAAAATTGGTGTGATTTAGTGACAGTTGTTAGGCTTTTTTTTTTTTTTTTTTTAGGTATTGTACCTCTGCAAAGATAGTAACTTGCAACAAATTGATAAGCCAATTTGATGTGCTATTTACAAAGATTTTTAAAATGAATTCTTGATCACAGAACTGCTGCTGACATAGACTCTCTTCCCCATTTTCTCAGCCTGTCATTTTGGAACAGAGTTGATTCCTTTTATGAGCTTAATTCTTGTTTTAGAGCAGGGTCAGTTTACTGTGCCCTGTAAGCCAAGTCCAGCCAGTATCCTGTGCTTGTAAATAAAGTTGTGTTGGACGTGTCCACCGCCACTGACATTATCTGTGTCTGCATTCACCCTGCAACCTCAGAGTTAAGTGGTCGTGGTAGAAATTGTATGATCTGCAAAGCCTAAACCATTCACTGCCTGGCCCATTATAGGAAAGGGTTGCCAAACCTGTTTTAGAGAAATAATGATCCGATGAAAGCTTTTAAGTAGTATGCAAGTGAGGTAGACTTACAAGATGCTTCCTGTTGCCATGCATAGATTCTAAAGCTACTTTTCACATTTTTAATATACAGGGCTTACATTTTTAAATAAGGAAGCAGTTTTGTCAAGATAAAAGGGTTTTATCTTCTTTAAAATGTTTTAAATTCACATGACATAAAATACACCCTTTGAAAGTGTACAGTTGAGTGTGTTTTAGTATATTTACAGTGTTGTACAACCATTACCACTATCTAATTCTAGAACATTTCCATCATCCCCAAAAGAAACACCATATCTGTTAGTCCCTCCTACTTCTTCCCTCCCTGTTTCCATTGACAACCCTAATCTACTTCTGTCTCTATGCATTTGCCTATTCTGAACATGCGTATAAATAAAATCATATAATATGTGGCCTTTTGTGACTGGCTTCTCTCACTTAACAGGATGTTTTCAAGGTTCATCCATGTTGGATCATGGATTAATATCTCATTCCTTTTTGTGGCTGAATATTATTCCATTACATATCCATATATTTTGTTCGTCCAGCAGCTAATAAAATTTGAGTTGTTTCCACTTTTTAGCTATTATGAGTAATGTTGCTATGAGCATTCATATATATGGCTTTGTGTGAGCATATGCTTTCAGTTCTCTTGGGTACATACCTAGGGGTGGAATTGCTGGGTCACATAATATACTTTTCTGTTTATCTTTTGGTTTATCCTTTGCCAAACAATTTTCCGCAGTTTGCTGCACCATTTTTCCCACTAGTAGTGTTTGAGGTTTCCAATTTTTCCACATCCTCACTAGCACTTACTATTGTATATCTGATTATAGCCATCCTGGGTACAAAGTTGTATCTCATGTGGTTTTGGTTTGCATTTTCCTAACGATCAATGATATTGAGCATCTCATATTTTTCATTGTTAATTTGTAATTCTTTATATGTCTGGATAAACACCTGTCTCATACATGATTTACAGGTATTTTGTCACCTTCTGTGGTCTGTCTTTTCACTTTCTTGATAGTGTCCTTTAATGCACAAAGTTTTTTATTTTGATGAACTCTATATTTTTTATTTTGTTGCTCATACTTTTATTGTCATCTATGAAACCATGATCGAATTTAAGGTCACAAGCATTCACTGTGCTATTTTTCTGTAAGAGTTTTATAGATTTAGTTCGTAAATGTAGGTCTTGATCTCCTTTGAGTAATTTTTGTATACGGTATGAGGTAGGGGTCCAAATTCATTCTTTCTGCATGTGGATATCCGGTTGTCTCAGCACTATTTGTTGAAAAGTCTATTCTTTTTCCATTGAATGGCCCTGGAACCCATGTTGAAAATCAATTGACCAGACACGTGTGGGGTTTATTTCTGGACTTTCAATTCTATTCCATTGATCTGCAGTTTGGGCTCCCTTTTATTCCCATATGAATTTTAGGTTATTTTAGTTTATCCATTTCTGCCCACAAAAAGCAGTTGGAATTATGATAGACATTGCATTGAATCTGTACATCAATTTGGGGAGTAATTTTGCCAATTAATATTAGCTTTTCCAATTCAGGAATACAGGATGTCTTTCTATTACTTTAAGTCTTTAGTTCCATTCAACAGCATTTTATAGTTTTCAGTGCACAAGTCTTGCAACACTTATGTTAAATTTATTCCTAAATATTTTTATGTAAATGGAGCTATTTTCTTAATTTCCTTTTCAAGATGTTCATTGCTTACGTTTAGAAATACAACTGATTTTGTACATTGATAGTATGCTTCTCAACCTTGCTGAGGTTATTTACTCTAGTAGCTTTTTTATGGATTTCTTTAGAATTTTCTGTATATACGATCATGTCACCTACAAATCAAGATAGTTTTACATCTTCCCTTCCAATTAGGATGCTTTTTATTTCTTTTTCTTTTCCAATATCTCTGTCCAGAACCTCAAGTACAATGTTGAATTTAAGTGACAAGGTCCTTGTCTTTTTGTCAATCTTGAAGAAAGGCTTCCAGTCTTTGACCCTTGAGTACGATGTTAGCTGTGGGTGTTTCATAGATGCCATTTATCAGGTTGAGAAAGTTCCCTTCTGCTTCAATTTTGCTGAGTGCCTTTATCATGAAAAGATGTTGGATTTTGTCAAATGGTCTTTTCTGCATCAACTGAGATGATTATGTTTTTTTTCCTCCATTCTGTTAACATGGCATATCACACTGATTTTTTTTATGTTGAACCACCTTTGTATTGCTGGAATAAATCCCACTTGGTCATCATGGCATATTATCCTTCTAATATGCTGCTGGAGTTAGGTTGCTAATTTTTGTTGAGGATGTTTGCATCTATATTCATAAAGCATATGGGTCTCTAGTGTTCTTGACATCTTGTACATTGCTAGTGTGATAGTAAAATTTTGTAACTGTCTTGGAAAATAGTTTGACAGTTTCACAAAAAAGTAAACAGAATTACCACAGGATCTAGCAGTCCCACTCCTTGATATGTATCTAAAAGAATTGAAACAAATAGATACTTGTTTAGGAATGTTTATAGCAGGGCTATTTGCAATAGCCAAGATGTGGAAACAACAGAAATGAGCGAATAAACAAAACGTGGTGTGTACATGTGATGGACTATTACTCAGTTATCCAAGGGAATGAAGTACTGATGCTAAACATGGGTGAACCTCAAAAACACTATCCTAAGTGAAAGAAGCCAGACTGAGAACATCACATGATTGATGTACGACTCAGTTTTTGTGAAATACACAGAATAGGTTAATCCGTAGAGACCAAGCAGATTGGTGGTTGCTGAGGGCTGGGGGTTGGGGGTGGGAATTAGGAGTGACTGTAGGAGGTGGTTGCACAACATCGTGAATGGACGATGAAATGCCACTGAAATGTTCACATTAAGGTGGTTAGTTTTATGTTAAGTCAAGTTCACTTCAATTATAAAAGGTGTCTCTCTTGATTTTGTGTCTCACAAAATCACAGGTCTGAGGAAGCAAACAAAGCCTTTTCTGCAGCTGTGCAGATGCATGACGTGCTGGTGAAAGCCTGGGCCATGTGGGGTGACTACCTGGAGAACATCTTTGTCAAGGAGCGACAGCTGCACTTGGGAGTATCTGCCATTACCTGCTACCTGCACGCATGCCGGCATCAGAACGAGAGCAAATCAAGGAAATACTTGGCCAAGGTGAGACCAAAAGACTTTGCTTTGGCCAGAGACCATCTGCTTTTAAGTTTGGCTCCAACTTTACCTATTTGCTAATCCGTGCTGGGTGTGAGGCATCATTTTTTACATTAACTCTTAATTCCAATCACTCTTTAAAGTATCTTTTACAGGGTTTTTTGTTGTATTTTTTTTAAGAAAGAATCTCATTCTGTCGCCCATGCTAGAGTGCAATGGATTCCTCCTAGCTCACTGCAACCTCCAACTCTTAGGCTCAAGCAGTCCTACTGCCTCAGCTTCCCAAGTAGCTGGAACTATAGACGTATACCACTACACTCAGCTAATTTTTCTATTTTTAATAGAGACGGGTCTCACTTTTGCTCAGGCTGGTCTCGAACTCCTGAGCTCAAGCGATCCTCTTGTCCTGGCCTTCCAGAGTGCTAGGATTACAGGCATGATCCACCTCGCCCAGCCTACTGTTCCATTTGAAGGCTGAGAAAACTGAGGCTGGACCATACTTGGGGTCCCAGGACTTCTAAGTGGCAAAGCCCAGCCTGGAGTCTGGGTCTTAGGTCTCCAAGCCCAGTGCTTAGTGCCGTCTGTGGGGTCCCACACATTCCCATAAGCATAGAAGGAGATCTGGAATTAGAACTTACTCCTGGAAACCCGTTAGATTTTAGTCCCTCACCTGCAGGGCTGTGCTCCACACAGTCACAGAGTTGGCATTCTTTGGTGGTCACCATGGTCTCTTTCCACACGGTATGCCAGCACAGCCCAAAACTCGGGTGGGTGTTTGCCACGTGCTTGCCGAATGAAGGAACACTTGAGATTAGATTCTTCTTCATGTTGCTTCCTCTTCCCTCGCAAGAAGCGGATGAATAAAACCCAGAATTAATTCTTGCAGAAAACTTAAGAATAAATTGTTCTGTCAGTTCTTTTTTGTCCATTAAAGGCTTGGACTTCTTAGAATTCCTTGACTTAATGTCAAAATTTGGAATGTACATCAGCACAGGGTAGTTATAGCCAACCCTAGATACACAAACCAGCTACACAAACACCAGCTAAATATGTGACCCCAAATTGCCTACCTCTAGCTGTGATTGTTTCAGACATCTGTGGACACCTGGTTACTGGCATGTGGGCTTCCTGATACTAGGGTGATGAGCGTCTGAGATTTTTAGCAAAAGTATGTTTTGTTTGGATGGGATCATGAATGTGAATTAGCAGCTTGCAGGCCCCAGCCATCTGCCTGTCACTTTCTTGTGGTCGCTGGTCACCACTGGCCAGTAATTGTCCTTAAAGCAAAATCAAGGGAAAAACTATATCCAAATTTTAGGTTTTATTTATACTGAAAGATTTACATGTGTTAATGTTTACCCTCTTATAGATATTTTTCCACATGGATGGTAAAACTACTGTATGTGGTATTTTAATGTTGAGGGGGAAAGGCACTTGATTGAGGGCCTCAGAATTGTCAATCAACTCTAGAATTTTCTCTTCTGTCTCAGGTGCTGTGGCTTTTGAGTTTTGATGATGACAAAAATACTTTGGCAGATGCTGTCGACAAGTACTGCATCGGCGTGCCGCCCATCCAGTGGCTGGCCTGGATCCCGCAGCTGCTCACCTGCCTGGTTGGCTCGGAGGGAAAACTGCTCTTGAACCTCATTAGCCAGGTGGGAACAACAAGACATCTGTGTTCACACACAAAAAAAATCATGACTTCATTTTGCATTTTTTTACAAAGTAAACTTGAATGGGCAGAGTATTAAAAATAAGTCAAAGAGATGGGAAAATTTAATCATTTAGGTATTACTTAATATGAAGCATAATGAGAAGTTACTAAAAGAACATATCAGGATTAAAATGAAGTTTAAAGCAGTCTGGTTTATTAACAAAACTGTAATTTCTTTGAACATTTCCACACATAGGCAAGTAAAACAAGCTATTAAAAATGAAAGATTGCTAGTGGGTACTCTGAGAATTACAGTGAGATGTGCTCTGATTGGTATTTTCCATCTGATTTCCTGTAGTGCTAGGAGCTCTTTGGAGCTTTCCTTACGACTAAAACTTACTTGTGACTGTGATTGTCACCCTTTAAGCATTTCAGCTGTGTCTGTAGGAGACTAACAGTTCTCACAGGAACTGGGAAGGGCTGGTGAATTGGACAGGCCAGAGCGCCATAGAAAAGCTTTTGTAATCATCCTTTGAGGATGGTTCCAGAATGTCCATCTCCTTTGAAAAGACTGAGGGATAGAGGAGGGACTGAAACAGAATAAATTTAGATAGTTAGGTCTGGGCTACATCACGTTTGTGTTTGCTCTTACAGAATTACAAAGTGCTGCCTGATAACCTCGTGAAAGACTAGTGCAGCCGCCACGTCTTTAGGAATATACTGCACTTGTTCTGTTCACCTGTCTGGGTTGCTCTTTGCATGTGGTGTGCCATCCATGTCGTGCCCCGGGAATGATTTTCTCTTTTTCCTTGTGAGGATATAACTATATTCCTGGGCACTGGCATTTTGCTTAGAGTTTATTTGTTGGGTTGCAGATTCAATCTATTTGTTATTGTCATTCATGGAACATCTCTTAATGTGCATTAGCCACCTTGTGACCTGTGGCAAAGTTAGATATTATTTCTTCATTTTATAGTCTTGTTTTGCAGGGTTTGAGCAACATGATAATTAGACTCAGCCACAAAACTCCAGTTTGGTGAAACTGGTATTCCTTGCCTTAAATCGAGATTTCTCAATCTCTTTCTTGCTGCAGTTATGCAGAATAAAGTCATTCAGTAATGGGACTGTTACCAAAATTAGTTAAAATTAGTTAACAATTCACAGTGAATTGTGCTTAATATAAAGATTAACTGGTATTTATATATTTTTGTCTTTTATTTGCCTCATCAAGATCCAAAGGCATATGTATTTTCCCTTCCTCAAGTTTATTGAACAAAAGGAAAGTGGTTTCTCTATCATCAGCAGTCACTGAGCAGAGTTGATGCAGTGCTCGTGTTGATCGAGCTGAACTAGATGTTTTACCTCCTGTTTAATCTGGCTTCGTATATAAGATCAGTGGTGTATTATTTGCTTCCCTGGTCCAAATACAGACCAGAAACCCATTTCCAACTTGACGTCACTTATTTTCAATACAAGTTGTCTTCATCCAGAAGCTTATTGGCGAACAAAGCTGTTTATGACTTCGTGTCTCTGAGCAGGTTGGACGAGTGTATCCCCAAGCGGTCTACTTTCCCATCCGGACCCTGTACCTGACCCTGAAAATAGAGCAGCGGGAGCGCTACAAGAGCGGTAGGTCTCTGGTGGGGCCAGCTGGTCTCAAAGGGCTTGTTCCATGGGGGCCACATCCAGACCCCTGGGAACACACCCTGCCTTCAGCACACTCCTAGCGTGTGGCCTGTCTTTTCTTTAATCAGTGAGAGAAAACACTTTGGGGCCAGAAGACAAAGCCTGGTCTCTGAGTAAAGTTTGTGGTTCTCCTTTGCCAGGATGTGATTTGATCCATAGGTGGAAAAAAATATATGCAATTTTTAGCTATAGAAAATTATAAAGTTTACCTTGCCTCAGTAATGAATGCATTACGGTAAGCAGTATGAATGCCAGTTGCTGTGTGTATGTGTTGTTTAGGTTATAAGGAAATCAGTCTTACCAGAAGTTTGTAAACGTTGACTCAAAATGTAAGATTTTTATTCTATATTGAATGCCCTAGTATGCAAAGAAATAACTTATTTAGCAGTTTCAGCTACCCACTAATCATGGTACTTTAAACGAGTAAAGACCATTTGCTTCACAATGTTTTTAATACCCAGAGTCTTTCTAAGGTACCCTGGTTGGTTAATAAGATTCAGTGGATTGGGGGTCGCATAGCCCATCTCAGCTCCAACCTCTTGGGAGTTAGCTTGGCAGATTCATCTCTGGGCCATTTGAAAATTTAAGATTTTTTAAATTTTAAGACTAAGTATAATGAGCTAAATCAAGAAAAAATGGTCATAAAGTATTCTACAATGGATTTCTCATAGAGAAAATGACTATATTTTTCAAAAATACCATATTATAATTGTGGTTTGGCATTCCTGGGTGAAAATGTAGGCTTGCTTATTAATTACTTTTAGATTCTCTAAGCTTTAGTAACAAGGAACACATTTTTCCAAATGTTTTGTTTTTACAATAGTCAAGATTACAGAAAAGTTACAGAGGAGTGAGTGTCCAGTGAGCCGTTGTACACCCTCACCTAAATTCCCAGGTTGCGTGTTGTCACATCTGCTTTCTCTCTCAACATGATACTTGTTGACAGCTGTGCTCCCCACCCCCGAGTCCCTCAGCGCAGCTGTCCTGAGACCAGGGCCTTCGCCCACAGCCCCTGGGGAAATGGTCCTGTGGGGATCACACACCGGCAGGAACCAGCGTTCCTTTGGCCAGTGGGTCCTGTAGAGCTCCAGGCTCTGGCATCAGCCAGTTTTGCGCTGACATTGGCGTTGTGTGTGTTGCTCTCAGATTCTGGACAGCAGCAGCCAAGTTCAGTGGGTAACCAGTCCCATTCTGCATCAGATCCAGGGCCCATAAGAGCAACAGCACCAATGTGGCGCTGCAGCCGAATCATGCACATGCAGCGAGAGCTCCACCCCACCCTTCTGTCTTCCCTGGAAGGCATCGTCGATCAGATGGTCTGGTTCAGAGAAAATTGGCACGAAGAGGTATTTGGATATGATCTTGCACATGCTGGCTACTTGTAGAGGGAACTATCATTCTCTATGCTTTTGTGGCTGTATGATCTTTAGATTTAGCTGCCTGGTCATTTTATATATTGTTAGATTTAACCATGGAGCAGGCAAAACTAGTTATCTCTGCACACTACTATAGCCGTAAACATTTGAAGCAGAAGACTGCAGAAGAAGATGCTGAAATTGGGAAAGCCATTTCTTGATGTTAAAATGCTTGCTTTGCTCATTTAGCTTGACGATGTAAGTGCTACCAGTCGACCAGGTGTGCGCAGGAGCTGTGGTGTAGGCCACATAGTTATCATTTCCAGAGATGGGCGTTAGTCCTCCAGGGATCTTCTCAGCAGCCGGGCTATCTCCTTAGTGATGTTTGTTTAAGCCAATGACAAAATAATATACACTTTGCTGCCCAGATACTTACCTGGCTGGGTCAGGGGCCAGGTCTTTACTACTGTCAGTTTTATGTGTGTACAGACTCACAGTGGTAACAATGAAACTATCTGGAAATAAGATTGTTCTGTGGCTAACCCGCAGATAAGTATGCCACAGGGGTTCTGTTTTTGTGTTTTTTCAATGGCCAGGACTGTTACTTCTTGTGGTTAAAAACACCAGTGCCCAGTGTGGCGCACAGCATCTGTCCCCACACACTGGCTTTACACCTGCTGGGTGGCGGGTGGGTGCAGAAGCAACCCCGGTGGGAGGGGCCATGCCTGATAAACTCTGTGGCCGGCTGGCTGCATGCTCGGAGAGCTCTGTTTTGTCAATTGTCTTTGGCCTCTTCCCACTAGGTTCTCAGGCAGCTCCAACAGGGCCTGGCGAAGTGTTACTCTGTGGCATTTGAGAAAAGCGGAGCAGTGTCCGATGCCAAAATCACCCCCCATACTCTCAATTTTGTCAAGAAGTTGGTGAGCACCTTCGGGGTGGGACTGGAGAACGTGTCCAACGTCTCAACCATGTTCTCCAGCGCGGCCTCCGAGTCTCTGGCCAGGCGAGCCCAGGCCACTGCGCAGGACCCTGTCTTTCAGAAGCTGAAAGGCCAGTTCACAACGGGTGAGTCTCGCTTTTCTTCCCTTGTGCCTAGGGTAAGTTCTGTGTACTGTTTTTCCTTGGTCTTTAACATCTAAGCTAATTGTATGCGTTCGTTTTCTTACCACCAAACTGGGCATGCTTGTGCTGTTTCAAATAGAGGCTTCTGAACACGAGGCCTGAGGCTGCACATCCTTCTCTAGCAAGGGGTCAGGGTTTGGGGCAAGAGCTGCCCAGCTCCAACATTGGGTAGAAGGCACGTGGCTTTCAAGCCAATCTGCCCGCTTGCGTCCCTGTGACCCTTCTTCCTTGGTGTTGGTGGGAAGCAGCGTAGGGTGCGATGGTGGCATGCACAGGTACAGGGCTCTTGCCGTGGATGCTGGGGCACGATGACAGGGAGATGGTGTTTTCAGTACTTGTGCCTTGCTCCGGGCAGTGCATGTTCCTAGACTCATGGGAGCTCGGGTCCTGGCTCCTCCTCTTACTGTGTGATCTCAGGGAAGGGAGTCTGGTTTCCCTCTGCCCAGGTTTCTTCATCTGCCAGATGGGGATCCTCGCCCTCAGTGCGCACTTGTGCATGCACGTGCGTCCCCACTGCGCGCACCCAGCGTACACACCATTGCCGCGCACAGGCACAGCGGTGTCCCGTGCTGATTCTCGCTCCTCCTCCTGCCACTGTCTCCCTGACCTGCTTGTCCCTCTGGCGCAGGAGCCCGTGGGCGCCTGGTCCCCAGTGTCGAGTTAGCCACCTGAGTGACCCTGCGGGCGCTTACTCTCAAGTGTCAATACGTGAGTGATTATCACGGGAAAACAAGATTTGCCTGATGTAAATTTCCCAGAGCTTAAAAAAGAAAAAGCTTAATGAGTGTCTTTGTAGCAGTCTTTAAAACATTGTTTCTTCGCTGGTAGGTTAAAACACAGGTTCACATTTTTAGGCATTTAAAGTATCTTTTAAATTATCTTAGAGAACATGTTGAGAACATGTATATATGTAGAGTAGGTTGAAATAATGCAAAAGAAAATATTTATCCCATTAATAGTGAAGGATGCTTTGCAGTTATAGCCATGATTCATTTTGGTTTTTTTATTTTTTACTTTTAGAGATATTCTTACTCTATTGTCCAGGCTGTAGTGCAGTGGCCTCCTCATAGCTCACTGCAACCTCAAACTCCTGGGCTCAAGTGATCCTCCCGTCTCAGCCTCCTTAATAGCTGATATTACAGACACGCACCACCATATCCAGCAATTTTTTTTTTTTTTTTTTGGTAGAGACCAGGTCTTGCTACGTTGCCCAGTCTGGTCTCGAACTCCTGGCCTCAAGCAAACACCTTGGCCTCCCAAAGTACTGGGATTACAGGTGTGAGCCACTGGACCTGGCCCATGATTTGGAATCCATCTGAAATATAGCATGCCCCAGTTGTTAGGCAGACAGTCATGGGATGCTGGGCTCCCTGTTTTTGATGTGTGAGTTGGACATTAAAGGTAACACTGGACTCACCTTAATGTTGAGGCCTCCACGCCTGAGGAAGGTATTCTTTGAAAAATAGAGGACAAGTCCCGTCCTTTCTTGTCTTTTATTTTGAAGTGCTTTCATCAGCTTAGGTTTCTTTGTGAAGTTCGTGTGACGTGTGGTCTGTCTGCTACCCTTCTCTGAAAAGGGAAGAGTGTGAGATGAAAGTTTTATGAAAATCATAGTTTATTAATACTTAAAAGAGTGTTCAATATGCTTTCATCTTAAAATGTCCAGATCATTAAATCAAATGTAGTCTGAAGTGGAGAATCAGAAGTGGGACAAATCACCTGGGTTTTGATGTTAAAAAAAAAAAAAATCATGAAAACCAAAACCAGATGGAAGTCAGCTTATGAGGCTTCTGACCCACTGCAAACTGTGGCAAGTTTCAGATATTTAAGTTCCCTCTTCTCCTTCTGCTCACAAGGTCATTTCTGTCCACACCAAGTTCCATTCTATGGACTGCACTTCTGTTCTCTGGCAATACTGTGTGTGTTGGCTGCTAACCAGCTGTCGATAAAGAGCCAGAAGAAAGTTCAAGACCAGCACACTGCATTTATTCCAGAGAAATGAAGACGTATTTTTGTTTGGAACTTGGACGAGATTATTCATAGCCACTTTATTTTTCATAGCCCCAAACTGGAAACCAACCAAATGTCCTTCCAGAGGTATTGATGCATAAGCAAAGTGTAGTACATCCATACTCAGCAATAAAAAGAAGTTAATTATTGATACAGCAACTTGGATGAACCTCAAAGAATTTATGCTGTGTGCAAAAAGCCAGTTTCATAAGGATGTACACCGTATGATTCTTACGAAACATTTGTAAAATAGCGTAAGAACAGGGTTGGCAGATGGGCTGGTGGTAGCCAAGTGTTAGTGATGCGGAGAGGAGATGGGTGTGGCTGTGAAGTGCCATGGGGGTCCCTGTGGTGAAGGTACAGTTGAGTGTCTTGAGTGTACCACGTGACAAGACTGCAAAGACACACAAATACACCTAAGTGCACACATCGCTGGTGCAATCGGAACCAGCTCTCGATTGTGCCAGTGACACTTTCTTATGTTTTAGCATTGTGCTGGGGGTGGACTCTGGCATGGGAAGAGGGCTTCAGGAATGCATGTCATTTCTTCATAACCTCCCATAAATCTACAATTATTTCAAGATAAAAGTTAAAAGAAACAGATCAGGCATGAGCCTGGCAGCACCTTGTTGATCCAGAATGGGACAGAAACAGCCCCGTGTGTGAAGCTGCCTGTGTCCCAGACGGGTAGGCTCTGTCACAGCTCTGCTGGGGGGAGGGAACCTCGCCCCTTCTTGTCTTGGTGAGTGGCGGCCTCTCCCACCACCTGCCCGTGTGACATCATGGCAGTCACTGTGAGGAGTACAGAGGAAGGAGATGACAAAGCTTAAAATGAATGGGAAACCAGATAAATGCTGTGAAAAAACAGAAGAAAATACATTGACTTTCCTAAAATGAATGGGAAACTAGATAAATGCTGTGAAAAAACAGAAGAAAATACATTGACTTTCCTAAAACCGCTGCATCTGTGTACAGCTAAGTTCCTACATGGATGGCGACAATTAGGCTAGTAGAATAGCCAGATATTAGTCTGAAAGCTACCATATGCTGCCTCAGTTAATTTAATCCTCATGGGGTAGATGTTATTGCTGCTTCCATTTCATGGGTGGGAAAAATAAGGCCCAGGAAGTTCATGAGCTTACAGTCCTGCAGCTGTGAGTGCACGAGCTGGGCCTTAGCAATTCCGGCTTCCCAGGGCTCCGAAGTGCTGCACCACACTGAGCTTCACGTGCCTGAGGATTAGGTCTGGAGTTGGCACCTAACGACAAAATAACCCACACACTTGAACCTGCCTGTGAAATGGAGTATCCACAGGGGTTATGTGTTCTGTGTGTTCTTATTAAGTCTGACAGCCTGATTTTTCTCAAATGGTTGGATTAAATCACTTTTCTGGGTTGAACACCAATAGTGTAAATCTGTTTAGGGGCCGTTGCATAGGAAGCGTGTGGTGGCATCTGATGGTTTGTTTGCCGAGCCACGTAGTTGATGTGTTAAATAAGCACCTGGTCGCAGCGGTGACATCCAGGGCGGGAAGAGGTGAGGGCAGGTTTTGCACGTGGGGGGCCACACCTGCTTGGGGGCCTTGCCCGTGTGGGCCTCTCGTGCTCGGCATCAGTTCGGCCTCACTCACCACTTTCTGGTTCCAAACTGATGCTGTTGGCTGGTGAGTGATTTTCTGCGTGTTTAGCTCCCGGCCTGCGGCAGCTGCCCAGGGGAAGGGGAGGTGGGAGGAGGCGAGTCCTCGCAGAGTCTGTAGGAGGCTCTGCCCCAGCAAGAGAGACGCGCCTTCCTTCACCACGTCCAGGAGGCACGTGAAGGTGTCTCTGCTGCTGTCGGGCAGCCAGTGTTTGATTTGGACTCAGGACAACCGGTCGGGACAGCGCCTGTGTGGCCCCCACGGGCCCTGCTTTACGGCAGCACTGCGTGGGGGCGAGTTGGGGTGGCGAGACTCCCTTCTAGCACCGGAGCTCATCTGGGAGGGAGGTGAGGTTTTTTTGTTAAAAGAAGTACTTTTTAGTTTAATCGATCTTTTAATATTGAGTCCCAGTAACATCTGAGAAATACATTAACCAGGGATTTTTTAATTGCTTAAGTGAAAATGTTTTCCATTTTTGTCATTTTGGTTTCTTGCCTTAATTCCTTCTAATGGGCTCGTTTACAACTTAGTCCTCTCCTGGCGTTCCTCCTCGGCTCCCCCAGCTCCCATTAGCGCCGCCTTGGCTTTCACTCAGGGCCTCTGTTCTTGGCGCCACGCATGTGCTCGGGTGGTACTGCCGAGCTGGCGTTGGATGTGGTCTTCGGGCCCTGGCGACACAGGCTCCCAGACCCTGTCGGGACTCGCAGGCTGCCCTCAGTAGAGCTCCTGGCGTCCCCAAGGCCCGACCCTCCTGCGCCAAGGTGGGTACTCAGGGGCCCACGCACCATCTCAGCCTGCACCGGTCCCCAAGAGGAGCCTGGGTGTCCTGTGGGGGTGCATTTCTCCTCCTCCTCAAGGCAGCACCGTGCATGGTGCCAGACAGCAATTCTCTGGTTCTTTCAGGCCTCAGCTTACACTTTAAAGACTAAGAGGTGCTGGTTTGTTCCTCATTACACACAGAACATGCCTAATTTGTAGCTGGTAGGTGCTTAAGCAGTGGTTTTATAACGAATTGGAAATAGCCCAAATGGTTAAAAATGTTTTTAACCTTGTTTTGTTTTGAAGATTTTGACTTCAGTGTCCCAGGATCCATGAAGCTTCATAATCTCATTTCTAAACTGAAAAAGTGGATCAAAATCCTGGAGGCTAAAACCAAGCAACTTCCAAAATTCTTCCTCATCGAAGAAAAGTGCCGGTTTTTGAGCAATTTTTCGTCACAGACAGCTGAAGTGGAAATTCCTGGGGAATTTCTGATGCCGAAGCCAACACATTATTACATCAAAATCGCTCGGTGAGTGAGGCTGGCCCGGCGGGTGGCAACTCCCACGGCCCCCCAAGGACCTGGATCCTGTGTGGGAGGCTTCGGGGAGACTCTGTGCGGTATTTCAGACGTTGGTTCCCTGAAACGAGAGAACTTAAGGTTGTTCTAGGATTAAACAATCAATACATGACTGCCGACAAGCACAGTCTTCCCGTGACAGTTCTGGAAACTCTGTTTTCTTAAGAAAAGGACTGGAGGTCGAGACTCGGCTCACGTCCTGTCGTTTGCTCATGCTGGCAGGTTTATGCCCAGGGTGGAGATCGTGCAGAAGCACAACACGGCGGCCCGGAGGCTGTACATCCGCGGGCACAACGGCAAGATCTACCCCTACCTCGTCATGAACGACGCCTGCCTCACCGAGTCGCGGCGGGAGGAGCGTGTGTTGCAGCTGCTCCGCCTGCTGAACCCCTGTTTGGAGAAGAGAAAGGAAACCACCAAGAGGCACTTATTTTTCACAGGTACGAGAGCCACGCTTTGAGGGGCACAGGCAGCTCACGGTAGCTCCGGAGGGCTCGCGTGTGTCGCCGTGTCCACGGCAGAGGATGTCCTGCGGTGTGGCGAGCAGGCAGGGCCTCGGGATGGGAGCAGCCCCCACCCCGCCAGCCCCTACTCCTGGAGGAAGCACTCAGGCTTCAGGCTCCTCGCTGTGGGACAGGAGCTCTGTTCGCATTTCCCCGAAGGCCTTCCCAGCACTGTGGAGTGTTCATTTGGAACGGGTGGCACTGGTGAGGCCCGTGTGCACCCCTCTTTCTTTGGGAACCTTTCCGTGCCCTGCTGAAAGCTGGGCTAAGCCAAGGGCTTGTGGCTGGCATGTGACAGCACATGTTAGCTTTGCAGCCAGGGCTCGTGCTACCTCTAGACCACACATGCACTGTGTGGGTGCTGCCCGTGGTGGCCCTCCTGGTGAAATACAAGACGTAGGACAATCTAGCAGCCCTGTGAAGGCTTCAGAAATTGTTGCCAAGTGGTACAAGTAGCCAATAAGAAGCAACTTCTTACTAGGTGGTTTTCATAACTGAGTAGTTGTGAGTGTCCGGTTTCTATCTGGAATTGAGGGGTAGATGAGATGCCTGTAATTCTACCCAGAGATAAGAGCCAGGGTAATAACATTTTAGCACGTAGTCCCTGGGGTTAGGAGTACGCTGCAGTGCATGTTATCTAGTCCCGTGTGGGACTTTCTTCTGACAAATAAGGTATAATCCAACCCGTTTGACCTGAAGTCTCTGACCCGTAAGTTTAATATCACAAAATAAGAAATAGAGTCAAAAACAAGTCTAAAGAAAGCTCGATGTGCATTACAGAAAGTTATCTGTGCTTTAGCATGTGTGTAATATGATCTGTAACTTTTTGCAAAAAAATTGCTGAATATTACCTTAATCTAATATCTTAATAAAATATCTCATATAATCCACAAACAACCCTCTGGGGTAGGTACTGTTATCCCTCTTTTCAATGAAGAAACTGAAGTTCACACATGTCCAGTAACTTCCCCCAAGGTGTGATGTCACTAGGAAGGCAGCTCAGGCAGGGGGGTGGCCCAGAGCAGGGACACCCAGTGCTCTGCTGTGCCGCTTCCAGCCGTGCCCTCATGGTCGTGAGGGAGGTCACCATCATGCGAGTCGAGTTGTGTAGCAAACTGCACCCCAAGTACTAGAATAGTGATTGGGGAACAGTGTCAGTCACTCTGTGTGGATGGCTTATAAGTTAACGGAGTTGAATGATCAGATCGACTCTGGTGGCTTTCCTTCTCTGAACCTCACAGTACACAGAAAATGACTTGGGGTTATTTTCTTCTCCAAAGACAGAGCACAGCCACTCTAGATAATGGAAGGCAAGTTAGTGAACTTACACGAGATAAATGCCTGGGGTGGGAGGGGGGATTCTTCTGGAATTAAGCTCTGATTAAGGAAAGCCTCTGAAGAGTGAACATTTCTCAGTCTGTTTGTTTTTTATTTTTTAAGTTTGCTTCCTAAAGCATTTCTGTTGGTGAGCACAGGGTTACGCTCAGCTCAGGTGCCGTCGTCCCTGGACGTGAATGGGTGGCTGTGACAAGGCTCTTCCTCTGCGCCCTTGGTGCCAGGCCCTGCTCCCAGCATGCCCAGAGGTGGAGCTGAGTGCTAACCTGTCCCTGTTTCTCTTCACCCCACAGTCCCCCGGGTTGTGGCCGTGTCCCCGCAGATGCGCCTCGTGGAAGACAACCCCTCTTCTCTTTCCCTCGTGGAGATCTACAAGCAGCGCTGCGCCAAGAAGGGCATCGAGCACGACAACCCCATCTCCCGCTACTATGACAGGCTGGCAACGGTGCAGGCGCGAGGCACCCAGGCCAGCCACCAGGTGGGTACCAGCTGCGCCAGGCAGGGCTGCTGAGCTGCTGTCTGAGGCCCCTGCACGTGGCTGCTTCCTCGTGGTGCTCGGACAGTGTGCTCAGGACGTAGCGGGCTGTTCTTTGAGGGGTGCCTGTCTCACTGAAAATAACTACTAGACTCATGAGATTGCAGAAATTGGGCAGCCATTCATCTTAGTGAGGGCATGTTTGCTGCAGGTGGTTTGTTATGACTCTACAGAGGTGAGTTCATAACCTTTGAGAGGTCTTTGTCCTTTACGTAGACTTATAAAGCAGCTCAGAAATTATATATGTGTATATATATTTTTTTGAGACAGTCTCACTCTGTTGCCCAGGCTGGAGTGCCGTGGCATGATCATAGCTCCCTGTAGATTCAAATTCCTGGGCTCAAGCTGTCCTCCTGCCTCAGCCTCCCGAGCAGCTACCAGGCATGACTAAATAAGTTTATGGCAAACTCATTTGGCAGCCAGACCTGATCTGGAGTGTGGTGAGGCTACTTACGGTCTGTATTTGTTAATGTTCATCTACTCTGCTGCTGGTGCATTACTGCACATACTTTCTGCAATACAGAAAGTGACGAGCTGTGAAACACGTGGGCCCAGCCGTGTTGGCTGCTTCGGCCAGAAGGACCCCACCATGGAAGTCCTAGGTGGCTGTCATCTTTAGCCCCTCAGAGGTGCAAAGGCCCTTCTCACCTGCAGATTTTTGCCCTTGGTGGAAGCAGAGCTGGTGTGGGCTGCAGATGAGAAGATTTTGTTCAGGATTGTGGAGCACCAAGAGGCAGCTGTTTTGGCCTTGCCCAGGTTCCCTCGTGATATTTCCTCTGGGTCTCAAGAAGGAGAGACCACAGAGGTGGGTGCTGCGGCCTTGCCCTGAGTCTCCCAGGGACTCATCCCGGTTCATCTGGCTCCCAGAGGACTTAGTTGTGCTCAGGAGGATTGAGCCCATGGGTGCCCATTTCACCTCCTGTGCAGGCCCTGGGCACAGCAGGGCCCCAGGTGCTGCAGGGCAGGTGCCGCCTCCACCTGTGTGCAGGCAGAGGGTGCGGATCCCTGTTTCTGGTTGGCCTGTGTGCACAGAGCTTGGGCCTCCCTTGGATCGGTGCCAGGGCTTTCTCATGGCACAGGTCATGGCCTGGTTGTGCCGTGGACCTCGGGTAGTCTTGAGGCTTTTGGAGTGGATTATATTCTTGAGGCCACGTTTACCTTTGACAGTGTGGAAGCCAGTGACCTGTGTCTGCAAACACGTGCTGACATCAGAAGCCCCTTTTGTTTTATAAACAGCACGTGGCTGACCAGGCTGAGGCAGGTCCAGCTTCGACGTAGTGTGAGAGCCCTGCTCAACTGGGGAGGTGCTGGCGGTACAAAAGAACCCCAGCTTCTGGCCTCTTCTTGCCCTTTGTCCCCGTCTGGCTTCTTTCACTTAGTGTAATATTTTCAAGGCTTATCTATTTTGCAACATGTATCAGTAGTTCATTGCATTTCATTGCCAAATAATGTTCCAGTATACGAACATACCACATTTATCCACTTTTGCATTGTTTACACTTTTTGACTGTTAACGACTAATGCTGCTATGAATGTTCATGTATGTGGTTTTTTTGTGTTATTTATTTATTTTCAGAGGTGGGGTCTTGCTGTATTGCCCAGGCTGGGTTCGAACTTCTGGGCTTGCATAATCCTCCTGCCTCAGCCTCCCGAGCAGCTGGAACTATAGGCGCACATTACTGTGACTGGCTTTGTACATGTTTTTGTGTGGGCATATGTGTTCATTCTTCTTAGATATATATTTAGTAGTGGAATTTCTGGGTCACATGGTAACTCTTGTGTTTAACGTTTTGATGAACTGCCAAATTGTTCTCTGAAGTGTCTGCAATGTACAAAGGTTCTGATTTCTCCACATCCTTGCCAGCACTTATTACTGCCTGTCTTTTTAATTGTAGGCACCCTAGTGGATGTGAAGTGCTGTCTCACTGTGGCTGATGACAGATAATGTCGAACATCTTTTCTTGTGCTTATTTCTTGTGCTAACTTTTTATTGGTATATTTTCTTTGGAGAAATGTATTCAGGCTCTTTGCCCACTTTTAAATTGGGCAATTTGTCTCTTTATCATTGATCCTAAAACACTAATCTGGCCAGGCGCGGTGGCTTATGCCTGTAATCCTAACACTCTGGGAGGCAAGGCAAGAGGATCGCTTGAGCTCAGGAGTTTGAGACCAGCCTGAGCAAGAGTGAGACTACATCTCTACTAAAAATAGAAAACTTCTCAAGGCATGGTGGCGAGCACCTGTAGTCCTAGCTACTCAGGAGGCTGAGGCAGGAGGATCACTTGAGCCCAGGAGTTTGAGGTTGCAGCGAGCTATGATGACACCACTGCACTCCAGCTGGGGCAGTTGAGTGAGAACCTTTCTCAAAAAAAAAAAAAAAATAGTCTTTGATTTGAAGGTGGGGGTGTTGGTATCCACCTATTCTTTTTTCTTTTTGTTAATTAACCTGATATATTCTATAGTTAAGAAGGGTATAAGTTGTTTTCAGATATTAACCCACATTCTTATAAGATAAGTGATATCACACATCATGTAACTTAAGGCTTTTATTTAAACCAGCTCCATTGGTGCTTTAGAGCATAAGACATCAAACCCTGGATGGAAATGAAACAGTCTTGTGCATCCTCATGTGCAGTTTATTAATGATGCATATACATTTTTGTTAACAAAATTCACTCTGTAGTGCTAAGTAACTAAGTAATTGCAGTTTGAGAGTTTTCCTTTTGGAGGAGAAATTTCGTCAGTGAATTAGACGGCAGGGTCATGGTGATGTATTTCAGGTCCTGCGAGACATCCTCAAGGAAGTTCAGAGTAACATGGTGCCACGCAGCATGCTCAAAGAGTGGGCCCTGCACACGTTCCCCAACGCCACGGACTACTGGACCTTCCGCAAGATGTTCACCATCCAGCTTGCGCTGATTGGCTTTGCAGAATTCGTCCTGCATTTAAATAGACTCAACCCCGAGATGCTACAGATCGCTCAGGTAACTGATCATGAACAGCCAGTCCCTCTCCTTTAGACATCACCATTCTGCTGATGAAGTTCCTGAAGTGTCTCCTTCTGAAATCTAGGACACCGGCAAACTCAACGTCGCCTACTTTCGATTTGACATCAACGATGCCACTGGAGACCTGGATGCCAACCGCCCTGTCCCTTTCCGCCTCACACCCAACATTTCCGAATTTCTGACCACCATCGGCGTCTCTGGCCCATTGACGGCCTCCATGATCGCTGTTGCCCGGTGCTTCGCCCAGCCGAACTTTAAGGTGGGTCTCGGTGTCGTCCCGGGAGCAGCAGGGGCTGGGGTTCCCCACTCACATTGGGCCTTGCAAGAGCTGCTCGTCCGCTAGCAAGGGGCTGGAATGTCGAGTTAGAAGGACCGGTTGTTGCTAAACAGTTTATGCATTTGGGAGAGGGGTTTGGAGATGTTCCCTGGCCAGAAGAGTTGAGGATGTCGAGAAACCCAGTTTATGAAAAAGAATCTAGAAGCCCCCACTGGGTAATTTATCCCCGTTCCCACTGTCGGTTTTGTACAACGGCTTCCATTTCCCATTCTGCACATCTGGTATGAGAGGGCAGAAGTATTCTCTGTGGGTTGGCGCTTGCCTTGCCAGAGGTGTGAGATGTGGCCGGATGCCCTTGGCGCCCTGGTGCACATGAGGCCAGGCCAGGGTGTCCGATGGCTCCACCACGGGGCCAGGACAGCAGCCAGACCTGCCATTTCCCAGGCGCCTTCCCTGTGGCAGGCTCTGGCTGCTGAAGTGGCTTCTCATCAAATTCCCCCAGTGCTCGTTCAGATGTGGGAACCGAGGCCAGGGAAGGTAAGGGACACTCCAAAGGTCACAGCAGGGCCGAGGGTGTGGTGAAAACTGGGATTCAAATCCAGTTCATTCTGACTCCAAGCCTAACTCCCCTCCCTCCACCAAAATCCTCTCTTTGCAACTGGGGGCTGAACACAATCTTACTTTATTTTTCTTGTAACTTATGAGAACAGTTGTATCTTTTTCCCCCCCTAGATAAGCAGTTTGCATCTAGAGAGGGCTTGCTTTCCAAAAACATGTATTCAGAACAGTTTTTAAATGATTGCATAAACTCTAGCTGTGAACAAGGACTGCACGTATACTCACCTTGCTCTTTAATGGGCGGCAGCACGTGTCCATCACCATGGGAGGCTGTTCGGGATACGTGAGTCCCTCGTATGAACATGAGTAAAAATAACTAGCCTTCGTGTTTGTTCTTGAGTTAAGGAATTTGTGTTGTAGTGCAGCGAATGGGAGTTTATTATTACCTCTGGCGTGCTTGAAATAGGAGTTCTCATTTAGATAGAAATGTTATACTTCTGGAAACATCCATAGGGATATCCTTAGAATGGCATTTCCTTTGAAAACTTTAAAAGACTTAAGAAGACTCTCCATAACTTAAGACCTGTGACAATGTGGAGTGACACTGTGCCTCACCCTTTGCAGACTGCGGTGGCATACATGGGAAGAAGTTAGATCTCCAAACTTTGGGTCCAAATTTCTGGACAGACTAAATTTAGTGAATGCCTTTACGTTAAGCTCAAATGTAGACCATTCTGTAAATCCTGTGTGGGAATCTCTTCTGAAAACATACTCCGTTGGCACCAAGTAAGGCAGGATAAAAACCTCCTTGATCTGAAGTGACTTTTAAACAGTCCTGGGTACCTGAAATGAGAGCCCTCTGCTTCCTTAGAACACGACAGCGGACTGTACTGGATCTCTCCTTGCACGAGGGTCGCCCTCTTCTCCCTCTCCCCAGTCCTGGACGTCTCAGCCCCCATCCTGAGTCTCACTGCCACACGTTTGATTTTGCAAATTCAGACCTTGAGCTCCAGGGCCACCCGCCCCCCCACCCCCCAGCATCCTTGACCTAGTTGCGGTTCCCTCCGGCATGTGGCTGTTGTCCTGCGGCGTCCACTCTGCTGAGGACACCAAACCCCCCAGTGTGCAGCCCGCTTCACAAGCCTCGTGGGTCCAGCTCTGTCACCCAGTGGGGACGAAGCTCCACGTAGGCCTCTCACCCCGCAGTTGGAGTGGTCCTTTAGGACAAGAGCCCTGTCTTGTCATGCTCTGCTCAGCACTCTCCGTGACTTCCAGCTACTCGGAGTACAAGCGAGAGCCCGGTGGCACCACTGATCTCGTGGTGACGGGAAACGAGAGCTTGGCCAGACACCGGTGTGCACCTGATGTTCATTTACTCCTGGAACCTCCACATCGCTGTGAGGAGAGGATATGTTACCGTGCCCTGTTTACAAAAGGGGAAATTGAGGCAGAGGGCTTTAAGTAACTTACCCAAGGGTACCCAGGTAGGACGTGTTGGAGCCTGTGCCGCGGCCTCCCACGCAGCCACGCCCACCCCTGCTGTCCCCTGGTGGTTCCCTCACCCTGCAGCGCCACGAGTGTGGCCCCTCACTGCCTTCTGGTCTGCCCAAGTGTGACCCTGTGTGTCTCCTCATCATGGGCTCCTCAGAGAACCCTCTGAGCCACCTGCCCGGCTCCATTCTCCGCAGCCCCTGGCAGGTAACTTGCCTGTTGGTCGGGGTGAGCCCGAGGGCAGGGTGCGGTTTGCTGTCGTGCTCACTCGTATCAGCGCTGCCTGGAGTGGGCCTGCCTGACACTCCACAGGGCCTGGGACAGACGGCAGCGTGTGGCACGTCCCAGGTGGCCTCTGCAGCCTGTGTGTGAAGCCCGTGTGCTAAGGCTAGACCAGCCACTGCTGGCTGTGGGTAGCTCCGCCCGCTAGGAAGCTGCCTCTCTGGTTAAACCTGGGTCCTGTCATTCTCCTCCGACAGGTGGACGGCATCCTGAAAACCGTGCTCCGGGACGAGATCATCGCCTGGCACAAGAAAACGCAGGAGGACACCTCCTCTCCTCTGTCGGCCGCTGGGCAGCCCGAGAACATGGACAGCCAGCAGCTGGTGTCCCTGGTTCAGAAAGCTGTTACCGCCATCATGACCCGCCTGCACAACCTTGCCCAGTTTGAAGGTGGCGAGAGCAAAGTGAACACCCTGGTGGCCGCCGCGAACAGTCTGGACAACCTGTGCCGCATGGACCCCGCCTGGCACCCGTGGCTGTGACCGCGACTGCTCCCACCCGGAATGTGAAGGGCGCCTTGGGCTCCCCGCCGGCTGGTTTTTATGACTCGTCGCTGCCTTGCTGGTAATTTTATGTACGAAAGTCCTGCCGATTTCCTGGGTGGTTATTTTCCTGACAGCGTGTGTGTGTGAAAAGAGGGAGAATTTAGTTTTAGAGAGAGCTGAACTGCTGTGACTCACGGCAAGGCGGCCAGAAATGGCAGAGCTGAAACTTCCCTAGACTTTTAAAATAATCTCTTAAGAAACCCGATTGTCCAGTCGGGAATCTGTTTGTGAATCCTTTTTTACGGCATCCCTGCCGCCATGTGAATGTACAGACAGCTCGGACAGCGGCGGGCAGCTCCGGCCCGGCCGTTTTTAACTCTTTCAAAAAGAACACCTCACAGCAGCCGCGTGCTTTTGTACAGACCTTTGTAACCAGTGTACAGAAACCCACTTTGTTAGAGAAACAGGAAATTATGAACACACCGTGCTGGCTTTTCTCTGAGCACAGACTCTTCTGCTGTATGTAGGTGGCATTGGGGATCGCGAGTGTTGGCACGGAGTGACCTGGCTCTGCCACCTGGGGGGCCGTTCCTCCTCCATTTGGGTTTAGATTCAGCAGGGGGACAGGACCACGAGAGTTGGCAGGTGAATCTTGTGCTTTTTATTGCGGGCTCTTCGGATGTCTTCTAGACATTTACTATCATTGTACCTGGAAAAAAAAATCATTTTTCTCTTCTTAATTTAAAAAGAAAAAATAGCAATGAAAGTTTAACTCCAGTCTTTCTGTTACGTTCACGTTTTTATAAAACTGAGCATTGAGAATGTTCTATCTAAATTTGTACAGTGTGATTTTTTTTTTTTAGAATAAATATTTTATAAAAGGATTTGTTGTCCCTTATTTGTGTTAAAATGCTTGTTTCTGTGGGACATTTCCTCACCCTCGACATCCCTGAATCGAAAAGGGCGTGCCCACTGGCACGTGCTGGGTTTCTTCAAGGAGACACCTTTTACGAGTCACGAGGACGCCTCCACAAGGCCCCTTCTCTGGGCCCAAAGCCTCTCCGGGCCCCTGACTCTTTCTTGCCTTCCCCTTGCTCCCCTGTCATCCCAGGCTACCATGGGGTGATGCCTGCAGCTGAGTTTACGCAGATCTCACTGCAAAGTCAAGTCTCAGGGGCGTGACCAGATATCCGCTGGGGGGCTTTAGGCCGTGGTTGTGTTGCTGGGATGTGACCTGGATCCAAGCTCATGCAGCGGGCGGTGCCGATAGCTGCAGTGGGAGCTCCGGCCTCAGCCCAGAGGGGCTGCTCCCCACCTTACAGAGAAGAGATTTCCAGCCCAGAGGGTGAGTAGCTTGTCCAAGGCCCAGAGCCAGTGGAGAAATGTTTTGACCCTGTTCAGCATGACTCCGAGCCCCTAGACTGCACCCTGGATCCCAGGTTAAGGCTGAGGGGCCAGGCTTTGCCCACCTGACGAGACTCTCCCGTTTGTTCTTTGCAGCTAATTGTAAGTTACTTTCCAATTCCTTAGAGCTATCTGTGGATTCTGGGATGATGGGAGCCACGCATCTAAAATGATGAGCAAGTGCACGCTCAGCTCCACGTGAATCTGGCAGCATCAGGCCTGAGTGGGGAAGGGGCCTCCCCATAGTCCTCACTGTGTGTACAACACGGTATGAGCCACTGTTTGGGCTGCCTTTGCACTCTGGGAGAGCCTAGCATGGTACTGGTGGAGGTGTGTGGGTGGCATTAAGGTGAGGGAACATTTGTCTCTTACCCTAGAGAGTTGGAGTCTGGAGCCGCTGCTGCTGGAGAGGAAGAGGCCTGGGTCTCCTGCCAGGTTCACCCACACAGTGGCTCAGGTGCTGCCCTTGGTGGTTGGGAAGCCAATCTTTAAACAGCTGCAGCAGGAGACAGTCACCCCAGTGAGGATCAAGCATCTTCTGAGCTCCAACTCAAGGACCCAGAGTCGGGGGACCTGGAGCCAGCACCTTGGTGGCCATGCACCCCAGCTTCCTCACCCCAGCACAGCATTACTGGAGTGGGGCCCCTAGGAGGCTGCAGCTCTGGAGCTCTGACAAGTCTGGGATGGGGCTCATTTATGGGGCCACTCACATCACATGCCCTGATTCTCCAAACACCATTTCACAGTAAGTGCTGTTATTAGATATGTTTTTATTGTGGCAAAATACATATAACAAAGTTTATCATTTTAATCAGTTTTAAGTGCGCAGTTCAGTAGCATTAAGCAGATTCACATTGTTATGCAGCCATCACCACCGTCCATCTCCAGAACTTTTCCATCTTCTCAAACTGAAATTCTGTTCCCATTAAACACACCCCATTTTCCTTCCTCCAGCACCTGGCACCTACCCTTCTACTTTCTGTGAATATGACTTTTCTGAGTAAAATCCACAATCATACAATGTAAGTTGAATTCTTTGTGTCTGGCCTTATTTCACTTAGCATGAGTCCTCAAGGTTCAACCATGTTGCAGCATGTGTCAGAATTTTCTTCCTTTTTAAGGCTGAATTACATGCTGCTGTGTATATATACTACATTTTGTTCATTTATTCATTTGTTGATGGCTTGCTTCTATCTTTTGTCCACTGGGAGTAATGCTACTATGAATACAGGTGTATAAATTTGTTCATGTTCCTGCTTTCATTTCTTTTTTAAAAAATATTTACTTAATTTTTTTGCTGTTGTTGTTGGAGTCAGGGTCTTACTCTGCCACCCAGGCTGGAGTACAGTGGCACAATCATAGCTTAGTACAATTTCCAACTCCTGGCCTCAAGCAATCCTCCTGCCTCAGCCTCCCGAGTAGCTGGGATTACAGGTATGCACCACTGTGCCCAACTAATTTTGTAAAAATTTATGTAGAGTGTCTATGTTGCGCAGACTAGTCTCAAACTCCTGGCCTTGAGCCAGGATCCTCCCACTTCAGCCTCCCAAAGTGTTGGGATTACAGGTGTGAGCCACCACACCTGGCCCTGCTTTCAGTTCTTTTGGGTATGTACCCAGAAATAGAATTGCTGGATCATATAGTAATCTTATTTTTAATTTTGTGAGGCACTGCCATACTGTTTTCAATAACAGCTGTACCATTTTACACCAGCAATATGATGTTTCCAATTTCTCTACAATGTTGTCAACACTTGCTATTTCTGTTTTTTGTTTTTTCATAACAGCCATCCTAATGAATGTAAAGTAGTATCTCATTGTGGTTTTGATTTGCATTTTCCTCATGATTAGTGATGTTGAACAAATTTTCATATGCCTATTAGCCAATTGTATATCTTCTTTTGAGAAATGTCTATTTAAGTCCTTTGCCCATTTTTGAATTGGGTTGTTTTTGTTGTTGAGTTCTTTATATAGTCTGGATATTAATCCCTTACAGATGTACGATTTGCACATGTTTTTTTCCCATTCTGTAGATTGCCTTTTCACTCTGTTGATAGTGTCTTTTCATGTGCAAAAGTTTATAATTTTGATGTAGTCCAATTTATCTATTTTTTCTTTTGTTGCCTGCGCTTTTGGTATAGTATCAAAAAATCATTGTGAAATCCAATGTAATGAAGCTTTTCCTCTAGCTGTTTTATAGTTTTAGCACTTGTGTTTAGGTTGATTCATTTTGAGTTAATTTACATAACATATGGGTCCAACTTCTTTTGCTTGTGGATCTCCAGTTTTCCCAGCACCATTTGTTGAAAAGACTGTCCTGTTGAAAAGGGTCTTGGAAAAAAAAAAAAAAAAAAAAAGGGTCTTGGCACCGTTATCGAAATTCAACTGACTGTATGTGAGAGTTTATGCCTGGGCTCTCTGCTCTGTTCCATTGATCTGTTTGATGTTATGCAGGCACCACACTGTTGTGCTTACTGTAGCTTTGTAGTTAAAATTAGAAATCAGGATGTGTGATTCCTCCCATTTTGTTCTTCTTTTTCAACATTGTTTTGGCTACCTGGGGTCCCTTACAATTCCATATACATTTGAGGGTGTATTTTTTGTTTCTGCCAAAATGTTGGGGTTTTGATAGCGATTGTATTGAATCAGTGTGTAGATCCCTTTGGGTAGTAATGACATCTTAACAACATTAAGTCTTCCATTTCATAAAAATGGGATCTTTCCATTTACTTGTGTTGTCTTTAACTTCTTTAAGCAGCAGTTTAGTTTTCAGTATGCAAATATTTTGCTTCAGTGGTTAAGCTTATTCCTAAGTATTTTATTCTTTTTAGTGCTACTGTAAATGGAAATATTTTCTTAATTTTCTCACTGGATCTTTCTTTGTTAGCGTATAGAAACCCAATTAGTTGTGTGTTGATTTTGTATCCTACAACTTTATTGAATTTGTTTATTCTAATGGTTTCTTTAAGCTTTCTTTATACTTTTCTATAAACATGTTATCTAAAAACAGATAATTTTACTTCTTCTTTTCCAATTTGGATGCTTCCCCACTCCCTTGCCTAATTGTTCTGGCTAGAACTTCCACTACTGTGTTGAGAAGTGGCAAAAATGGGGCACCCTTGTCTATTTCTGATATTAAAGGAAACTCCTGGTTTCCTCTTTCACCACTGAGTAGAATGTTACTGTGGATTTTACATAATGGCCTTTGTTAGGTTGAGGTAGTTTCCTTCTGTTCCTAGTTTGCTGAGTGTTTTTATCTGAAAGGGTGATAAATTTTGTCAAATGCCTTTTCTATATCAATTGAGATGTTCTTGTGGTTTTTCCCCTTCGTTCTGTTAATATGGTGTGTTACATTGATAGATTTTCATTGTTTGGGCCACACTCGTGCATCCCAGGAATAAATCCCAATTTGTCATGGCATATAATCCCTTTAATATGCTGTTGAATTTGGTATGCTAGTATTCTGTTGAAAATTTGTGCATCAATATTCATGAGGAATATCACTTTGTAGTTTTCTTCCCTTTTGGTGTCTTTGACGTTGGTATCAGGGAAATGTCCAAGGTCAAGTTACAGGGCCAGGACTGGATCCCAGGTCCTAGCTATGCTCTCAACAATATCATCCTGCCTCTTGAGGATATAGACATGGGAAGCAAAATGTGTACACATAAAAATAGGTATGTATACATATCTGTATATGAGCGTGAGGTAAAATATGGAAGACAGTAATAAGCCAGGACACTCAGTCACAAAGTCACATGAAAATGAATTCTGCAAACAACCTGGAGGAGCCTGCAAGATTCTTACCTGGTTGAGCCTTGAGATATGAATATGGTCTGACTAACACCTTGACTGCAGCCTTGTGAGGCCCTGAGCAGAGGATCCAAATAAACTGTGAAATAAAGGTGTATACACTGTGCATGCCTAGGGAAAAATGCAGCCTCAAAGAAGACCTGAGATGAATTTAAGCTTTCGCCTCAAGCTGAGCAGAAGATACCCTTAACAGTCAGTGTGAGGAGAAGTGAGTAAACACTGGGAAAGAGGAGAATCTTAATTTCTAGAGTTACATTATGAGATTAAAATGTTGATTTTTGAACAACAAAAAACCCTCAAGGCATACAAAGAAATAGGAAAGTATGGCACAAAGAAACAAATCAACAGAAACTATCACTGAAGAAGCCCTGACAGCAGATTTACTAGACAAAGACTTTAAAACAATTATTTAAAAGATGCTGAAGGAGCTAAAGGAAGACACCAACACAAGAAAACAATTTATGAATAAAATGAGAATATCAATAAATTATAAAAGGAAACAAAATTCTGAAGCTGGAAAGTATAATAACCAAAATGAAAAATTCCCTAGAGTGCTTCAAAAGCATATTGAAGCAGGAAGAAGGAAGACTCAATGTATTTGAAGATAGGGCTGTTAAAACTATTGAATCTATGAAACAAAAAGAAAAAAAATGAAGACTAACAAAAACCAAAGGGACATGTGGGGCAGAAAATGTCTTAAATTTGACAAAAAACATGAATTGGCAAATTCATAGAGACAGAAAGTAGGAGGAGGTTATCAAAGGCTTAGGGAAGTGGGAAGAGGAAGCTATTGGTTAATGAGTACAGTGTTTATTTGGGGATGATGCAAATGTTTTTGGTACAGACAGTAGGGATAGTTACACAACACTGTGGATGTATTTAATGCCACCAAATGGTACACTTTCCAGTGGTTCAGTTCATGATATTATGTATACAGTCATCCCTCAGTATCATGGAGGACTTTTTTCAGGACTTCCTATGGAGACCAAAATCCACAGATGCTCATATATCAGTCCCTGATATAAAATGGTTGTAGTATTTGCATAAAACTATGTACGTCCTCCTGTATACTGTAAATCACTTCTAGTTACTTATAAAACCTAATACATCATAAATGCTATGTAAATAGCTATTGAACTGTACTGTTTAGGGAATGACAAGAAAAAACTCAATACATGTTCAGTACACACATAATCCATTTCTTTTTTAATATTTTTGGTCCTTGCTTGGATCCATGGATGCAGAACCCATGGATATGGACAGCTGACTGTATTTTTACTATGATAAAATATTTTTTAAAAACCTTCAAACCAACAAATATGACTAATGTACAAAGAGAAGTCAACAATTCTAAACTTTTCAATCCCACAAGTTACTGCTTGATAGAATGCTTTCAACTGACTACCATATTCCCAACACTTTCTATTAACAATTCTATCGCTAACTTTGTCCTTTTTCCTCAGATGGCCCCTGGTATTTGGTATTTCTGACCAAATGGTATAATATGACTGAAATTCTGGCCTTTAGAATAAACTCGGCAAACTAGTCAATGGTATTTCTGACCACTGACTTCCTCTCTGGGATGGTAAAGAAACTGGAATCTCATTTCCACACCAAAATAACACACACCCAAAATGTAAAGTTGTGAGTTTATTGCATATGTAACAAAATGAACCTGACCTCCCGGGTCCAGCCTGCTGTACAATCACTGTTTGTTTTGTGTTTCCAGCTGGTTCCATAACCATGTTAAATAGAACTAGTATTTCTTTAAATACTTTTGATTTTTGACATAAAACAACATTAGTGTACAACTTTCACAAAATAAATCAGCAATAAAAACAGTGGGAAGAATAACAAGGATAGCAGCAATACTTAAAAACAAGACATTACAAAATAAATTAAAAAATACATTATAAAGTGGTTGAGAAACAAAAATAAACAAATCTTAAAAATTCATACTATGTTTCGGGAAGGCTGCCGTGCGGCACACACCTGGCTGCAGGTGGGATGGGGGCGGCGTCTTCTCTGCAGAAGGCCATTCCTATCGTGTCAGACTTGCTGACCGCCTAGCCTGAATTTGGACCACACGGCTGAATAAGCTGAGGGGTCAAAACTCGATCTGGTGGCAGATACTCCTTCAGAACTCAGGAGAGCTGTTCCCTGTCACCCCACGCGCCCCAGGCAGCCCTGGCCTTTCCTACGGAAGCACTGGCAGAGGGGTGGTTTGCTACGTCCCTGAGTGTCGGCTGATGACCGCTGGTGAGGACAAGCCTGCAAAGTCGCGCCCCTGAAGCATCGAGGCAGAGGGGCAGGGGGAGTGGGTGGGTCGTCTGGGACCACTGAGAGGGGCGACAAACGAGATCACACATGAATGGGCTTCACGCAGACCCAAAGTGGAGCAGTCAGGAGCTCTGACCCCTTGCTTGCCACCTTGTGTTCTTTGGGGTGGTTTAAAAAGACCAAACCGTTGTAGGTATTTAAGGTTCTGGAAGTGCAATGCCACCGACGGAGAGGCCTGCTTGGGAAGAGTGAACTGGAGCTCTGAAAAGGTCTGTGACACTCACACAGCTATGGCGGTGCCCGAGAAGGGGGCGGCAAACCCACTCGCAAGTGCAAGTAGAAAAGCAGAGACGAGGCCTGTGCGGGATGGGGACTTGTGTCTGCCAGGCCAGAGAGGAGGCCCCTCTAGGCGCAAGCGACACCTGACCCACGAGAGGCAGCACCGACCGGCATGGGGCTGGTGGATGTGGCTTCTAAGGCTCGCCCCTACTCCTCCCAACAGCAAGAAGGTAGTTTTAAAGGCATCAAATGCAACATTCCTGCTTCAAAGTCTTTAAGCCACGAGACCCTGGTTTCCTTCCTAATGACTGCAGATCTGGGGCGACACCACCAGGCGGCGCCTCCAAGTCAGTTCTCTGATAGCTCCTTTCTGCCTCCCTCCGTGTAGGCTCGTGTTTGGGAGCAGAATCTCGGGGGGAGGTCTGGAATTTTCATTTCCTCACCTTCAAGAGGAAGATTAAGGGAAGACTGGATAGTCTCACTGGGGAACCAGTTTCTAGAACACCCTCAGAAAGCGTCACTGTGAGTGACACACCAGGTAAGCCCGGGGCAAGGCAGAGTTTGTGGAAGAGACTGAGCCTGCAATTTGGCCTGGACTTTTTGAATGGATTAGACTTTCCTCCTGCAGCAAGTCCCACTTGGCATCCCTTCTATTCTAGAAGCTCAGCAGCGCAGAGGTGTGGCTCTCTTGCAGCTCTCGGAGCCGGCGGCACAGCAAAGGGGGCAGACCTCTCGTTCGGGGGAGAGTCTGTGACCTGCAGCGCTGAGCAGCCCCACATCAACCCCAAACCACTTCTGGGGCAGGGAACGGAGCCACAGCAGGATGCAGGGCAAGTGTCCCTCCAAAGCCACCACCACGGTCTACAGGTAACAGTAACAAAAAAGAACAGATAAAACAGTCGTCCAAAAGGTCCTTCCTAGGCCACCTCAGCCCCACAGCTGGAGCCCAATGCTCAACTCCAAGACTTTGGCAGCAGTGAAATGTCTCGCTAGAGGATTACCCTGTACTCGCCCCCACCCCCAAACAAAACAACAAACCATACAGGAAAATTTGTCGCTGCTGCTGTTTTTCACTGAAATTTAGCTATCTGAAATCAAGCCACTTTAAGATAAAATACTGTTTGAACTTTTATGCAAATTGGAAATGGTGTTAGAAACTTTGAGTCTAGGCTTGCTTTGGCCTTGCTCGTCATACAAAGACACTTAGGCAAGTGAATCGAATAGCAGTTGTTAGTGTCGCCATCTGCCATTGGGGAAAGGGCCAAATGAGTCAGTGTGTTGTTCCCTCTGCGGCCACAGGTTTGCATCCATGCCCTACTTTTTATAAAACAAGAACACTTTGGGAGGATTTATGTCACGGAGGTCACCCTTTCCCCCTTGCTTTTAAGCTAGTGCACATCAAGGCAGCAGCTATGATAACACGATATTGATTTGTTAGTTTAGCTCTCAGCAATTACCACATCATAGTTTGTTAATATTTTTAAGTGACATACTCAATGTTCCTCTACATACAACGGTGGCATAGGAGTCACAACTTTGGGACTGACTGGTTGGCTCTGGGGCTGGTTTGGGTCTGTTCTTTTATAAGCTCTGTTAAGTGATGTTTTCTCTGGAAAAATTTCAGATAATGCAGCAAAAGGGACTCTTAAAAGGAAAGATCATTTTTCTTTGTGCAAAACAAAATTTTCAGCCAGGATACCCTGAAAATAAAATACCCTGGGCCTCCAGTGAAAGCTGCTCCAATTCCTTCACCTTTCAAAGGGGAAACACGTTTTGACTCAGGCTTCCTGCTGTGGCAGAATTCCAATAAGCATATATTGTTCAGTTAGAAATTAATCTGCTACCCAGAACAGGCGTAGAGGATGTGAAATTTGGAATCTGAGCTCTGGTAAGATTTCCAGCAGCTGCGGGATGTGGAAAGGGGCCTCGAGGCTGTTTGAGATGGAATAATTGGTATCGCTACCAGCTCCAAGCCCTCAAGAAGCCCAGCTCAGTCCCCCATCTGTGGGTTGGTTGATGCTCCTGTAAAGCGCACGGGGCCATGAGCCTTATCACCACGTGGGCTGCAACCACCGCAGAATATCCTGTGTGACCAAGGCCAAAGGCTAAACCTGGCTGCATTTTATTGGATGGGTGATGGAAGGGGGTTGGGAGTACTATAATAAAGGAGGGATATATGGGTGGGAGCCACCAATGAAAGTCTCCTGTCCCCCTCCCCCAATGAAAAGGAGGGAGACAACCCTTTTCCCTCAGGTGATCCGGAATTCCAGGGCCTCAGCCAGCTTCGCGGGAGGCACGCAGAAGCTGTATGCTTTTGGTCTGGTGGTCGTGAGCTAGACTCTGTTGCCTTTGGTTGCTCTTCACTCTACAGCAAACCCACAGGTCTCCTCCACGGCTGTCAGCAGCTTCTCATAGAGCTTCTCATAGGATTCATAAGGTGGGATGTCGATCCGGTTAAAGCTGGAGAAGGACCAAGGAGCAAGAGTCAGTCCACCCCTAGGACCGGCTTCAAGATCAAGGACAGGCAGCTCTAGCAGTGTGTGGGAGATGCGTGGATGAGGGGCAACGAGAGGGGTAGCGTCTAAGCATCTCATTGCCCGGTTTGCAGGGCAGGGGGTGGAAGTGAGTCCTCCACTTTCCCATTGCTCTTCTGCCTCTAATGCTAAGAGTTTTTAATCAACACATAGCAAAATAAATCTTAAGACCTTGAAAACCAAAATAGAACCAAATTACTATTTATTGCTTATATTAGGACAACGCTATCAACTTCTTTGTCTTTGGAAGAAATTATTAACTACTCCTCTATATCGGGAATACCCCCTTGACAGACTCCTGGGATCCAGACAGGCCGTCAGTCAAGTCAGCACTAACAACTGATTGTGTATCTGTCTATTCCTCTGGGACTTGATCTGAGACCAAAATGAGGCAGTCTGGAAAATTCCCTGCAAAAACAAGCTAGATCTTAAAACTAATAAAATGTCAAGTCTCTGAAAGATGAAACAAACACTAAACTTCTGACTCGGTATTTCCAAGGGGAAATTCATTTCTAGTATTTGTGCAAAGAAAAAGTTATCCTTTAGGAAGCTATTATCTTACAACAAATCAAGAAATACAAAATTGTGACCCAGAGGACATTTCGTGTACTACTAAATGAGTAGAGGGTAAGTAATTGAGGGTGGTCTGTGTCGAGAAAGAACTGGTTTGATGGCAGGCACTCTTCTTCTGGAGCTTTAGCATCAGAGGATATTTTTCACAGCCATTACTCCCAGCGCTGAACTATTAAAGGACAAAAGCTTTATGAGGAGCACAGCCGCCATGCGTCAGTGTGGCGGGTTTCTGTAACAGACACCATAGCCCCACTCAGGGCGGGGCCTTGGTACCCACTACAGTCCAGACCACCTGTTTCGCAGGTGTGGAAAACCAAGTTAGACGTGTCAGAGCCAGCACTGAACCTACACCCTTAGGTTCCAAGTGAGGAACCTTCTATGGCATTGTGCTACATCTCAGCGACATTTGGAACCGGTTCTCCTGGAGTAGACGTGCTGCTCTTCTCAACAAATTGTTCCAAGACAAAGTGTATGTAGGTGATTGGATTTTTAAACCATAAAGGAAATAATCCGCTATGGATATTAATTTTTTAAATTTAGGGAAAAAAATTTTTCAATGGACAAGGCATATCTGTCATAGGCAAAGTTCCCAGAAGGAAAATGGGGACCCAGAAATGTCAGATAAAGACCAATAAATCCCAACTACAACTGCACAGTTTTCCCTACCGACGGGTGTACGAGCACACGTATCTATGCACCAACACCCAGCAAGGATGAAGACTTGAGCTTGGTGGAGTGGTAGCCACAGGCTGTTGCTGAAACACCAATCAATTACACGGCTCACAACAAAATTAGTTTTATAAAAGAGACTTCTGATACCCTTCATCTGTGACATACTGCCAAGTATTCACCCTGTTGACACAAATGCTATTGCCAGTCATTATCTGAGCCTTTGCATAAATGAAACTGCACCTAAAGTCCTACAGATAAGAAAATAGCTTTAAAAAATAACACGAATGACCATGTGCACCAGCACGCACTCAGGACTCGGGAGCACGGTTCTTACCAGGTGTGGGCCTTCGGAAGGTTGTCTGTGTTCGCGTCTATGAGGTGGATGGTGAACAGCCGGGGCCCTGCCGCGCCTGTAGAACCTTACAAGACAACATTCTAGTTAATGCACTTCAGAGGCGGAGCCATGGGGCTTTCCAGCCACACAGCTCCCGTAAGCCAGGGTCCCTCTGGACCACATTCTCAGCCCCACCGCCCAGGCAGGCATCCTGCCAGGGGGCAGTGGAGTTCACGTGCACAGTTTTAGGATATGTCTGTAATGGCCATCAAGGGACAAAATTCTGACATTTGAGAACATCACAGGGGCAGAGCAAAGACTGCTAGGAACTCTCCTAAATACACCCTGACCATGAGCCCCTCCAGTGGGGGTAACTGGGGGCCAAACTTATTTGTACCCACCCTTCTTGGACTAGAGGACTTGCGGACCGATTCTATAGGGCAAGGGTGGGCGTCGGGCTCCACTGTGCCCTTCCTTGCTCAGATCTCTTCAGCTCCGAGTGGACACCAAGCTGGCCAGCAGCCACCACTGCTGCTGCAAAGACGGGGCCAACCCTGGCCGCGCCCTGCCTGCTGGCTGAGGGCTGCCAGACACAGGGCAAGGTGGGTTACGGAGGCCGCTGGCCTCTGTCTTGCTGACATTCGCTCCTACACTTTTACAGATGTTCAACTGGGACACAGGTCAGCAGTAGGACTGGAGGCCAGGAGAGAAGACGGCAAGCAGAGACCACCATCTTTATGGAGTGGAGAGGGTCTCTGGCCGCTGGGAGGTAAGTCCAGCCCCCTCGGCCCTGGGCACCTAGGCGAGGAGTAGGGAGAAGCAGCTCCTCCCTCTCAGGCCACACCCTGAGGCCCATCTCCCAGGGAGATATTCCGCTGGTCCCTGGCCGCCTGGTCTGTATCCCTGCACTTAGATTTCTTGGAATCGAGGAGGCAGTCTCCCGCCCTATCCTGCAGCATCCAGTCCCTTTCCTATCAGGTGACCCCTAGTCACACTGGACCCCTCATATGGGCTGACCTACCTCCTGGAGACTACAGGGACACTTAGCTAACGTCTGTCCAATTGTGGAGGATGTTGCCAAGATATTGTTAAGATCCTTAGTCATAGGGGTGTTTTCTAAACAGGAATGTTTAGCAAGAGGGCCACTGTGGGAAAGACGGTGTGATGTCATCAGACAAGCAAGACTCAGAGTCACAAGACCTGGTTCCCTGCCCTGGCTCTCCGCTCACCACCCTACTGCTTCTTCCTGGGGGCAAAAATAAATCCTATGACCTCAGTGAGTCTCAGTTTCTTCATCCATGTCATGGAGAGAAGAATCCCTGCTCAGACAGGCGCTCTGGGCTGGAGGAGACTGAACGAGAAAGGGCCCTAAGAGCAGCTGGCCCACATACAGGCTGGGAGGTTCTCATCTAGAACCCTCTGTGATGCTTGCAGAGCCCCCTGCAGAAATCCCACAGGCAGAAGTCACTATGGAAAACACATGAGTATCCTCAGGACCAAAGCCAAGGGAAATGGGATTAACCTCCTTTTATCCAACAAGGTTCTCCAGAGCCAGAGGCAGCACTGTATCTGCAATATATCTATACGTCTCATAGCATCTAAAGTTCACTATGTTAACCTTCACCTTACTCCTTCCAGCAACACTCCTAAGTGCAAGAGATGACATGTTAGGCCGCCTACCTAACGTGTCCCTAACAGGCACTTTTGGACCTTTCCTATGGAATTCCATCCCACATACAGTGACATCGGTGGCTTAAACAGAGTGAATGTGACATCCTCCTTCAGTGTGGTTCATGGCTAAACAGGAGTTTATCTACAGCCTCAAGCTGTGGGACCACCGAGACACGGGTGGCCACCCACAACCCTCCAACCTGGGTCCTGGGGTCCAAGCTGGCCTCGCAGAGGCGCATAGTGACGGCCTCACCAGACACCCAAAAGGCCCCTGCTGGTCAAACCCTTCTTGGCGTTTTGGAAGCAGGGAGGAGGTGGGAACCCCCGTGCCCCTGAATGGCTCCACGGTCTTTCCTCAGTGGGGCCTCCGCACCTGCTCACAGACCACACAGCACCTGCTGCGGGACCCCGTGTGGTGCTGAGCATTCGTTCCCGTCATTTTCTAGTGGATGTTTCAGAAAAACATCCCAACCATCTTCCTGGACCAGCCTAGCACAGAGCATGCCCAGTGCAGACGCTTGATTGAATGGCCCTGCCTCCACGTCAGTCACCTTGCAAAGCCTTGAAGCCTTGGAGAGGGACTCTTGTGGACCCAGTCACAAACTGCAGGAGCCGGGCCCTCCTTTCTTCATCAAACGTCTCCACCGCCTGCCAGAACCACCTGACGATGTTGCTGTCAGCCACACAGTGCTTCAGCCGCGTGTTCGACTTCCAGTCGTTCAGGTCGATTTTATCCAGGCCGCCTATTATCAACTGCGAAGGTGACAACAGAAGAGTTACTTCCAGAATGTATAAGCCAATGTCCTGCCATGCCTCCTGGGTTCCCACTATACGAAAGGAGTTAAAAACTTTGTTCCCAAGCAAAGCAGCAGCTATGTCCAAGTACACTACACAGAGCTGACGTGGGAAGAAGCTATAAATTCACAGTAAGCCTGAGGCACCAAGCCTGTCTTCCTGCCTCCTCCAGGCTGGCCTTCAACCTGAGCACCTCGGGGCACAGCTACCGATACCATGCTACCTTATAAGCAAAGTCGGTGTGTTTGTCTGCACTGCAGGGGAGGAAGGATCAAAGAAGCAACCGGCAAGACTGAACGGAGCTAACCGCAAAGGGCACGGTGGCCTCTTCGAGACACTCCAGGACAGGTGGAGTTTCAAGTCTGGGATCGGGGTAGACGGAGCATGTTTCTGCAACTTGTTGGAAAAGTACACCCCAGAACTACCGCTCCATCCAAGGGAGCTTGCCTTGGCCTACAAGCTCTTGGTGCCTCGCTGGTAGCAAAAAGACTACAAGAACAATCTGGAACGCTGAGCTATTTAGTACCAGACAGCGATGGCTGAGGGATGAATGAATCACTATGTTCAAGTACACGAAGTCTGACTAGAGAAGACAATAACACTTTGTTCTTAGTCTGGTACTAACCAAAATAAAAACAAAACGTTGACACTGTTGGAGAACTTGGTTATATATGAGATAATTCCCCTGATCAGAGATGACTACACGGGAGCAGGCTAGACTGCCCCCCGCTAGACAGCCTGGAATAGGAGAGGCCACAAATGCCAGGAACAACTTCCCGAGAGTGGTTCGGGTTTACTGCCGCCAAGGGGACACCGCACCTGTTAACGCACGGGCACCAACACCCTTGCCCTTCCCTGTGTTCTGGGAACCCTGGCAGGCTGCCGGGCCTACCGGGGAGAGCGCAAGCCTCACTCTGCAGCAGTGATCGAAAACAGCAAACTCTGGCCCCACCAGAACCCTTGAATTCCCTGAGTTGACTCTTCACGCCACACACCTACCTCTAGTTCCTTCTGGTCGAAAGGCTTCAGTAGGTGCTGGGGAATGAGTTCATTGAACCCTTTCTGAAGAGCTAAGAACTGGGCTTCAATTCCTCTCATAAACCTCCAATTTACATACAACCTGGAAGAAAAACTCGCAGGTTGGAAGCAGTACCACACAGATTTCTCCCCATTAGCAGGTTTTGATATCACAATCCAACAAATGCATGAACACGACGCAGACAGACCCGCAGAGCTGACACTGGCCCCCTCCAGCCCTCCCCATCGCAGGCAATGCTGAGCCTTAGCGTCGAGTTAAAAATGAACTGGAATATGCTGTGCTTTCTGATTCTTTACTAAAAACAGTGAGCTTTAACCTGTTACAGCAACTGCTGTAATTTGAAAGTATATGTGAAAGGACCACAAGGGACGGCGTGAGATCACGTGTCAGTCCGAGCACAGACGTGCCCTCACGCTTCTCAACTGCACCCAGTCCCTGGTGTGGAATCGCCTTGAGTGGGAGGCGACAAAGAGACTGTGGAGTAGCGTCCTCGACCGAGCCCAAGGACCCTCCCGGCTGCTGTCTCCTGCGCTCCCCATCTCTGTACTCAGAATCCAGTGGTCACTTCAAAGTCCCTCCCTCGCCTGGGCTCTGTCCCTTTGACAGGCCAGCCCTGGACTGCTCAGGGCCCCCAGCAGCTCCCCCACTGCTGCTGCTGAGCCTGACGGTTTCTGAAAGTCACCTCCCTTAATGTGACTTGGTCACAAGTGCTATCAGGGACAGGGAGGCCTCACACAGCAAAGGAGCTACAAGAATCTAAACCTGATGCCAGGATGGCCCCAGGCAGCTGGCTGTTCCCCTCCGGCGACCCCTGAGGCTGCCCAGGACATTACCGGACATATTCTTTCTTGTTTTCCTCCGTGACGGGCACATTTCTACCGTTGGGCTTCAGTTCGTGCTGAAGGATGCGCCCAAAAGCATTGTGCTCCACGCAGAACGTGTGGTCCAGCACGGGGGTGATGTCGTTCTCTCTGTCGAAGGAGGGCAGAAGACAAGGCCTGTTAAAGCTTTGCTACCACCCAGCAAGGAAGGGAACATTATGTGGCACGGTCAGGGAGTGGCGGGGAGAGAAACACAGTGTTTACAGACTGCCAGACCCAAGGCTGTGAGGGGAGAAGAGGACACCTCGGTGGACTCAGCCCACATGTGGGCGGGACAGCGCCTGGGACCGGGAGACAGCTCTGCTCCAGATGTCCCCCGCTCTTGGCTTTCTCACTTATAGAAGGAGGGTGACAGTCGCTCTACCGTTCTGTGATTTTATGAGACTGCAGCCCACTTGCTTTGTAAGCCGAGGCTGGGAGCAGGAGGAGGAAATGTGGACGAGGCAGCGAAGTCAAAGGGAACAACTGAGAGCGCCGCGCCAAGGAAGCGCTGCCTCCCCCTGAGGCAGCCTGTCACACGCAGCGGTTGGAACACAAAAGCCCTTGAAACTGGCTCTTTAATCTGCTGTTTTTCTGGAAACCTAGGCAGAGTGAAAGGTTTTCTATGCCATGAAGGCCGACTCCCGCACTGGAACATGTGAACTCGGCACAGCTGGAAGCCCCTGTTCGGCTCAGCTCGTCCTTGTCCCTTCCCCTGGCCGCAGCCAGGATATTGCTTCCTGCGCAGTCAGCTCTTTCATAAGGATCTGTGACACCTTGGTACATCTCATCACTGTGCCAACTGCTTTTAAAAGAGCTCTGGTTAGAATAATTCTAAAGCAAATGGAACTAAATATTAATTTTGTTTTGATACTCTCTTGGCCCCTCTATAGATTAACTGGAGACACTCTAGAGTGTCCATCTCTCACACACTCGCCTCCCCGCCAGGCCTCGGGATCCGCCTGGTAACATTGTGATCTTACCTCAATAATTCAAGGAAATGACTATAGAAACTGGCCCAATGTCATGAGAAAAAATAAGTCAAATATTTGTTAAATCTGCTTTTTTGTTTCTGGTTATAATATAATGGTCTGTTTCTCACCCATCCCCAATAAGCAACAAACGTAGTGGACTCGCACGTGCATTTTCAATGAACTGAGCGGTGACTCGGTACTTACAGAATCCACACTAAGCTCTTATGGAGCTCGGGGTCCACCGATTCCAAATCCGAGAGCTGGATGGGCTTCCCCAGCAGCTGCTTATAGAAGGGCACGGTGAAGCCCCCGTTGATGTAGTGTCCGTGGAACACAGCCAGGCCCATGATCCGACCCACGAAGTGGAAGTAAGACAAGTGGTCCTGTAGGCGGCACCAGAGAACACGAGTTCGTTAGAAACGGGCCTGGCCAATGCGGCGTCTTGTGCTTTCTCCAAGCTCCTTGCAGAGCTGTCTCAGAGCCAACCAGACTCTGACTCAGTTTCCTATAGGCTCTTCTCATGACCAGATGGAAGACAGCTGCTTGGGCAGTCAAACTTTAGAGCACATCTTTTGTATGGACTAGCTGGACAGCAGCTTGTATGTTCTTGGGTGCAGCACCTTCTCCTCAGAACTGCTGGAAAACTTGCTGGGCCCAGTGCGAAATGAAAATGTGGAGCCCTTTGTTCAAAAATGATTGAGAAATTCAACCCAGTGACAGCAGAGAATCAAACCAAGCATGGGGGCCTTCGCAGTGGTGGGGCACAGCCTTGTGCAGATTGCATGCCTGGGAAGCTGGCTTGTTTTTCCTTCCCTTTCCACCCAAAAGAAAAGGGCAGTTCCCCTCCTTCCTCCCCCTCCCTCCCAGTCCCCATCCCAAAAGAAAGAAGAAATCCTAAAGGGTGGCAGGGCAAGGAACACAAAGGAAAATGAGTAAAAGAACCATCCTAGAACCAAAGCTGTTCTGGTTTTTAACTAAGGAGCCTCACATTTCTACTTTCAGGTTTGAATTATAATCATCTCAGAAAACTAGTCAAGACTTTGCTTCCATGTTGGTAACAGGCTCTTTCACATTTGAATGTTCAATAGAGCTTGTCCCCGACTTCGCCTTGGTGGTCTGTACACAGCACTGAGGACGGACGTGGGCCCACTGAGGAGTCCTCCATTGGCCAGCTGCCACCTTCACATTTATTTCCTCACCTTTAAAACAAGCATGCTAAGGATGTCAGCATTTGTGGTTTTAAAAGCCAAGTATGGAAATATTCGAATTTTGACTAGGAAGGGGATGGACTTTGTAACCCACTTCTCAGAATGACACCTTAACAAATATGGCCATCGTACCAGAGTTCCCTCAAACAGCAATGAAGTGTTCTGAGCGAGTGAACAGCTCAATCTCACCCTACCTATCCTCCTTCGAAACAAATCCCCAATGACCCGATGCTGACATGCAGGATGGAAATCCTCCATCTTCACTCCCTCCTCACTCTACCTTTCAATGTTCTATTTACCATTGTCTTTGATTAAGTCTACAATGAATAAACCAAGAATTGGGACTGAAACTGAAAATCCATCTTAAAAACTCTCCAGCTAAATCCCCACCTCTTTATTCATTCATACTTACAGGGTTGATTGAAGAATCTGGATTGATTTGCAACATGTAAATATTGTCCGTAGAATACTGGAAGAGTCCATAATACGGATTCAACATCTCATGGCACAGCAAATAAAGCCACTCCCTAGGAACAACAAAAATGTGCTCGAATTCCTAGTTCTAGATCTTAACAGCACTGATTCATTATGCTTTTGAAGACCAAACTAGTATAACGTGAGATGGGCAATTGGTCAGGGCACCAGGTCTGAGAGGATGCATCGTACAGGTTGGGAAAGCAGTGTCCGGAAGAGCACCCAGAGCAACTCACGAATACCCAACTCTTATTCCTCACCACAAAATGACCACAACTCCAATAACACATCTGCAGCTGAGAACGAACTAGAATTAGCGCAACTATGGAAGGCAGTGTTCTCCGCTGAAGTTCACTTTTCAGCTTCCCTACACCTCACCTAAGTTTTTCTCTGATACTTCACAAAGATCAAAATTGTATGATTCAGATGCTGTGATCAAAATCTCAGGTAATGATGTTAATGATGTGGTATTAATTTGCAAAAGTGTAATTAAAAAGTAGTTTGCCATTCTACTAAGTGATGTATCTCAAAATGGAAAAATAAGCACCACATGTACTCACCAGCAAATTGGTATTAATGGATCAACACTTAAGTGGACATATAGGAATAACATTTATCGGGTGTCAGGTGGGGGGGGCGGGGGGAGGCAGGGGCACTATATGTAACCTTAATATTTGTACCCTCATAACACGCTGAAATAAAAACAAAGACAAAAAACAAATAAACAAAAAAGTAGTTTGATCCTACTTTAACAGTAGGGGACTTGAGTATTAGGATTCTGGGTCATTTTCATTTTTCTTTTGCTAATTTCTAGTTTCTAAATTTAAATTTTAGTTTTTAAATTTTAAGTTTTAAATGTTTCAAAGTCTAGGGAAGTAGAAGAGTGGTTATTTAAGAATGACTTTTGGGGCAACAGAGCAAGACCCTGTCCACCACACAAAAAAAGAATGACTTTTGCCCTTCATAATTTTTTGTCAAAGTCTTATTTTTTTTTTTTTTTTTACCACAAACACTTATCACTTTAATAACTTTACAGTTTAAATCTTAAAAACAGCCAGCCGGGCGCGGTGGCTCATGCCTGTAATCCTAGCTCTCTCGGAGGCCAAGGCGGGCGGATTGCTCGAGGTCAGGAGTTCGAAACCAGCCCGAGCAAGAGCGAGACCCCGTCTCTACTATAAATAGAAATAAATTAATTGGCCAACTAATATATATAGAAAAAATTAGCCGGGCATGGGGGTGCATGCCTGTAGTCCCAGCTACTTGGGAGGCTGAGGCAGAAGTATTGCTTGAGCCAGGAGTTTGAGGTTGCTGTGAGCTAGGCTGACGCCACGGCACTCACTCTAGCCTAGGCAACAAAGTGAGACTCTGTCTCAAAAAAAAAAAAATCTTAAAAACATTAACTCTAAGAGTTTTAAAATCTGGATGGGGTATGTAAGAATGAGTTATATTATTTTCTGAATTCCTTTATCATTTTATTATTTTTAAAAAATCCAAAATCAAAACCAGTCCAACAAAAAAAGCACTTTAAATAGAAATTGTATGATTCAGTTGCTATGGTCAGGTTGTGATAAGCCCAGGTATAGAGAGGACCCTTATTCAAACACCTGTGCAGTTCTACAAATAACCTTTTATTCTTTCTATTGAAAACTCCTTTCAAATGCATAAATCTCATTAAGACCGCAGCTCCAAATTTTATTCTAGAATTTCTTACTCTTTCAAACAGAAATGAGACAGAATAGGGAAGGATAAATTCAAATGCAAATAATCTGTCCAAGAAAACTGTGAGAATACACAGAAAATGATCAGACCAAGACAGTTATGTATCACACTCAGAATCCCAGAAAGGAACTGCCAGAGGAGATGAGACTCTGAGTCTTACAAAGTTTCTTTACCAGAAAAACAACATCGCTTAGCTTTTATTCACCCCAAGTTTTAGAGTTGAAATTTGATAAGAATCTTTGAAAAAGCCAAGGACCCACAATTGTCTAGACAGGAAGTGATTAAAATACAGGCAAACATTCCAACTGAGCCATAGGCAAGATACAATTAGGTCTGTTCTGGAAGTGGTAAGGGAAGAGCTAACCATAGGCAAGAGAGGCTGCAGGAATGGCTTCAGGGCCAAACACAGGGAAAATCAGTGAGCCTGACTCTCACAGACCAGATAACGAATGCATACGTGCATGTGTGTGATACATGTATAATTGAAATCTCTCTGCACTCTGAGATAGGTGTGATCCCATTTAGACACAAGGAAGACAACGGGGTAAAGTAACAATGCAAGACCAAACTGGAGGTAGAAAAGCTCTTTCTACCCCGGCACCACGTTAATCAAGGGAGCTCCACAAAGACTCATCTCTACATGGACGATTGGAGAACTATGGAAAATGCAGAAGGAGTATCACTCCTACCAAACCAAACCGTGCTATTCACATCCATGCCCAGGAATATATAATACCACCAATGCGAAAGAATAATGGTAAACTGGAACAGTTTGAGGTACTGAACTCTTGAGACATCTTGAACCTATAAAAGAAAAATCATAGACAAGAACATGGAAGTAGTTTTGATTTGAATTGTTAGAATGAACAAACATGAATGACTAAGTAGGAAAATTCTCACGTGAAAAGGGAGGACAGAAAGCCTAAACCTCTTGCCAGGAAACAGATTTAGTGTTGTCAAGGGCAAACAGAAGTTACATTTTTTACCAAAAACAAAAAAAAGATGGTTTCTAGAATCAACATTGAGAAGATCAAGGAAGAAAGTTGAGGTAACTGCCATAGGGCTGAGACTCTGTGTTTTCTAAATGGTGAAGTGTCAGGCTCTCCTATCCTGACTTCCCAAGATGGGGCCACTATTACAGTCCTCATGGGAACGTGGGCCCTCCTTTGTGGCAACCACAAGAGTTGTAGTTTTATATTTACTTGCATAGTCCTTTGATTGATGCCTGTACCTCATCAGACTGAGAACTCCTTTGCATGGGGGTGGGAGAGAGAACATGTCATTTTGCTCACTATTGTAGCCAATACACAGTAGAGTATCTCAGTATTTCATGGTTAATGAATAAACCCAATTCTCACAGAAGCATACAAATTATAGGGGTGCTCCTCTGTAATAAAATTCAATCATGTGATAGATACATTAAGTTCTTTCATTTTATATTTTATTATAATGGAATCCATAAATGAGTAGGTTAATGCGATTTAAAAAAATAAGGCTAAAAAAATTGGAAGCAATGGAAGACAAATTGAGGAAATCCCCCAGAAAGCAAGGGGGGAAAGATGAGCAACGTAGAGGATCAATCTAGGGACTCCAATGGCTGAGCAACGGGCACTTCAAAAAGACCAAAGAAAGGAAATAGAGAAGAGGAAATCATTGAAGAGTAAAAATCATTCATTCAGTATATATTTATGGAGCCGAGTGCTCACTATGTGCTAGGTGCTATTCTGGGAACTGGGGATTGTTCCCAACCACGTGCAATTTGAGTGGGTTGGGAGATGCAGACAAGAAAGTAGACATCACACACCCCGTCAGGGGGTGACAGTGACACAAGGGAAGGAGCAAGAAAGCGGAAGCTATGGGATCTCCAAGCAACAGACCTAACCCAGAAAAGCAGAGATGTCTCATGACAGCCAGGTGCACAAGAGCTACAGAGTATCGTCATTAGGCTGGGCCACAGGCCCAGCCCATAGGTGGCTCCAAGATGGATGCATATGAGGGGAATGTCCAAAGACACCTAGAGGACTTTGAAATTTAAGGGGACAATAAAAACAATAAAGCCTAGATTTTTAAAAAAGAAGAAAGTGGAAAAATTAAAATTTGTTCAAAAAGATAAATTATAGAATACTATCTTACCCCTTAGTGAACAGTATTTTCATTGTCATGATAATATAAACAATGTGTTGATTTTCAACCCTTAGAAATAGCAGGTGGGGAAGCTCAGGAGACAGATTTAATTTTGTTTACACAGCAGAATGTAAATTTTCAATCTTCATAACATAAAAGTAACGTTACAAATGAGATTTTAAGAGGTAGAAGGTAAAAGGAATGCTGAAAAGAAAGTTACAAGTATTAATATCCTTTTCTTATGAAAATGAGGTCAGGAGATGATGTCTCTAGCTGACAAATCAAAAAATAAAGGTGAAATCACATTACATAGTTACAAACAATAGAACTAAAAAAATTGATATTATAAAACTGGAAAGAGTATTAATTAGATCCTGTCTATATTGTGTCTATGATCATAAATAATGAGATAAAAATCTGAACTCCATCAATTGAGTGATATAAAGATACCTATTAGAAGAAACAGCTAGCAAAGATACAGTCGTCTCAAAGGTGAAGAAAGGCAGGACAGGAAATAGTAGCTTTTCATTATCATATTCTATTCTGTTTTTTTACATCATTTGCTGGAATTATTTTGACCAAAATTTTATCTTACAAAATTCCTTTGACACAAATGCAATTTACATGCCCTCCCACCCTGCTGCCCACTTCCCTGCAAAAAATCCTCTAAGGAGAAAAAGATGACTTTTCTCTCGGAAAAGACTGTTAACAGTTATGCTGAAATTCACACAGCAGAGAGGCTGAATAAATTAGCACCTCACCTGGCCACACCACCATAATCCAAACCTTCTTCTCCTCGGAATTTTACCATGAGACGTTTTTTCAAGTCTTTCGGTCGCATCTTCATTATCTGACGATAAGACTCCTATGTATCAAAATTACAGTTTCAGAGAGAAGAACATTTCTTATCCTTCAAGGCATAGTTTAAAAGTTATTGGTTATGGAGTCTGATTAAAAATAAGCACTCATTCTCATGCGAGTTTTATCTCGTTCCTATTCTGAATGTTTATTTGGCTGCTACATCTAGTATATTCTATCATCTATCCTCTCACAGTTTCTCCCTCAGAGGCACGCACAGTGCCAGGTAACACTACATTTGCACAAAACATATCTGTCTTCAATACAATCACTAAGGACTTAGGGAAGAATCTCCTCACTAGAGTTGATTTTCTCTACACAAAATAATTTCAGTGCACCCTATAAACAGTTCATGTAGTTTAACCAAAATGAAGATGTCATTAGAGTCTGAACGTTAAAGAATTCTGAGCCTGTTTTCCTATCTAAGTGAAAAATGGCACATGATTTCCCACTGAGTCAAAAAGCAAAAAAAAAAAGTTTAAGACAGACATAAAGTAGCTTACCCAGAGCATGGAAAACATGTGGTCAGTCTAATATTCCCTAAGGTTCAGCATTTTAAGTGGAAGTAGCTAAATGTCTGTAGATGTTTTCTGTGATAATGCACTTAAGAACTTTTACATCCTTTAAATTTAATGCAGTTCAAACTCTAGCATCCCAAGAGGGAAAGGGAAATGATCTAGCAGCAAAATGTCAATAATTCAGTTCTCTTCTATCCATGGCAGCCAGTACAGACTGCTCAGTGGGCAGAACTGGGCACAGCGGCTGATCCATGTGTCCAACACTCAGGCCCAGCCCTCACTGGGGGGACAGCGCATGGCCCTCCACGGCTCCCTCGAGGCCACAGCCCAGCGAGAATCTGTGCTCACTTCTTGCCCCATCTCACTTGATCATTTCTGCCAATATCTCCACAAGGGAGGGCAGGATTTGGCCCAAGACAGCGGAGGTTTTACCTTATGATCGTGTTTCTTAAGAGCCAAGGGCCCAGTCTGTTTAGGGACTTGCTCCAGCAGGGCAACAGCATAAGGGCAGAGCTCTTCCTGGAGCCACCGGCTCCTCCTGTTCCCCCAGGCAGGGCAGCCACCAGCCACTGTGCTGCTCTGAGACATGCCACTTGGTCACAGTCCATGCAGGGAGACAGGAGGGGACTGATTGGTTCGGAAGGGAAAGGTGCAGGCTGCGGGATCGTGTAACCTGTGCGATGCAGGTAAAGGGACTCCCACTGTTCTGTAGTACCAGTTTCTGTGCAAACCTCTAGAGTCTCGCCTCAGAAGCTATCTAGTTTTTGAACTTTTACCATAGAAGGGAATACAGTTCCCTCTTTGGGTCCTGATAAGCCCTGCATTTCACTTAGTAACTAAATCAATACCTGAAATGCCAAACAGAAAGGAGAGCTCACTGAAATGCAGAAATCCCCCACAGAGCAGTTTGTTTGGAGCAGCCCCCTTTAAGACAAAGGAGTGTTCTCAGGAAGCAATGCCTCTGGCTGACCGGCCTCACTAACAGGGCTGAACAGCCTATGCCTGACTGTCAGAGGCACTGAATTCTATACCTCAAAGATTTCTTCTCTGGATACTTCGATGCGGCAATGCCCAGCCTGGGGCTGCTGAAGTGACAGTTCATGTCTGAGGACCTTTAGCTTCTGGACTAAATCTCGTTCATATCTCTGGGCAGGAAGCTCCTCGTCTTCCAGAGAGCCTTCGCTGGGCAGGGGCAGCGGCTGGCTGGGCTCCTTGAGTTGGCACTGGTGACTTGAGAAGAAGACAAGCAGAAAGTCATCCCAGAAGCCACTGCTGTGGCAGCTGTGAGCAATGCCCCCACACAGCAGGGACTGGAGACAGTTCACTGCACAAAACTTCAGGCAGAATTTGTTTCCCTGATGACATAAATATGTACCTAGCTATGGGAAAATGCTGATGGCTACTGTTAGCCTAAATATAGGTCTAGGGTCCAATAAAGGAGATACCCCAATTCCAAGCAACCACTCATTTCATACAGTCTTACTATAGAGAAAAAATGCTATCATTTATCATGCACCTATCACGTACCCACAAGACTGACTGACACACCATTAGATGCGCCCTAAGAGAAGGAAACAGAGTCAATGGGGAAAATTAAAAAGGAGGTAACAGTGGAGGGAAGCAACATGCACAAGAGTAAACAATTCGAGTGGCATCTGACGATAACCATTCCTCATTTTTGTCACCATGAGATTTCTAAGCCCACTCATTAGAAGCCAAATTTCAGTAAAATAAAAGGACTAAGACTAGTAGGTGCCAAAGTGGCATTTGCTCAAGTTTTGCCACTAATGTGACACAGAGCTGTCGGTTACAAGAGCTATGTGGGATATTTTGTTCTGAGAACACAACAAACCTGGAACGCTGAGTATGGGATCTAAGGCAATTCCCAGTCCCAAGTTACCTGGGAACCACAAGCACAGGGACGGGCTCCGGCAGGCAGCAGTCTCCGCTATGGTTGCCCTTCCAGAGCACGCAGGCGCTAGGAAAAAACTGCACTGCTCTACTACTCAATCTAAGGGTGCTGCCTGCGGAAGCTTCCCTAATGAGAAGCTGCCTAATCCTGTCATCTCGGTGAAACTTATTCAGGCTGCATGTAAGAAAAGGGTGGTGACAACATGTGGCTTCAGTACTGTTCACAGCTAATTTAAGAGTTGAAAAAACGCAATTGTCCACCAAATATTTATCATTATTTTGCTCATGCTTATTATTCAACAAACAATGCAGTAGATAAGAAAAATATTAGCACAAAAAAACATTCAATTGTAAATGAAAGAGGTAAACAAAAAATTTTTTTGAGGCTTACTTCATGATGTGGTGTAACCTTGGGTCTGTAAACTGGGTAGTTCGGTTATTATGATCTACAAAATATATTCTCCCAGAAACTGTGCTTCTGACTTCCCAGCCTGGTGGCAGTGGTCCGAGTTCATCACAATTCACACTGTTAAGGTCTCTACCAAAATGGAAGATACAGAGAGGTTTTCCAGCTCAGTATGCAGGAATAAGACCCAAACTTCAGCAACAGGAGCCACAGGGGTTCCTTATCAAAGTGTCTGTGTCCCTGTTCTGCCAACATGGACAGCCATGGTGCTACTTACGCCAAACCCCCACTCAGTCCAGGCCTACCTGCTGCAAACAGCAGTAACATCTGACAGGTAAAAATAGAACTTTCAGAGCTTATAACCATGATAAAAAACAGGGTCTACCTAGGGAACACCAGGTAAGAGGGCCCAAATCGGAGGAAGTATCTTAGTGCTATCGGAAAACTGTCTGAATCCACAAGTTAAATGCTCAAGGTCAGAAAGGTGGCTTCATTGAAAAAGCTTCCAGACAGCACCAAGTTTTACAAGGCTGAGGGGGATGTATTAAAATGCATTTGAAACTCGCCAATTCTAAACAGTTGCACCAGGATGGGGCATTCTCATTTTCAAGTTGGCTTTTGTTAAGCAAGTATTTTACATTCTCAGCTCTTGATGAATTATTTCAATACAACCCACAGTCAGATGGGAGCACAGCATTACTGACCAAGCTGCTTTTCTAATTAACACAAAAGCCTGTCATTTCTTACAGTGGGTACTAAAGAGACACCTCATTCATTTGCAGGTAATATTTCCATTCTAATTATAGATAATGAATCATAAATTCAACATAGACTTGGAAAATCAAAGACAGGAAGCTTATTCTCAGATGAAACAAATTATGAATCAAAAGGAAATAAGCATTACTAAAAATCTTATTAGGTAGTAATGCTATTCTAAAAGAAAAAAGCAAAGCAAAGCAAAAAAGAAACTTAACTCCGTTACAGGGTGGGGTGGGGGTCTCTCTGACCTGGGCTCGGATGTATGGCCTTGTAGAAGGAATTCGTATAGAAAAGCTTCATCTCCCCCAGGAATGGTCCCCAAGGGACTGAGGCAATAGGGACAGTAAAGTAGAAGAGAGAAAGGGTAATAGAGTCTTTATATTTCCTTTTTAACTTTTTATTATGGAAATTTTTAAGCATACAAAAAACTAGAGAGAGACCATAACGAATTGCCATGTAACCAACTTCAATAATAATCAACTGCCAGTCAAGCTTGTTTCAAACATACCCCTGTTCACCTCCCACCCAAACTTATCTGAAGCGAATCCCAGACATCGTATCATTTCATTCAGTGATATTTTTAGTTTAAAAATGAGAGCAACACATCTTGAAGGGTACTGGCTTTTCAAGTCAACTGCTGGAAAAAGCTTTGATGCTGTGCACTTTAGGAAACCTACCTGGGTATCCTGGGGTCGTGCCATGTGCTGACTCCAGTCTGTGTGTGCAAAAAGTAAACTTGCCCCTGTACTGTGGTTCTTTGTTCTGCACAAGAAATGAGGGAATACAATTAGATAAATCCATTTCCTAGGAGAGTTTGCAACCAATTCTCCATTCTCCAATACTGCTGGTATTACCTGACATATCCAAATCGCACTCCCCTGTCATTCCGGTTCTTCTCTCTGAGGCTGTCAAATGACCCCCTCTCACTCATACCCCACACTGTCCTTTCCAGACCACTACAAACACCCTCCTCTAGCCTACGTGGCATCAGGGTGCTCTTTTGTATTCATTTGCCTAAAATTTTCACATGATTTCTAAACCGGGAGATGGGAGCACTTGCTGAAAATTCATGACCAGCAAGATTTATCACCATCTTTTTCCAGTTGTCTTTACACCGTTGACCCATCGACGGGCACAGCCACCTGCCCTTCAGCATTTATGGCGTGTGCAGGTAACTAAGAAAGGGTTAAAAAACTAAAGATCTCTGAAATAGCGCAGATGACACTGGCCACGGCAGGGTGAATTCTCTCACCATAGCCTTCAGGCAGTTCCGGTGACTGGTGGCCGTGTGGTCGGTTCTGAGGTGTCTGTAGTGAACCTCGCACCTCGGGATTTCGAAGTCGCTGCACCTGAAGTCTTTGATCTTGACTTGGGGACTCCACGAACCTGCAGTTCCCTCCGCCAGCAGCAGCACCAGTACTGTCTGTGTAAGGGGCTGGCTCCTCCATGAAGCAGCTGAGCGGCCTTCCGGGCCCCGAGTCTTCATACACGGTTCTGAGAGGCAGAAGGGCAAGTAGGCATGGCAACGCCAGCCCGCGCTTAGGCTCCCAGGGGACATAGCACACGCTCACTTTGCTTTCCTTCAACAATTAAGAGTGTTCCAATGGCTTGGTTTTGTAAATTCAGCACGTCCCACTCAAAAAGAAAGACTCTTTCAAGAGGAAGAGACAGCCAAGGGGAGCCATACTTAAAGCATCACAAGGCCACCCCAGATAGAGCAGAATGCCTGGAAAAACTAGCCTTGCACTACAAGGAGCTCATGAAATGAGCTTTCATTTTTCTTGATTTAAAATCAAATCCGAATACTCCATTTTCCTTGTTATTTTACTCTATAATGGAACTACTGGTTATATAAAATATAATCATGCCTTTAAGTAAGTACTTTTTAAACATCAATCTTTACCCCTGAGCAATTTGAAGACAATTTACCTTAATAGGCTATTTTCACTTATAAGCAAATACTTTTTAAAAAAAATCTCTTAAACTGAAAATTATAAAATCTCTGCATAAGATTTGGAGACTAGCACAATGAAGCCCCTGGGACCCACTGCCCAGCCACAATGATCAGAGGCCAAAGTGGCAGAGAACCCGGAGTGCAACACGCAGTGATACGTACCCTTCATTTTCTAACAGTCCTCTGCAGTCCACCACCGGGCCCCCGGTACCTATCCTGTCTCGTGTCTGTAAACTGACTAAAACAGAAGAATGGCTTGCGTTAAAATCCAGTGGTGTTTTACACAATTGTAATACAGCGAGCCATTACAAATGTATAATTTGTGTACAACATCCTAAGAAATGAGGAGGCCTATGTGTGTACATACACATATACAGTCCTGCGCCTGCAAGTATGAAGCACCTTACCCAGTAGCTGCATCCACAACCACGTGCCGCCTGCAATACTCCTTGTAAACAAGGAGCAGAAAAGGGTGCTGTTTCTCGTGGTCTCCATAAAAACAACAATGCAATTTCCAAGTATGTGAGTTCTAAAATTAGGCAATATATAGTAGGTCCCTCTAAGGTACCTTATTTTTTAAGAAGATTTTGACTTAGGCTCCATAAGGACACAGAGAGCACTTTCGGTATCATCAAAGTCTAGATGAATCTAAATATTTATCACCTATCTTTACCATGAATAAGACATTTATAAAGTTGTTTTCCATTTTTTTGTTTTTTTCCCCTGGCATATCCCTCCACAAAGAAAAGAAGAAATTACAAATGGGAAAGCATTAAATGAGAACTTTCTCATTACGACAGCTTTCAGCATGAATACCCACTGTTCATTTATCTCAGGTTGGGTCTACATAAGACAATACCTAAAAGATTTGGAATCACAAAATTATTCCAGTGTGCTGCAGAGACACTGTTTTCTTTGATTCCTTGCAATGCTTACAATTGACAGTTGAGATACGCTAAAATACTAATGAAAAAGGGTAGACAATAGTTATTTAACAGATAAATCACTTCCAATGGATTGCCTCTAACCAACACTTTGTAACAATACCAAATTTTAATTTTTCACTCTAAATACTATAATCCTCTGTCTCTACAAGTCATATTATATGAATTCTTTACAGATCATCTTTGCTTTTTACACATATGATGGGTTTTCCAGAAGAAACTATTTCCCAATTCTTGCATATGTGGCCACCGTTCTTATCATCTACCCTTGGATAATACGATGACAAATTCATTGCCCAATAACGTGATAATTAAAATTACATTTAAAATTATAGCCCTAAATCTTTCTGTACCCAAGTCATTTTAACTCAACTTTAAGTGACTAGATGAAGGGAATTAAATAAAATAATAAAAACCACACAAGACAAAAAACTTTTTAGTGCTGAAGAGATGGCCCCTGAATGTAGTTTGTTCTTTGAAGTATGTCAGCACTGCCAGTGCCCGTGTGTTTTCTCAGCGATGAAGAGTTGAATGTTAAGTTCTGTAAAAGCATCTCTTTATACAGATGAGAAAGTTCTTACCCACTATTTGGCCACGAACTGCATCAGTATCTGAGGGATTTAGTTTGCATAGATCCAAACGCTGGTCTGCAAACAAACAATTCAAAACTTAACCCAAAGAATGTTAACTAGGAAGGAAGGCAGGAATTCTGTATTCAGCATTAAAAAAAAAAAAAGAGGCCTCATAAGCTTTCTTCGGTTGCATTAAAAGGCAGAAAAACATTTGCGTCTTACATCCCGTATCTTTTAATCTGCTGATGGCATTGGAGAGTAGCCGCACACAGCCGAGGAAGCCAGCTCCCTGCTTCTTGTGAATTTTCTTGTGGTTCCACACACTGATGGTTATAGAATCAGTTTTCCCTACATATCTGGAAAGAACATGCAAACTCGTTTTTAATTGTATTTCTGAGTTATGTACCTCATTGAGATTTTATCTCATTGACTTAAGAAGCCTTACAAAATAATGTTGGCTCTATATTCCACATGTAACAGGCATTCAATAAATATACATCTACTCATTTCAATGGGCTTGGAAAAAGAAGTACAACCAGTTATATAAAGAGCAAATGTAGATAACCACGTGATAATAATAATCTCATAACAGAGATTTACTATATTTTAATAGTTCCATAGGATAATGACATGATTCATAACTTCCCAGCAATTAAGCTTAATATAAGATGATAGTTTGCAACAAGGGACTACTTATAAACCCATAGATCCATTCAAAGTACTCAAAAAGATACTAAGTCATTAAATCCCCACTTATTCTTAGTGCAAGTCAACCATAGAGAGAGAGGAACTTTCAGGACAAGAATTGACAACCACATTCCAAGCCCCAAGTAGAACCTCAGTGTAACTGAGACTGAGTCTTCAAATATAGCTACTAAAACCCCACCTAATACAGTACAATTTGTGTTAATTAAAATAATAATAATAATCTTTTGGTTACTTTCATGAAAATTTCTTAGCAGGAATATGAAAACATAGGTGCACATAAAATAGTAGTTTTCAATATACAGTCCATGTTTTGAAGGAATATAAGAAATTGTCTAATGGATTATATAATTCGAACATGCAGAACTGTATTTTCTCTTACAGAAAGTGTATTTGTACTTTAGTACTTTGTACTAAATCTTAAAAGTCAACAGAAATATGTAATCATAATAATGCATTTTTTAGGTAAAAACTACCAATAGGCTTAGGGTTTTACTGAAAAACAGTAGCATATAGATTATGTGAACCATGGCCTGTTCTCTGCCAAAATGGCCAGGAGACTGAAAAGTTTGAGGATCACAGTTACAGAACCAAACCATAAAAATCTATCAAAATGCCAAACACAAGAACTTCCAAGTATGTGAGTTCTAAAATTCGGCAATGTGTATTCATTTGGCCATCTACTTTTGTTATCAATAAATAGTAATCCTTTTTTTCCCCTTAAATATTTGTCTTAAAATCTAGACACCTACTTCTCTGCCATTCCCCAAATGGCTTACAGAATGTACAACTCACAGATCATAGTGCTGGTTCCACTTTGGGTCCAATGTGTTTTTCACAGTGTCGGTTGAGTGGCACTGCCCAGACCCGTCCACGACAATCTTTGCAAAGGGGTCAGGGAGTCCTAGAGGAGGGAAGACAGCCATACCCAGATGAGACTACAGATCTATCAACGTGACACAGAACACAGTCTATCAGGCTACAGGGAGCTTCAAGATCATCTAATTTGGTAAAGAAGATGACTCTTAGACATTTTCTTCTCTAATTTAAAGATAGTTTCAATCAGCAAAATAAGTCATTTCTATTTATGTTTCTAAGAAAGACAACTTAGTATGCCTCCACTCTCAGATTTTAAGGACAGAAAAAAATAAAACTATAAATATAGGCTTAAATTCAAATTTCCATTTCTGATCACTAAGTGGGGCTAATGAAATGGAAGAAAAGCTATCAGAAATTAATTGCATTTATACTTTCTAAAAAATAATAATGCCCAGAAATCTTGTTTACTGATCTTTGCCTATCTTATTCATCAAGTCTTAATTTGGTAAATCCCTAAATGCTGGAGTATGAGTCAGACAGGTTTATTACATAGGTGGCAACGTGTAAGGGTTTTTTGGAGACAGAACTGGGTGTGAGCCACCCGCTGGAGCTTCTAGCTGTTTGGAGAAAGCCTTAGAGCCTAAGTTTCTTCATCTTAAAGTGTGAATAATACCACTTAAGAGCCGTACAGCATTCTTATGAAGATCAGAAAGTGTGTAAAGAACTTAATGCTGCAGGCAACTACTTTATAATAGGTGAATTTCTTACGTTACAGAGTGTTTTATTTCCTTTACAAAATGATTCTCTATTTTTTTACAATTCCTTTAATTACAGAGCTTTAAAAATGTGATTTAATTTATAAAATTTGATTACCAACTTTACTCAAACCCAGCTATTTGATTAAAAAAAATCCCATTTGTATTTAAGCTGAGAATACTTCACCCAGCAGAAAGAAATATCCTAATTGGGGGACTGGGGGAGTGGGCAGAAAAAACAGGATGTGGCTGGAATGGGGCATGAGACAGGCTTGAGGAATGATTTATAAATTCTGTGCCTTTGAGCTAAGGAGTCCCAGTGATGTAGCAACTAGGAAATAAAGTTTGTCCAAATCTGGAGTCCCATTCAATAAAGGGCAGGACTTCTATGAAAACATACCTAGATTTTTTTAAATGTTTAAAATTTCAGAAATATATGAATAATATTAATTTTAAGAGCAAAAATGAGTGTTTACTTACTGAAGAAGTCTTTCTTTGCAAGGTTCTTGGCACATAATACTAAAAACAAATAAAAATTACTAAGGTTAACATTTATGGACAAGATTTCCACATAGCTGGTTGATATTTACAGAAGAAAAATAAAGACTCTTAAAATTATCTTTGCCAATGATCTGTCTTTCAAATTTAGTATCACATTAAATAAAAAACCACCAACTATCTAAAAAGCATTTTCTCCTCAAATTGGAGATCAACTATAACAAATCCAAAATGCTTTAGTGTAAACTTAGAATCTTAAGCATATACACATGGATTTATCAATATACTCTCAAACTGCAAAGGATCACATAAAAACCAATTCAAATAAAGAGACTTGAAGTATTTATACCCCTATAGCTACTGCTAACAACAACATCAAAAGGAACTATGTATTTTTTATATTCTGACAAATAATACAACTTTATAAATGTAAACTTTGTAGAAAGGGGAGAGTGGTAGAAAATATGGGGCCATCCTCAGGGTGTTGTGAAAAACAAATGACAAAAATGCATGTTATGAATTCAGCAGTGTTGGTATATATAAAGAAAGCAATTAATGCTATTGTTATTTTATTAATAAGGTGATATCGATTATTAAGAAATTTTGTCACCAAACCTGCTTGCTACACAATAAAAGTTACTATGTCAAGAGAAAATACACTATTTTCTTTTGTACTGCTTCACAAATTTTGCTAATTTTTAAGAATATGTTCTATTAAGAACTTACTTTATAAAACTATGTTCACCTATTATGTATTGTTCTGCAAACTTGCACTTAGTATTTTTTATATAACACCATTATCAAGATATAATGTACCGTAAAATTCACCCTTTTAAAGTGTACAACTCAGTGGTTTTTATTAATAGTATACTCATGAGGTTGGACAATTATCATCACTATCAATTTTAGAACACTTTTGTCATCCCAAAAAGAAATATCATATCCATTAGCACTCACTCCTCATTTAACCTCAAATTTCCCAGTCCTAGGAAACCACTAATCTACTTTCCATCTCTAAGGATTTGCCTATTCTAGACATTTCATATAAATGGAATCCTGTAATATGTGGTCCTTTATGACTGGCTTCTTCCACTTAGCATAATGTTTTCAAGGTTCATCCATGTTGTAGAATGAATCAAGACTTACCCCTTTTTATAACTGAGTAATAGTCCATTGTATGGATATACCACATTTTCTTTTTCCATTCATTAATTGATGAACTTTAGGGTTGTTTCTACTTTGGGGCTATTATAAATAATCCTGTACATGTTGTTATGCAGACATATATTTTATTTCTTTTCATTATAAAACTATGAGTGAAATTGCTGAGTCATAAGGTAACTGTTTAACATTTTGAGGACCCTCCAGGCTGTGTTCCACAGCATTGGTACCATTTTATATTCCCACTAGTAGTGTATGAGGGTTTCAATTTCTCCTCATCCTCATTAATACTCATTATTTTCTGTGATTTTATACCTCTGTGGTTCTGATTTGCATTTCTCTGATGACTAAAGGCTTTGAGCATCTTTTCATGTGCTTATTAGCTATTAGTGTATCTTCTTTGAAGAAATTTCGTTTCCAATCGTTTTCCCACTTTTACATTGGGTTATTTATTTTTTTACTATTGACTTGTGAGAATTCTTTATATATTCTAAATACCCTCATCAGGTATATTATTTGCAAATATTTTCTCCCATTCTGTGGGTTGTCTTTTTACTTTCTTGATAGTGTCCTTTGAAGCACCAAAGTTTTCAATTTTAATGAAGTCCAATTTATCTATTTTCTTTGGTGTCATATCTTAGAAGGCTTTGTATAACCCCAGGTCTTGAGGATTTACTCCTATATTTCCTTATAAGAATTTTACACTTTTACCTCTTAAAAATACATTTAGGTCTGTGCTCTGTTCTGAGTTAATTTTTTTGTGTATTGCAGGTGGATATCCAGCTTCCCATCACCATTTGTTGAAAAGACCATTCTTCCCCACTGACTTGTCTTGGCACCCTTGTTGATAACCAATTCACTATAAATGCAAGAGCTTGTTTGTGGTCTCTCAATTCTATTCCATTAATCCATATGTCTCTCCGCGTGCCTTGACCACCCTATCTTGATTACCATGGATTTATAGTAAGTTTTGAAATCAGGAAGCAAGAGTCTTCCAACCCTGTTCTTTTTCAAGACTTTTTTGGCTATTCTGGATCTCTTAAATTTCCATATGAATTTTAGGATCAGCTTGTCAATTTCTGCAACAAAAGCCAGTCTGGATTTGATGGGGATTGTACTGAATCCATAGGTGAATTTGGGGAATACTGCAATTTTAATAATATTAAATTGTCTAATCCACAAACATGAGATGTCCTTCCACTTATTTAGGTCTTCTTTAAATTTAATCAACTTTGTTTTGTAGTTTTCAGAGTATAAATTTTATGCTGCTTCTATTAAATCTATTCCTATTTTATTCTCTTTGATGCTATTGCAAATAGAATTATTTTCTTAATTTTATTTTCAGATTGTTCATTGACAGTGTACAAAAATACAATTGATTTTTGTATACTCATATCTTGCAACATTGCTGAACTATAATACTTTTTTGTGGATTCCTTTGAATTTTCTCTATATAAGATCATGTCATCCGCAAATATAGTTTTACTTCTTCTTTTCTAATCTGAATGCCTTTTATTTCTTTTTCTTGCCTAATTGCCTAGTACCTTCAGTACAATACTGAATACAAGTGATGGGAATCCTTGTCTTGTTCCTGATCTTAGAGGGAAAGCATTCAGTCTTTCAGCCATTAAGTTGTGGGTTTTTTATAGATGTACTTTATTAGGTTGAGGAAGTTTCCTTCTATTCCTAGTTTAAGTATTAAGTGTTTTTATCATGAAGTGGTGTTAGATTTTGTCAAATACTTTTTTCTACATGTATTGAGATGCTCATTTGGTGTTTGCCCTTTCTATACTGATACGGTGTATCATATTACTTGATTTTCAGATGCTAAACCAATCCTGCATTCTGAGATAAATTCCACTTGGTCACGATGCACAATCCTTTTAATATACCATTATATTTGGTTTGCTAGTATTTTGTTGAGGAATTTTATGACTATATTCATAAGGGCTGTTGGGCTGTAGCTTTCCTTTTCTTTAAGTCTTTGTCTAGTTTTGGTATCAGAGTAATACTGGCCTCAGAAAATGAGATGGGAAATGTTCCCTCCTCTTCCTCTTCTTTTTTGGGGAAGTGTTTGTGAAGAATTGGTATTAATTCTTCTTTAACATTTGGAAGAATTCACCAGTGAAGCCATCTAGACCTGGGCTTTGCTTTATGGGAGGTGTTTTAAATTACTAATCCAATCTCCTTATTTTTTATAGGTCTATTCAGATTTTTCCATTTCTTCTTCAATCAGCTTTGGTAGTTTGGATACAAGTGGTGGGAATCCTTGTCCTTATCCTAGAAATTTGGTGATTTCACCTAAGTTATCTATTTGTTGGCATACAGTTGTTCATAGTATTCCCTAATAATGTTTTCTGTTTCTATTTCAGCAATAATATTTCTTCATCAGTGTAATGTAATCTTCACAGCCTTCCTTTCCACCTCAGTCTTTTTAGTGGATACATCATAATTTATTACAGTTCCCATTGGTGTTTTTATTGCTTGTTTCTCTAATTACAAAAGTAATATGTACTTGAAAGTATGGAAATGTGTAAATAGAAAATACATGCCCCTAGAACCTCATCATTACTTTTTGTTCAGCATTTACCTGGCTGGTCTCACATGCTTGTTTTTCCCCACTAAATTTCAGAATCATTTTGAACAAGTTTTTAAAAATGACTTCATAAGTAAATTTGAGGAGAATTTTTACCTCTTTATAATATTGAGCATTCTCATTCTTGATTGTAGTATATTTATCCCTTTCTTGAGTTCTTCAATGCCCTTAAGTGAAGTTTTAAAGTATTTCATAAAATACTTTACTTTTATGTAAATGAGTAATAGATCTAGATCTAGTGGATCTACCTGGTCTATCTGGTAGATCTAGTGGTAAATCTTACACATTTCTATTTGGGCTTACTCTTAAGTATTTTGGTTTTTATTACTACTGTGAATGGGAATCCTTTCGTTGTGTTTTCTAATTATTATCTGGATATAGGAGAACTATTAATTTTCTTACATTAATTTTAAATCAACCATTTGAACTCTCCCCATGTGGGCCTGCTATGTTTTGTTTCCTTCAGCTTCCCTTTTCTTTCCCAAAGCTTTCAATATCTCAACAGCTCTCATATAAAACACAAAGAGTCCAAAACTGAGGTTGAGGTCCTTCCCCTCTGAGTAGAAACCTGGTCCTCTCCCGGGATGAGTTACTTTAGGTAACATCGGCAGGACCTATGAACTGCACAAACCACACACCTACATGTTGTTCTTTTTTTTTTTTTTTTTTTTTTAATCATTCTTGGATTGAAGGGAAAACTTGGGACGAAACACACAGCCTTGCAATTGAATGGTGCTGCTATAACCCATCGACGTGCAGTGTCTTTTTGTAGGGTCATTGGATCCTGGTAGAGTGCCCAGCAATGAGATTGCTGAACCAAATGGTAATCACTTTATCAACTTTAAGTGATCTCCCATATTGCTTTCCACAGAGTGAACTAAGTTTAAGTCCACCAAGGCAGGTGGATATCAGAATT